AAACTGGAACAGTATGCTTCAGAGCTTCGTTTCTACCTGTCCGAAGACATCTCGGAGACTCGCAAAAGTATGCGAGTTACTGAAAAGCATCTAAGATGCAAGGACTCTCCATTGAATTTCATACTACGAGAGACGAAACTCATACACCTAAGGGGAGTTCAATCTCTATACGACATGGGTTTATTTGAAGGTGAATTTTGAATTCACTACCTAAAATCATTTGAAAGAAAAGTCTTAAATTGTTTTCACTCCATTTATATTTATATTAATATTATTGTTGTTTATTTTTTCTTTTTTATGTTTCATAATAATAATGTTTGTTATTTATTTAAAGTTTTTTGCCGCAGATGATTTATCATTGATATATGCTTTCTTAATTTTGTATCATTTTGTTATTTTATGATTATAAAAACATGTCAGATATTATTGCCTGCCAGGAGGCGGCGTTACGTTCGTTATGAGATAAAAATTGGATAGTCTGGTGTTATTTATTGCACACCATTGTCCAGTTGAGGTATTTCGTAAGGTTTTAAATATGTTTGTTGTTTAACTTTAACTTGTTGATTTATTAATACTTTTATCCGCTATCTCTTATACTTTATTAAATATTTTCATCCCTTCTTATTATCGCTTTGTGTCATTTGAATTACAGTTTAATAAAGTTGTTATTATTTATCTCTTTTAAAAATATGAGTATATTAATTAAAAAAATTAATATTCAAAAATTTTCATATCCGATACGAAAATGATTTTTACAGTGAAATAATATATACTCCATGTATATTCTAAAAACTACTCAACTGACTGCTGGTTAGGCACTATTTTTCCCGCCAACGCTTTGTGCACGTGCTTGGTTGATTTTCTGCAGGAAAAGTGAATTTATTGCTAAACGACTAAGAAATGGACAAAACAAAACCTGTTGTCTTTGATATATTTCGTAGCTTCAGAGATACGAATGTAATTTTGGACGACAAAGCTAAAAGTTTAAGAATTACGGCTGAATTACTGAAGAAGACTGAAGGGTTAGTATCAGAAGTAAAATGGAATCATAGCCCTAGAATGGTTTTGTCGGAAAAAGCTGAAGATGTTCTCACTTGTTTGAAATACACGGAAAATGTATTTTACTGGATAATCCATTCCCTAATCGACTCTTTAAACAGTTTTGTGGCGTTCAAAGAAACGATTGATAAGGAGGTTGACATACCACCCGAACCGGAGAAATTTCACGGCACTTTTCAAGAATGGATGACCATTCAAATGTTCAACAAGAACTTTACAATTATCAACATTCCATTGAAAGATATTATTAGATCAATGAGGCGTATTATAATCGCCTTAGTCGACGTATGGAGAATGCTCAAAAGGATGTCGGAATCGAAGGAGGAAACTGGAGCTTTACGAAAAATATCAAATATTATGGAAAGACTGAGCGACTCGCTTCAGGATGCTACCGGAAGTCTCGATACTATGTTGGAATCCTGCAAACTCCTAGACAGGAGAATGAGGCGTGTTGTAACTGATAATGTTATTCTGACAGGAAATGTTGAGGGTAAAGGGTGTTCATTCGGCAAGTACCTCAGTCATTTAATGAAGAAATTATACAATTCGACAAGCGACACAATTAGAGCTATAAACAAGTCGAATGATGATTTGAAGAAGACGTACGATCCGGTTGTATCAATGGCTAAGGCAACAAGAGAAACTTGTACTGATTTGGAGATATATATTAGGAAGTTTAACCAACTTTCCATTTAAAGAGAAGACAGAAAATTAAAATAAAACGCCTATCTATCTCGTCTACTATTCCGCTATTATTAATTAACATATACATTTTCATAACGAAAGCAATTTATGTCTCTATTTGATGATCTCGAATTGAAAAAAATCTTTTATCCTGCATCGTTACGTATTCTTTTTCTTTTTTGCTGTTTTTCGTTAAGTTGAACTTTGTTGTAAAATCGTCAACTCATTACGTATATTTTACGGTTTATAACACAATATTTGCCTTTATAGATTACTCTATTTAACCATTTCATATATTGTCTGAAATACAGTACATTTTCCAAAAAAAGACTTTTGCGTATATAATTTCAAGGACAAAAGTATAAAGTCGCTTATAGGAACATTTTTTAACAGATAGACTCGATGCTAAGCAAAGAGAAAATATCTCATTAACCTTTAACAATGTTTTTAATATTTCTTCACCCAAATCCAAGGTCAAATGATGGGATAATGTACCACTCTTTCAATTCTTTCATGTCAGTATTTCTCGAAGAAATATGATAGTATTGAATAGGATAATTTTCATATGGTTAAACAATAAAACTTTCGAAATAAAAAACTAATGAGTACGAATAGAATATGCTAATTAAGTATGACATAACAAAAACAGTTTAAGATCATATACTGTCAGTGTTACTGTTCAAGGTACAGTCGGTCAACTATTCAATTTGCACGGTAATTATTACGATTACGTTGAAAAGTCAATTAATAATTGTTTCTGATTGTTTGTTTGTTTTTTTTTTTAAAGAACAAAACAAAACATTCTTTTTTTTTTGGCATATGAAGAATATACTATATAAAAAGAAGACAATTATGAATTATATCTACCTAGTTCAAAGAGTATTTATTCTCTTCGGATCCATGCTTTGTCAGATTGGGAAGATGTTGGGATTTGATAATGTTTCGTATGAAAAGTACCTAAATACATTAAGGAGTCGCGAGGAAAAGATCGTTTTGTTAGAGAGTCGTGTTAGTGAGTTAACGTTAGTGATGGCTGCCGAAAAAAGTGAACAGTATGTTGCAAATCAACAAAAGAATGAGGAAATTGACGAACTACGAAAGAATTTACAAAATCTAATGGACACTGTCGATTTTTTCAAATCATCCGAAAATCAGTCTTGTATGGTACAAACAACAAATAAGAGAGTTGTAAAAATCATTCAGAATCGTATTAGAGAGATACGAGATTTGTTGGTTCGGGACATAAGTTTATTGGAAGATAATACTTGGTATGAGGTAAGGGATAGAGGAGAAAATATAGAAGGTCGCCTAAGGGATTTTAGACATTCGTTGGAGGAGAATAATTTAAATCCTCAGTTAGTTCAAACTCTAAAAGATATGGAGTTGTTAACAAATATACGAAATAATCGCTATGATCTTGTTAATAATCTTATTGGTAAGTAACCTACTAATATAGTTTAGCTATATTTATAAAATACGTTTGTCCAAATCATCAAAGATAGATAGATAAATTAATCATTCTTTCTTCTCTTCTTATCACTAACAGGAAATACAGTTATTCATTTGCAAGGTAAGTCTTTCTCTTCTTCCTATCTTCTCTATTATACTCAATATTTATATATACATATTATATATATATATATATATACTTTATATGTATTTCACAGAAATTCTGGTATTATCTCAAACAACTGATAATTGGTCCCAATGTCGCCTTAATCCAATTTCTTGTTATTAATTATTTAACTGTTTAAAACAAAAAAAAAGACTTGACATTTTTGTTGCAATAAGTATAATTAAGCTCCTTAAGGCGATGGTAAATAATATTCCTTAAAAAAAAAATGGCGGAGTTCTTTTTTGAGAATGTTCTCTTCTTCTTCGTCTAACCCCAGATACTTTGGATCATGTTCAAAATAGACAAAAATGCTAAACAGTAAATTGTAATTTTGTTTATTTTTTTTTTGAAATTAAAAGAAAAAAATACTTAATAACAAGGTAAATAGAAAATAAAGAAAGAGAACCTTTGGGAATCTTTTTTATGTCTTTTTGTCTTTAGGTATTTTTTTTGGTTTTTATTTTTACTTTTTTATTACTTTATTTTTGGTTTCATGGAGAAAAAAAAGAAAAAAAAAAGAGAGAGATGATAACTTAACAATTGAATTGGAGTTTATTTTAAATAGTACAAAATAAAGAATCCTGTCCTTGTTGGCTTTTTTTTCTGATTTGTATCTCTTCCTTTCTTCACAATTAGCCTATTTAGCTGATTCGAAGGATAACTAACTGATTTACATAGTTTATATCTAACCAATATTTCGATTAATAAATTTATTCAAAAACTATGCTTTTTATAATTATTTCTACGTGTTATACTATCAGTTAAGTGATACATTGGAAATTTATAGTTTATTTTCTACTTCGGACTTTTGCCTCCTTAACTTGCTAATAGCGAAATGTTTGAAAAAGTATAGAGAGTTATTGATTAAAAATTCCTCTAAGCGAGTATATACAGTATATATATATGTCTTGTCCTAATTAAAATAACGAACAAACGACTTGGATTGTTTATTATTTTAAATGTAAAAGAAAAATAACGAGACACCATAAAATAAATATAAAAATGACATATACGTCTTACTTTCTTACCGTTTTGTGACCTAGCCTATGGCCTGAAGAAGTTGACCAATCGGCGTTTTGCTCCGAGCGTTGTATTAAGCCTAATAGCTTATCCTGTTTACCGAAAAAAAAATTAAATTCTTCTCGGCCATCTCCTCTACAAAGATCTCTTTAGTATGTTTAATATAAGCTGTTAATAAATATACTGTTTAAACTGTTCTGTATATACTGTATTTATGTTTTAATACAGTACCTCTACCGTATTAATACATATATATATATATATTTATAGATAGCTAGATAGGTAGATACATAGATAGATATCGTGCACAGTATATGCTGTAGCATGTATTTTTATATATTTATCATATTTTGTTAGGTATTGATTAGTTTTGTTTCTCTTTTTCTTTTTTATTTATAATTCTCTCTTTCTTCTTCCCTCTCCCTCACTCCAAATCGCTCTGTCTCTCTCTCTCTCTTTATTTTCGTTAGCGGAACTTGGCCAGAGCAAGGAAAGATATGCCGAATAAAACAGTGAAAAGTTTTATGGAAAATAGTATGACCGAAATGGAATATGTCCTGATGGAGAGCAGAGCGATGTTAGATAAGGTTTATTGCCAAATTAGAAATGGTGAAGAGATTGATCATGATACATTGACAAAAATTGAACGCAATACGGATCTTATTGATTATAATCTAAGAATTTTTGGACTAGTCTACATGAAGAAAACTGGAAAGAAGAATAAAATAAAATAAGCAAAAAGCCCTTATCTTAAAGAAAAAGGATTAATCAATCTTTATATATAAATATATACGTATTTATGAAAATCATTGAATGTATGATAAAGATTTTAATATAATATGATACGAAAATAATATTTAATTCATATATTTATAATAATTTATGTTCTCTTTAATAAATCGCTGTTAGCGCAGCCAATTAATTTACATACTTAATTATGTATTTCAATAGACGACAATACAAATCGAAAGGTGGCGTATAACTCACTCTTATTATGAATATCGTTGTTTATCTAATTTACGTGGCGACAAAAAGACATCTTGTACGATATAGACATATTTCTTTTCAAATAAATATTACTTCGAAAACTAGACTTATAATCGAATTCTCGTTCAAAAAGAAAATAAGCCTATCCAAAATATAATCGTAAGTATATATCAATAATTGAGATATATATATATATATATACAGTATACATACGTATATACTGTATACTATATATTGTACATATACCAGTATATATATATATCTTTCTTTTCTATAATATCATAAATAGAATACTTTAATTGAATGATGACTTTTAATTTTCTTCATTTTCCAGTTTTACAAAAGGCGTCAAATGTCAAAAAAAGTTGTTTAAGTTTTATATAAATGATGTAATTTTAGAATAGGATTCAGTTTCTTTCCCTATTCCTTTCTCTTTTCAAGTTAAGAAAAAAAATATTGCGGAAGAGAAGAGAAAAAGGATATATTTTTTCTTGTTTTTTTTCCTTCCCTTTTCTTTAGATATACACTATATATATCTATCTAAGTTTTTTGTCCTTTATTATATTTTTTATGAGAAACTTTAGATATTGACTTTATATCTCATTACAATCATAATTATCATTATCATTATCAATAATTGTAACAGTCTTCATACTCCAGATTTATCATTACTCATTCTTATTTGTTCTTTTTTTTTAATGTTTTAAATGTTTAGATACTGTATACTTTCTCTCCATCTCTCTCTTTCTCTTTCTCTCCCTCTCCTTACAGCTTTCATTTTCTACAATCCAAGAATTCTTAATGGAGAGTATGGCTGTTTTTAAACTAAAAGAGACGTCAATATCAATAAGAGCGATATCATGTTTAGTTAAGGAGGCAAACATCTTAATGAAGAGAGAAAAAGAAGTTTTGGAGGAATTGATTGAGAATTTTGAAAGGAGAATAAATGGCTTACCATGCACAAAAATTTTGAATAAATCAGGAGGAGAAGCGGAAAATTTCAATACTCTTGAATCGCTAAGAGTTCATTGTAAATTCATTATAGAATCTGTTCATTCAATTCATCAAAATTCAAAGGCTCTGAGTTGGACGGTTGAACAACTTGGCGAACGAGTTTATGTATTACATGAACTTTTAATAGATGAGGAGAAAACGTCCAAATTTCTTACCAGAATGGCTAAATCTCTACATCAAACGGCCAATCTAGTAAAAGAGAAGGTAGCGTCCCGAGAAGAGAAACGTCTCTCACTAAAGGAAATGATGGAAGCTATTAAAGATTTGATAGAAATGTTGAAATTCTTAATTGAATCATTTCAAATTTCTACACAACCAATTAAAGATTTAACTAAATTGGCGGAACAAGCTCACCGATCATTAAGAGATCAGTCAATCTCTATAGATATTTCTAGACTAATAGAGGGGCTCGATAAATCTCAAAGGAAGATATCAAAATCTTTGGAGGGAATACATCAAGCTATTTTAAATGTGACAAAATCTTTAAAGGTTATCACAGAGCCCGTTCGAAATGTAACTGATATGGAAAAGTGTAAAAATCACCTTGAAGGTTATATGATTCATTTACTAGAAGATATCATGATGTCAGTCAAAGAGTTGCAAAACAACTTAAAAGATGGAGTTAAATGGACCAAAGAGATGATTGACAGCTTCGAGAATGCAAATTCATATTTGAAAATGATAGAAAAGCCTTAAACGAAAAGTCATTTAAAAGAGTAAATGCTATTTTACAGCTATGTTATAATAGAAACATTACATTTCTGTCTGCTTCTTATCAATCTTATCGTTTTAGTAAAGAGTTATTTTCATAGTATAACCTTATTAACGTGATTATATCAGTGTTAACACACGTACGAACGCAAAATGTCTCATTATATAAACAATATATAATATTTGTCTCTTTCCGTAAATGCATCATAATATATATAGTAATGACGTAAGTTTATCGTCATTGTCGTCATCGTCATCGTCGCCGTCGTTGTTGTTGTTATTGTTTGCTTTGTTGTTTGTCTGTTTGTCTGGGTTTTTTCTTTCAAATAAATAAGAATATACAGTAAAAGTTGTCAAGTACATAATTCTTTTGTATAGTTAACCGTCAAAAAGAATATTATAAACGTATAATTGAATTTATACTGTGGTTGACAAACTAGTAAAGGTGATAATTTTGAAATTACAAATATATATATATATATATATATATATATATATATATATATATATATACTGTATATACAGTATACATGCAGTTTGTATTTCTGGGAATTGCAAACTACGACTCTCGCCGGAACTACTATAAAAGACTTGAAAGAATTATTGAAATAAAAGGGTATTAACGACAAATAAACGATAATAGTATCTTCTTTTTTATGTAAACAAACTGATTGGTGTATAATAAACAAAAAGTCAAAAGGTAGGAAAAATAGTCTTGTATTGAATACAATAGATCGACTACAATAGCTAAAGAGGGAGTCATAAGGATGGGATAGAAAGTGGGAAGAATAAAGGAGAGGAAGGAGAGAAATAAAAGAATGTTGGAAGAGACAAAAGCTTGAAAGCTTTATGGTATTCTTATAAGACAAAAAAAACAAACTAAACTCTCTTTATAAGGACGTAAAACATTTAATATATTTAACTCTTCATAACATTAGAAGCGTCACTTTTTTCAAAGATATCTAGTTGCTAATCGGATTACTGGCTCCCCGCCAAAAAGCAATTTGTAGCAAATAACAAACAACCCTAGGAGGTTATAGGAGGACTCCAGGGTTTTTCAATATCTCTCTAAGCTCTTTATTTTCCGTATTTTCTACTTTATTCGCCTCCTACCTGAAAAGAAATTAATAAAATACGTATGATGCCGGTTTATCTTGTTATATTTAGCATCTTCCGGCATCTTTTGATTAAGCTTCTTTATTATTTGATTAGTTCTGCTTTCCTAAACGCTAAAATATTCTCTAAATCATTATTGGCACTTGATTAAATATAATAATCTTCTCAACACCAGCATCGATAGCCTAAGAATCCAAATCCTTCTTTCCGTTTTACCAACAATATACAATTATAATCGTACACCGAACAAACAGCATTTATAGTATTTATTGTATACTACTGTATAGAGACCAAACGAATAACTATACTGTATTCTTATTGTAACGTTTTCCAAACAAAAGGTAATTTAAATAGTCAACTAAAGAGGTACAATAATAGGATACATAATGACATTACAATTTATTATTTGTTAGGGCTATCTAAATAGCGAATGATCGTTCTCTCTTTATGTAGATTTTTCTACATTTTTAAACAATATACATCCAACTATCCAACTGTCCAAATAGAAATCTCTGTAATTTGACTTTGTAAGTTTTACGCACTTTTTGTTTTGTTTCCTTATTATGTCTATTTAAACTTTATATTCTTTTACTTCTATTTAGGAGATCATGCAAGAGAATACCGCAGATATGGTGGAAAGGGATGAATTGCTTCATCAGTTAAGATTGTCGGTCAAGATGATGGTGAATATGAGGGCCTTTGCACTAAAGATACTTAGTACTAAAGAGGCAAAGAGTATGGAAAAGCATCCGAGTATTGTAGCTTTAAAAATAAGGGTTGATCAAATGACCATTACCTTACAACAAGTCATGAATTATCTTTACTGGGCGGACCTATTTGACAACTCGAACATTACTAGAGGAAATCAGTAAAAACCAAACTAAATTACTTTTATTAAACGCTTTTCCCCTATTTTTACAAATATCCTATCTTAGTCTCAGGTTTGTTCTTTTTTTTTTCCAATTTTCACTATCCTTTCAACAAATCTATACTCGAACTGTTGTTTTCAATATAGTAAACTAGATGCTTTATCGTTTTTTATCAATACATATACATATGCATGAAAATTGACAAACTTTCAAATAGATTCTTATTTTAGATTATACAGTATACAAACAAACAAACAAATAAACAAACATACAAACGTCTTATATACTTTTTTGATAAAGCTGTTTGTAATACTCTAAATTATCGTATTTCAAGGAGGAAAACATCCCTTCTCGTCTTATTTAGCATTTCATCTTTACTTCCCGTAAGATTTTCAGCTATTATCTGTGATACAATTGAACGGAAAACGATACAAATACCCTCAATACACAGCCAATCAGGAGTTTACAACCAAACATCTTTTACCAAATCGTTTGTACAAAAAATAATTTTACTATTATTATTATTATTATAAAGAATGCACATAAACATCGCGCCAACAAATATTCATATTATGTTCATTTGCTAACAGAAAGATTGTTCACTATTCGCACGAGCAGTCAATTATGATCTGGGGGCGGAGTTTAATATAAACAATAATAATTACAATTTGCTGACTGTCAGACGCCAAAAAAACTCAGTTTACAATAAGTATATTCCTATTATCTTTTGGAAAAGGAAGCTATTATCTGAGTATTTATCATTTCTTTTTGAACATTCCTTTTCATATTTATGTACATTATTTCCTTTTTTATCTCTCTCTCTCTCTCTCTCTCTCTCTCTCTCTATTTCTAGTCTTTTTTCCTTCTTATTTCGATAGATTGAAGAGACGTTTGGAAAAATGGAAAAAGGGCAGACTGAACAGGTAAATATGTAATCATTTTTTCTTCTTATTTTTATCTTCTTTATCCTAAATTAATATAGTAGCGATCCTTTTACTCTGTTTTCTTTTGAAGGGTACTACCACCCCAAAAGGAGAGATGGACGAGAAGGAGGAAGAAGCCTGGTTGAGAGTAACAATTCAAGAGCTGAGAGAAATCAAGGGGTCGGCCGATCAATTACTTGATGAAGCCGCAGCCTATAGTATGGTTAGAGAATCAATAATTGAAGAACTTCGCGAACGTATGAGTACATCGGGAGCTCTTCTTGAAATCGCTGAGATGATTCTCAACATTCACGTTTCTCGAAGAGAGGATCAAGATAAACTTTGAATAGTCTTTGTTTATTCTTGGCACTTATTTTCATTTGTTCCAAATATATGACATTTGAAAGACAAAAAAAAAGAATCTTTATGCATTTTAGAGCAAACACAATAGGAATTAAACAATCAGCTGTATTTATTATATAATATACATACACTATATATATATATATACAGGTTATATTACTATATACATATACTTTATATATATATACTTTATAACTTTTTAACTTGAATCTTTATTTCAACCTATAATCGATATGTTCAAATATAGTATAGATATGTTAATTAATTGGCTTTTTAATACTATTAATGTATAACTTATTACTACTCTTTGAGTACTTTGAGAGGCTATGTTAAATTAGTTATCGCATTTGGTAAGATCGTTATTTATTAATATTATTTCTTCACGAAGATTATTCCTTTTATATTAATATAAGTAAGAAATCTTTAAGATAGTTAATTTTTTAGTTTATAGTAATATTTCTAATGTATTAGTTGTATTATATGGAAAATAATTAACAAAAAAAAGAACAGAACAGAAAGAATAGAATATTCATCAGAATAACATACTCTGCTAGAACTATGTTGTTCTTAGTCTGCATTAGGCTTATATAAGACATCTGCATTGTTTGAGAATAGAGAATTTTTTTCTTTATTAGAATGGTTCAAAGTTTTGTTTTTTAACCTAAAACAAAAGATATTTTACCTATTTAATATATTTAACAAAAAACTATAAATAGGCCTATTATCTATATTGTTATATAACGTTATATAATTGGCCTTTTCCGTTAGTGTTTTTTTCATTGCCAGTTTGGCCTGGAAATTCTCTGACAAACAAAATAGTATTGTATCTCTTTTACCAGTTTGGAATATTATTTTTAATATATTTGTCTTTCTCTTCCCCTCCCTCCTGGTTAGATCGAGATGGGATTGGGCCTTTATAAAGTATCTACAACTTTTCCATTTGTCTCTTCTTATACGTTACCGCAATGTACGGCCAAATCTCAGACAATTATCAAGAGTGAATTGGCCGATAATATCAGAAAATTCTTAAGAGAGGAAGTTGATCATCATATGGACAACAACGTATTTAAAATACCCGATTATAAGATAAGAATTCTGTTGAACTTTCTAGAACTAGCTAGCGATAATCTTGACTTAGCGGATCAGCATATCTGGCTTTTGAAAAGGATTATGTCTAATTCTATGAATTTAACCGAATTACAGCAAGCATTGAGCGTACTAGAAGAGACTATCGAAGATAAAACTGCTGAAGAGATTAAGGATAATATTAAAAACGTTAAACATCATATTAGAAATCTAAGGATATCTGCTAGTGAGATGATAGATCATATTTAGAATTCTTTGATTCTTAAGCGTTACTTTATCACTTACAGTGAAAATAAAGAATGACTACAAAACAGTTATAACGGAAATTCCTTGTACGGACTTCACGTCTACCGAAATAGAGGAGCAGATAATAGATAAATTTTCAAAAAAAGCGAATTAGATGCCATCCCTCTTAATTATCCTTTCGAAATATTATTTATGCTATATATAATTTAATATTTTCGATTTATTTCACTATAAATGACATAAATATACTTATGATTTAACCCCAAAAAATATAACAATTACTTCTCTTATATTGTTATCACATGGCTATATTATCAATATAATTTCGCAAATTCTTCGTTAATTCTCTTCATATTGAGTATAAAAAAAGCCATTTATTCAGCGCCTACTACTAAAGGATTATTAAAATTTGAGTAAATGTTTAAGTTCAAAGGACACAATAGGTTAATTGAGCGGTTGTCCATTTGTGAACTCTTCTATCGCAGCGTCGGACATCCAGAGAGGTAAGAGTTTTCTATCGAATTTCTTATCAATTTTTATGTAGATAGATGATCCCTTACACTTTTTTGCATTCATTAAATATGCTTTAGAATGCATTTTTTTATACAAGTCCAAAATAAGGACAAGTAAACTGATGGTTACATTGATTTTAAATGAATAATATATAGATATTATGTAAAATACACGATATTTACATAATTTATACAGTATATATATTTATATATATTAGTAAATATATATATATATTTATATATTTACTGTATATATAATACACATCTTATTAGTATATTTATTTCTAAACATAACTCAATATGTATACATATATTTACATAAGATCTCAATACGTTTTATGTACATACAACACATAATATGTATACATCCTATTCCTCTTAGATTATCTAATAACGCAATATAATACAGTATAACCGCATCTGATTAGAATTTTTATAATTAACATAACTTTCTACCTAATTTAAATAACTGATTTATTGAATTAGTAGAAAGAAAAAGTAAATTATCCAACATACTTTCTCTTTTATTCTTTTATCCATTTTTTTTTTACATTCCTCCAACCCTTTATTTAAGAAAGAAAAAACATTTTTGGAAAAGTAAATGGGCTTAATACTTTCAATATTTTTTATTGTTCTTTTTCTAAGACATTTACTAAAAATACTTAGACAAGTCTACTTGTGTACTCGAATAGTTTAAAAAACTATTTATAAATAGTCTCAAAGAGGTAACAATATCCTTTATTATTCATCTTTGCATTAAATAAAAAAAATCAGTTTGTTTTTATTTAAATTATTATGTTAATTTATTTTTTTTTGTATATATTCTCTTATTAACTAGTCGTCTTTAGCCATAATTCTTCATATTTATATGTAAGAAATTATATACGGTATATATATATATATACAGTCTATTTTCGTTAAAAAAGAATAAGATAAATAGGTTCACTCGTATTACGAACGTATCCAGACAAACTCTGACCATACTTAAAAGTGCGCAAATAAAAAAATACTTCCTAAAATTTCTCTCTTCTTTCTTTGTTCTTATATATTGAAGACAGAAAGAGAGAGAGAGAGAGAAAAAAAAACTTTACATTACTTTTTTTTGTTCTTTTTTCATTAAAAAACTTGTCTTTTAATTGAAATTAATTAATTTAAAGTTTTTTTCTTTAATAGCCTTTTATTACACTAAATTTACTATAAATAAATGTTGTTTATGCAAATTAATTTGGATTAACCATGATTTTAATAGATTTAATTATTTTTCAGTATTTTTTACTTGCATAAAATCATTATGAAATTAAACAAAGAAATAGAAAGTACAAAACAATCGACTGGCAAAGCTGGTATTTTTAACAGACTAAAAAGTTGGTCTGGTATTAAAGTAAGAAAGCTGTTTGGAATACTCCGCCGATCTAAAGACAATAGTATGAAAGAAATTATAGTTATAAAAGCTAATAATGAACTTTACGAAAAGGAATTGTCCATTTTGAAAGATAATTTGGCACAAGTTAATGCTGAATTATCCGAATATAAGAAGCAAGTTGAAAAGAAAGAGGAGACGGAAGAGTTAAAGATAGTGCAACCCCCAACTGATGTAAAAGATGATACGGAAGAATTACTTATGTCCGCAATAGAAGAAGCTATTCGAACAGTAGAGGAAAGTCGCATAATGAATGAATCATTCTTTGAAATAGAAACTTTAAAAAGTGAAGAAACTATTGACATGATGGACAATCTTCGAGTTACACTTGACTGTGATATAGAGGAAAAAGCACATCAATTATTAATTGACTTGATCAAAGTAACAAAATTAAATCATACAGATGAGCTAATTCAAAACGTAGTTGAAATATTTAAGGATGCCCGACAAAAGATTGTTAAATCATTTGAACTTCGAATCGAGGAAATTACAGAAGCTTTACTAACACAAAGAAACAAAATGGAAATGACTGAGAGGCGTTTTCGTATCTCCTCGACTAAAACAGTTAGCACTCTAAAAAATACTCGTAGAAAAACGGAGATGATACTAGCTGAGAAATAATATGGTGCCATTCAATAGATAAATGCGTGCATTTTATTTATACTTCGCAGTTTAGTCTTCCCGCTAAATACTAATTATAAAAAAAAGAATGGATTCTCATTAATTGTTTAAATTCTAATTCTACTAAATTTTCAATTTTTAGTCTACTCTCTTATTTTTATTACATCATTTTTATAATGAAAACGATCAAAATTGAAGCTCTAAGCTGCGGAGGATGAGATACTTCAATGTACCATTTGGAAAGATTAATTATTTACAAATTATTACCATTATCGTATAGCTTATAGTATTTTTTCAAGATTTTTGTACATTTATTATTTTACAAAAAAAACAAAAAAAAAATAATAACAAATAATTATATTTAGTATATATATATATATACATATTAGATTACACAGGCATATATGTCTATATATGTACGTATGTATACAACATAAATCTGTATACTATTTAGAGTGTTGAATAAGATGTAAAAATTTCTGATATATATATATTTTTGTATAATAATAAACACTACGAAAAATCGTTCCAGAATAAAAGCTGTTTATACTCGTGTTCCAATAACTTAAAATTTTACGTTTTTAATAGGTATATTATAATATTTACTTTTGTTGAAGGACAACAGATAGCAGCACATTATTGTAAAAAAACAAAACATTTTTCTCTCAATTATTTAGCTAATCTGACACTAATTTGACGATTTCAAAATATAATAGTATTATTTTGGGACTATGTCATTTACTTTTTTCTATTTATTTATTTTTTTTTTTTTTTATAAAATACCCATTATTTACTTTGTGCTTTATTCATAATGTACAATAATTTATTATTATTATTATAAACAAAGTACGCTTTTCTATAAAAAAATAATAATATAAAAGTATATATAGAAAAAGAACGTTCTTTTTTTAAAAGGTTAAACTCGTTCTATTTAGGTAATTAAATTCCTAAAAAAAAGATTTAGCCAATAACTATATATATATATCTTACTTCGACGTTATAAACAGAAAAAGCGATTAGATATTTTGTTATAACTTATCTAACAGAAGATGATGACGCTTTGCAGACGGTTGATGATTCCCTATAATAGCTTTATTATCGTTACGTGGTAAACATTCCTGCAATTAAAACTTTTTTATATTTGCATAAAAAATTAATATTTTAAATGAAAATAAAAAATTTTCTAAATAAATCATATCCGTACTTTAGAAAATAAACACTAAAAAGTTTTCAAACATTTCTGCGATCTCCAAAAAATGGGAAAACTAAAACGGCATTATAATTACCCCTCTAAGGGCTTATTCATTTTTTTCCGCCATGTTGGATAAAGATTGTAGATGATAACAATAATATACATATCAAAAATTTGAAATCGGCATTATTTATTTCCTAAAACTTTTATTTTCTAAGTAAGAAGATAATTATATAGCAAATAACTTTAAATAACTTTTTATCGGCCTATTTTTTTGAGAGTTGAGATTCTTATATTTTTTTAGAGTGTTTCTCGAAATTAAGAAATATGTCAGAATCGGAAGAAGATAAAATAGAGAAAAGGAGAACTTGAGAAAGATCGAAAATTTGCCAATGCAGTAGATTAAGTCTAAATTTGATTAGATGTTGCAGATGTAAAAATGGACTTGAAGGATTAGAAATTATCAAGTTTTCGCCACTTTCAAAATGTTGGAAAGGTCATGATAATTAATTGAATATAGAAATTAACTAGTTGAATATAGAAGATAGCTTCCCCTTAGTTATCAGGAGTTCATCTCACCAAATCCTTACGTTGAAATCTAATGACTAATGGCAAAAAATATGCTGGGCAAAGATCAATTGTAACTGTTGTTTTGGTATGCATCATAATCATTATTACAATTTGGAATTTTTGTAATAAATATATGAGAAATAATCTTCGATTTATCAAATGATTTCTTCAAAATCTAAAGAAAAAACAGATAAAAAATCTAATCCAGTCAACAGCCGTAAAAAAAGTTGATTTTTTTCCTCGGTAAAAAGTTGAGATCAGTCTAAATCATTGGTCAATTTCTAGATGAAACTCATTAAGTGAAAAATAACAAGATTATTATTAAAGCTAATCAACGATAGAGAGTTTGGAAAAGAAGTTTAACTATCTATTAGATATATTGATATCATAGATTAAAAGATTTATAAATTTTTATATGATTAAATGCTATTTATTTAAACAAAATTCATCGAACAAACTCCTTTTCTTTTTTCCCTCTTTTATACAAATACTCAAGCTGAGTAGAATACAGAAATTTCTGTATAAATAGGAGGCGAATTTTTCAGTCACCCTCTTTCTGATGCTTAAAAATTTCCCGGTATTTTATTTCCCAAAGTATATGACTGTAAGTTTACGTTGCATTTTATTAAATTTATTTATATTGCAGTATCCCTTTATATGTTTCTTAATTTATTCATTCTCATATAGCTACAATTACAATGGGAAACTCAAAAAGCTCACTCGTTAAGAAGCTTGGTTTTAAGAGCCAAAGTAACAGAAATTCCGAACTAGACGTAACTGAAGCGGAAAAGCAAAGAAGAGATGGTGTAAAAGCTCGAGCGATGGCACTAAATAGAGTTGTTAGCCATTATTTTGGAAGAAAATCATCAACTGAACAAGTAAATCCAGGTGCTAACAACTCCCAGGCCGAATCAACTGAGAACGTTGAAACAACTGAAGATACAAGTTATATAATCAAGATGAAGGACCGACAAATAGATTACCTCACCAATCAGATACGTAAGTTCCTTTGCATAATTTCCAAGATTTATTCTTACCTTCTCGAGATTACTTATATTCGTTGAATTTTTTTTTTATATACAGATAAAATGTTGACGAAAATGGAGGGTAAGAACTTTAATTTCAAAGATAACTGATTTCATTATACTAAATTCTATCTTCTATCAGGTACCGAATTAGATATTAATGAATTAAGAATAATCTCAGACGAAGTTGATCTTTTCAACAAGGACGATTTTGAGAGATTGCAACAACTGGATATGGTTGAAAATTTGGAGCGAGAAGCCCAGAGACAACGACGTGAAAGACTAGAACTTCAAGAAAAGTTGGAAAAAGTTCATTTACAAAATATGAGAGATCGAATAAGAGAAATGACAATTGAAGAAGTTGACGAAAATGAGGAGGACGAGGACGAGATGGAGGAGGTGAAGGAAGAGGAGGAATCAATAGATGTAGAAAGAACCAAGAGTAAGGGGAAGAAAAACTCCAAGGAAAACAGAAAGGATAGAAAGAAGGCCGAAAAGAGGAAAAAAAATAGAAAGCGTAAAGATATTAAGATCGAAAAGAAACAGAAGAAGAGCCTGAAGCTGAGAGGCAAGAAAAGAGAGAAGCGAAAGAAGTTAGGAAAAGAGGTGTGTAATCGAGAAAATATAGAAAATGATAGTTATTATATTGACTACGATGAGGTTGAATACTACAAGGATCAGGAAAGTTATGATTGGATTGTTACTAGTAACGAGAAATCTTCAAACTTAAATCATATGCTTAATCTAGATAAGACTAAAAATGAGATCGATGAGGGAGAATTTAATGGTATTTTTACCGCTATTAGAGTTTTGGCCGTTGACACAAATGAAATGAGAAATGAAACAAGTATTGAATCTTCCAATGTATCTTTTTCAAGTGAAAGTGAGAAAAAACGAACTGAGAGGACTAATTTTAAATCCTACGAAGAGTATTCGGAAGAGGATAGAGTTGGTCTGGCAATTGCAATGCCCTATCTTGAAATAACCGAAGAAGATACTGTTGGAGTAACCGTAAGCGGATCACCTCAAAGAGAGCTTGAAGAAAAGAACTTAACAAATTTCACCGAAATAGATAACGAATCTTTTGACGAAGGTTCAGTGAAAATGGCTCTGGCGATCCCCCATTATGAATACTATCACGAATGTGAAGATGGAGCATGTGATAGAAGCTTTCAACAAAAGTTACCAGAAAAATTCGATAATGAAAGCGACGGAGAAATATACTATATGGAAACTAGCGACACTGAATCAGAGAGCGAATGTGAATCAGCCGAAAGCCACCAGTATGATACAATCGATGAATCAGATGAAGACATTAAAATGGCTATGTTAGACGGAAAAATCAAGGCTCTCGGAATACCAATATTGGGTGATGATCCGGAGTTAAACATGAATCGAAAACATAGAAACGGCGACTTTGGAAAATTTAATCGATTGAATGATCTCGTAAATGAAGCACGCCGTCAACTCCATAGAAACCTTCAAAAAGATTCTGATGATGAATCTTTATTTGGCTGACCCTTCAAATGTCGGAAAGCTCTACCTCTCGTAGATTGCAACTTTTCAAATTGTTAACGAATTATTATTGGATCTAGACAAAAGACTTTTCCTTTTTGCTTGTCTCGTATTTGTTGAACGTGATACGCACTTTATGAAGAATTATCTTTGTCTCGTTATATCATAATTTGATAATTTGTTAAAGGTATTACTTTATTGTTTCAATTAGAATTTGAAATTGTTTTCTTTCATGAAAATTTCCTAGTTTCCTATTAATGTAAAGAATAAAATAGAAAAGACTTTTTGAGAATCATATCTTATTTATATGTAGAACAAATATCTTTAAAAATTCATATTAATTTGCCGCTCATTTTTGTTCCACGCATGCGTAATGGTGATTTTGAGCACGTGCACAACATTCGCTCAACTTTTTCCGAACAACCAACCCGCCTTCCTGCTACCTACTTTTCAACTTGGGAAAGTACATGTCAGATTAATATTATTGCGTTTTTTTAAATAAGACTTCTTTATAGAAAAATTCTATTTCGACTTGTGAGTACTTTTTTTGGAGGCGCTGAAGTAGTATAAAATTATTTTATGAGTTCTTAATATCTTAAAATTATATTCGACTGGTCATTCTTCTTCTGTAAAAGCTACCATAAACACTTTATCAAGGTTAAAAATTTTATATCTTACCTTTTTATTTGTTAAATGCTTAGTTTTTTCAAACCATTTTAATTTGTATGCTGTATTTTACTAAGTAAAAATTTAGACGTTTTGGGTTTTTTTTGACACTTTATACTTTAGATACTGAATGGAAAAAAATTTATAAAGTGTCTTTGAAAAAATCAGCCAAGCAGACTAACGCTGGTTATTTTATTATACAGTGAAGAGAAATTGACATTTTTTTTCTGTTCGCAGGTATCATGAAGAGTAAAGGCAAAATAGAGACAGTTATTGACAAAATAAGTAAGCAAACATGCTTTGCGGTAGAGAGAGCCTCTGAAAATGGAGGTAAGCTTATTCCTGATAATGAATTTTATTTAGCTGAATAGCATTACATTTTATTTAAACTACTCAAGATGGCCACGATAGTTCCTCTACTCGAACTGAAACCACATCGACTATACAGCCTACTGAACTTCAACAAAATGAACCCAAAAACAGAGAAGTCGAGATAGAAGGGAAAGCGGACGGTTCTACTAATAAACATTTTACAGGAGACAATCAAGGTTAAACTCCAATGTCAATAGAAATTCTAAATAAATATATATTCTACATATAATAGGTTCGAAAGATTTAAGTGCTATAGCAACAAATACAGATATCCACCATCAACTGTCAACAACAAAAAGGAGACATCAAGGTGAAATTATAAATAACAATAAACTTTTATAACTAAAATAAAAATATCTTTATTAGGCAGTGCTGAAGCTGACAATATAGCCAGGATTTCTGTTAACGATGGCAACCCTAATAAGCTGTTTGACAATAAAGAGGAAGTTGATCAAGGTAAAATCTCAAAGGATTTTAAACTCTTTACCTTTTAAATATAGTAAACACTCAAACAAGGCTTGAATAATTTAAATTCTGCTACAGATGAGATGAATAAATACCAACCAAATCATTCAAGGAAAAAGCGACGTCAAGGTTTTTATAATATTTATTTATTGAGGGGTACGCAAATATCTTCATTGATATTGGAATTTCTCTCGATTTATACTGCTACTAGGTTCCAAAAAAATTGTAGCAAAAAATTTATATGCAGTTTAAATATCAAATCAAAAAGAACTATTACCTCTTCACTTTTTCCAGCTAATAAAAAAGACAGCGACATCGGGCCGAGTACTTTCTCCTCAATTAAGACACATGACGAAGATTGCAGTTCTGGTATGATTAATCTATAAATGAAAACTCATAATTATCTTGCAACTCAAAACCAACAGACACAACCAACACAGACAGTGAAGTTGACGCTGAAACTGATTCTAAAGTTTCATACGAGGACTTGAGTGGTTCGGGTGAAGACTCGGGTGAAGACTCGGGTGAAGACTCGGGTGAAGACTCGGGTGAAGACTCGGGTGAAGGCTCGGGAGAAGACTCGGACGAAGACTTGGACAAAGAGTTGGACAAGGACTCGAACAAGGACTCGGACAAAGATTCGGACAAAGACTCGGACAAAGACTCGGACAAAGACTCGGGTGACACTTCAGGTGAAGACACAAGTGAAGATTCAGGTGAAGATTCAGGTGAAGATTCAGGTGAAGATTCAGGTGAAGATTCAGGTGAAGACTCGGTTCAGGACTCAGGTGGCGATATGGGCAATGATACAAACGATAATACAAGTAACGATACGAGCGACGACTCTGATGATGACAATACGAATGATAATATCAGCGACACCACTATTGATGAAGACGCCGTCGATGATTCAACTGATGATACAAAAGTGAGTACAACAGAAGAATGTGGAGCAGAGTCGAACTCTATCAGAATAAGTTGTAATGCTACAACTAGTGGCATTGGTAAGGCTTCTTAATATTTTTTAATCTTACAAAAACTATATAGTAATTTATTTTGTAAAGGAAATACTTTTGTTAGTGCGACTTCAGAAACTCCTACGAGTCCTGAGGTTCCTGTAAATCCTGTGATTCTTACAAGAAATATGGTGCCTACAATTAATGCGATTTCTATGAGTTCTGTGGTTCCTGTGAGTTATATAGTTCCTACAAGTACTGTGGTTCCTACGAGTAATTTGGGTCCTGTGAGTGCTATATTTCCAACAAGTCCTATGATACCTGTGATTGCTACAGTTCCTACGAGCAATGCGAATCCAGTGAGTTCTATAGTTCCTACAAGTCCTACAGTTCATTCAGTCCCTGTTGTTGCTATGAATCCTACGAGTAATGTGCTTCCTGTGAGTTCTGCAGTTCCTATAAGTTACGTGGTTGCCACAGTTCCTACGAGCGATATGAGTCCAATGAATTCTATAGCTCCTACAAGTCCTACGGCGGCTGCAGTTCCTGTTGTTACTATGATTCCTACGAGTAATGTGCTTCCTGTGAGTTCTGCAATTCGAACAAGTCCTGTGGTTACCACAGTTACTATGAGTAATGTGAGTCCTGTGGTTGCTACGAATCCCGTGAATCCTAGAAATTCTTCCACTTTTTTCAATTCTTCCACTTCCTCCGAGTCTACGAACCCTTCGAATTTTGATCTACCAAATGAAAATACCAGTGAAAATGAGGTAATTAATTGTTGTTGTTAGTAAATTCATTAAATTCATATGACGTATTTTCTTTTACCAGGATGCTTCAGGAAATGTGGTAGAATTTTTTGAGTTTCATCCTATTTTCTGGATTCACGGGATGACCACTTTGACAACTCGAGTTCTAACTGCTCCTAGAGATTGCAATGAGGAAGAGGTAAATAATTTTTACAAACTGTTATTTTTAATAAGATTACTTAATTTTAGCAACGAAAGAGAGCTTGTGAGAAAATGCACGAGTGCCCACATGTAAAATAAAAACTAAAGTTTATTAAATTTTCATTAATATATTTTATTATAATACCATAGTTCGTACCTATTAAGCCCGTGGCTGTAGAGCCCAAAGATCTCCCTAAGAATAGTGAGAATAGTGAGAATAATGAGAATAGTGAGAATAGCGAGAATAGCGAGAATAATGAGAATAGTGAGAATATTGAGAATAGTGCTAAAATTTCCTCTAGCACACCAGAAAGAACTAATGATTCAGAAGAAGCTAGAGGTAGGGGTAGGGGTAGGGGTAGGGGTAGGGGTAGGGCTAGAGGTAGAGGTAGAGGTAGAGGTAGAGGTAGAGGTAAAAGAGCGAGAGCCGCAACTCGAACTCCATCTCCAGTTTTGGTTCGAGATACATCTTCGGGTTTGGTTCCGGACTTGTCTCCAGTTGTTGCTCCGTCGATAGCTATGGCATCCGATTTGGCTTCAGCTTTGACTACGGCTTCGGCTATGGCCACGGTTATGTCTTCGTCTGCAGCTACGGCTTTGGCTTCGGCTACAGCTACGGCTACGGCTACAGCTACGGCTACAGCTACAGCTACAGCAATGGCTGTGAACTCTGCTTCGGGTTCAGTTACAACTAAATCTTCGACCATGACTAGATCTATTTCTTCGTTTGGAAAAAATTCTCAGGTACATTTAATATAAGAGTAAGGAGTAGTTAAACCACAATTCGATCTTTAAGAAACACTTAAAACAATAAATCACTTCCAATTTGAACTTGTAAAAGTTTCTGGAACAAACCTTATAGAAAAATAATGATAGTCTTTTTAATGATTATTTAAAGATAAGAGAGAATTTGACATCCTTCACTTGAAACAGCAGCTTGAAATGAGATTAAAGCTCGCTAATTACTCACATTTTTTGTATTTATATAAAAATTTCCAAGACATCACAAACTCAATAGATTTTACATGGACACTTCGTTACAGATTGAAAATGCTAACGAGGCGACCTATGCTGTTAATACTGAAAATTCTTCGAAAACTTTTCCAGAGACAACAAATATCATTAATAGACGATCGCAAACTATTTCTGAATATCCTTCAAAGGTTATGAAAATTTCGCATTCCCAAAACCCGGAAAGCTTATCTCTACCGAATCATAGTGTTTCCACTACGATTATGTCATTAATAAATTACCCTGATGCGACCGTCGCAACTCAAGAGCAACCTAACAGAAATGGTAGGGTAGACTTATATATAGATATGATCTAAATAGATAAATACTTCAGGAAATAATATATACATAAAACAAGAAGTCCAAAGCCCCTATTGTTACCCTGGTAAAGTATCGACAGTCTCTATTCAACAAAATGAAGCTGACCGAGATATCTTAGGTCTATCACAAGTTCAAGAATTTAAACTACCAGATAAGAAAATTTGTTATACTTCAGGGAGCAAGCAAACACCTTATTTCAGCTCTTTCGTCCAATTCCCAAAAGTAGGGGTGGATAATCAGATACGAGAAAACGCGGAAGCGTTAATGGCTACCAGAAATAAATTAGAAACTACTCCAGATATAATCTCGAACGAAACTAATGGAACAATACATATGCATTTTCAGTTAAATAAACCTCCGGATGCTGTGTCTTGTTCTTATTTTAGTTCTAGTTCTTGTTCTAGTTCTAACTCTTGTCCTAGACCTAGTTCTATTGAATACCAGAACTTGTTCGACACTGAATGTAACAAACAACTACCTTGGAAAAAAAATCATCGATTCAAGCACATAGCATCCGTACCTTATAACAAGACAGCATCAGCATCAAAAAGAGTATATGCACAAACTGACATGAGTGGATCGCAATCATCATCAGTAAATTATAAATACAACGAACCTTTTTCTTTTGGAGGAGTCCTGTCGCGGCCAATTTCTATTGAAGGTCAACATATTCAGCAAAGCACTTCCCAGATTCCACCACTGGCTCATAATAATGCTACCCCAATAATTTCATCTATAGGCAGAGTTCCTCGAAGAGCCCACAGCAATGAACCTAGTCATTACTTTTCAGCACATATCCCAACCGTTTGTATTCTTTAGTGCTAATGAATCATAAATAACTTGGATATTCTTACAGGAGTTTCAGTGTGTCAGTTCCGCAGAAAATGATAGAGTATCAGACCCTTCACAGCTACCCGAGAATCTCAAAGTATACGGAGAATCAAATTTCATTTGATGGAAGTATGAAAGTAGCGACGAAAATTTTTTGCGTAAAGAAAATATATACCTCTAGTTATTGATATAAAAATATATACATTATATTTTTTATTCAGAGTAGAAAATTAATTTTTATTTATAAAAGTCTAATCTATAAAGTAACAATTTGAACAATTAGATTAACATTTTCAAATTTAAAAATATGCAACAATCGTAATAATTATTTGTAAATGTCATTTTTTTTACAACCACGGATTGAAAACGTATTTAATTCGAATTTATTAAAAGCAACAAAGAAATACCCGACAGCATCAAAACTTTTTAAGATGAACCCCTTATATATAGTTTTCCATTAAAAAAAATATTTTGCATAACATAACTAAATATACAAAACTTTAACAGGTTTTCAATGATAAACCAAAATCATTAAGTCATATATTCATTAACTGTTCGGTTGAGAGAATTGTATAAAGCATATATAAAGTATATTCGCATCCTCTTTCAAGCAGAAGTAGAAACTACAAAATTCAAGTAATTCTTTAGTCTAAAAGGCAATGGGAGTTTGACTATATCTTCAACTGCAGTATATTTGAGAGTTGTACATCGGGATAAATGCTGCAGAGTCGGTATTTGAACAGGAGATTCAACAAACGAAACAGTTCCATAACGATCTCTAAAAAAAGAAAAAAAATTTCAATAGAGTAGTGTGAGGTGAAAATTTTATACTAATAAATTCAGTTAAGCTACACATTGTTAAAAAACAATATGTTTACGTACCCTACGGCCAAAACTCTTCCATTCGGCGAAAAAGAGCAGCATAGTATATGACTTAAACTAGCAATCGATTGTGGTACATCAATATCACTTTCAATGTTCCAAAACCTTACATATCCATCGTCGGCTACACTAGCGACGTGAACTCCATCTTGAGAATATGATACTCCTCTGACGAAGGCATCATTTTCACCAGCAGCATATATGGCTGATGGCATAGGGAAGAGATGACCAAAATCTCTCAGCTTGGTGGCACATTGAACATGCCAAATAATCACAGTAGAATCATAGGAAGCAGTGGCTAGAAACTGGCTATCCGGAGAGAAATGGGAAGAGACAACGTCGTGATGATGACCCTCCAATCTGGCAATTTTGTTGTAGGTTTTGCCATCAAATAGTTCAGCATACCTTGATTTACCCGTAACAGCAATGGCTGTTGCGTCTGGCGACCAGGCACAAGAATATAGCCAGCTTGGACCTTTAACCTTTATTGTTTTAAACATATTACCGTAGTCATTAACTTGCCAAAATTTCAAGAGGCAGTCTCGTCCACATGATAAAAGTCTCATCGATCCATCCGGGGCAAAACACAGACTTCTAACAATATTTGTATGGTCCACCAGATCCAGGACTGCCGTAGCTGTGTCTACTTTCCATATGCGAATTCTACCAAATTGTAAACCAATAGCCAAGACAAGATCCTTCTTAATTTTATTAGAGCCAAAAGCTAATGACCATATTAAGTCACCAGCATCAATAGTAGTTTCTGACTTTCTTCGAATTATTTGGTTGTTCTCATCTGTATTATTGACATTTATCGGACAATTTTTATCATTATTCCAAGGTATCAAAGCTAGTTGGCGTTGACCCTTTGACCAAGCGAAGTAAGTACCATCATCCGACCATGCACAACACCACGATTCTTTTCCTGCTTTCCAATTTTGAATAATTTCTACAGATCGCAGCTGGTGTATTACTTGGGCATTATCTAAATGAAAATTACTGAGTCGTATAAAATAGTTGATACAAATGCATTAAATATACTTTTATTATAAAGCTAATGTGATAGTTTTTATCTGAATCACAAACCTGAGAGACTAGCCATTGATTAACGAATAAAATGTTCTAATTTACAAGAATTATTTAGAATTTTTCGGTTGTACGTAAAGAGCCGGTACGCGTTATACCCTGTATCGATTCAAATTGTGTGGGACGCTAGCTAGGACATCGGCTACTAGATGGCAGTGTTGTATATTTCCTAGCAGACGAAATTTTAAAAAACAAATAGTCTTTTAAATAATCCAAGAATTAGAAGAATCTATAAAATAATATTCAAATCAATCTGTTAAATCAGTTGTTCACAGTTAAACTTTGTAAATGTGGGTTAATTTTCTAGTTAAGATCATATCATAGTAACATAACTTGAAAAGTTAAATTATTAACGTAATTTTAATAATGATAGATAAAAAAATAATAGAGGAACCGAAACATGGCCTCGAAAAATTAATCAAACACACTAATATTTATCTTGACATATCGAGAGTTGAAGGGGTGATAATGCCTTTTTAAAATACGTCCCAGAAAAAGTTGACATTGAAGTTAGCTGAACTGACACAACAATGGATAAAAAATTAAATTGCGCACGTATCAAAAGCGATTATATATACAGTGTATATATATATATATTCTATGTTAAGAAAATATAATATTGGATTGTGAAATATATACATGTTATAAATTACTAGTCCATTATATAAAATTAAAAAAAAGCATATGAAGCAAAAGCTGTAGCTTAAAATTGTTTTCTAATTGCATCCGTTGGTTCTATGGAATTATCTACTTTCTGTTTATATTTTACATTATAGTTTCAATGGTTAATCAGGGATTTTTAACTATTGTGTATCCATATCATGTAAATAAAATATTCTTGTGAAATTTGTTAGCAGACTATCTTGGAATTTTCAGGAAATGTTACGAAACTTTTCGAGCTTCGATTAAAGAACATATACTTTACCTAACTGTCTTGCGTCCGTATTTTGAGCAAATGGTCTTTTTTCTATTCCCATCGGATTATCAATCACCTATTATCGATTAAGGTAGATTCTTAGATTTATATAAAAAAAATTTGTTTACGATTAGCAGAAACGACGTGTCGTCTCCAAAAGGTAATCGATAGGTCCTTGACTGGTTTGAACCGCTTTTAGAGGATGTTTCAGTATTTATAACTGTTTTCGAATTTGGAAAATTTTTCAAATATTTATTTTTTTATTTTATTATAAAAAGCCAAAAAATGTTTCTCACATTTGCTTCAACATTATTTCAAAAGAAGTTCAATTTTTTTTTAATTTTTTTCAGCCAATTACCATTTAGATGACATAAAAGTATGGGTGCGGGAACTTAAGAAAAACAATACAATATTGATATTTTCCACATTTTTTCTATGTTTTATAATTAATAGTAAAAAAATACGACTTTTGAAATCATAATTTGTTATTTAGTTATACTTGCTCAACGAAAAGTCCAATGTCTGTTGTTTAGTGTTGTTAACAAGTATAGAAGCTAAACGATGATTGGCTACGGCACGCAAATTTTTCTGTGACGTCATAGTCTGAAGAAATTAGTTCAATGTCCGGTGGGGTATTCCAATTTTGTGTCAGCATTTAAAATTGTTATTTACGTCGCACAAAATAACAATGGCCGATTCTGCCGTATTCGACATCGAAATCCAAGACAGCAATGAACATGGCCAAAGGTTATATGAAGACGAAGTGGTTGAAATTGGAGAAGAAGTCATTGAGGTATCTATGAGCCAAATCTTTCAGTTTATATTTCGACATGTGTCTCTAAGCTTGTTGGTCTACACTTATGTCAGACGTATGGGCGCATCTATTCAATTGCATTTTTGACTAAAGTCAGATTTTGAAGTGTTAAACAGTGTTGTAACATTGATATTTCTGATTTTGTATTCAATCAACAGATAATTAATTGCGATGCAATTAAATCGGCGTAAAACTTGAGTAAAATTATATTTATCCTTTCTAAACACTAATGCATATTGATATTTTACAGGGGGAACTCACCGAATTGGACATGATGTATGTAAATTTAATGTTTGAGTGAAAATATTATAATTTAAACGTTTTTATCGTTATAGAAGCATGGATGATGCTGTTGAAACCTACAACATCGATGAAAACCTAGTTAACCAAGGGCAAGCAAAGTGCAATCCACAAGATTTTGAACTATTGAAATTATTAGGAAAAGGAGGTTATGGTAAAGTGTTTCAAGTTCGCAAATTAAGCGGAGCGGACCAAGGGTCAATATTCGCCATGAAAGTACTAAAAAAAGCCAGCATTGTAAGAAACCAAAAGGACACTGATCACACGAAAGCAGAAAGAAATATATTAGAAGCCGTTAAGGTAAATCGAGCGGTAATTTTTGAAAACAGAAGAGATTAACGAATGATTGATTCTTTAGCATCCGTTTATCGTGGATCTTATTTATGCCTTTCAAACCGGAGGAAAACTATATTTAATATTAGAATATCTTGCCGGTGGGGAGCTATTCATGCAGTTGGAAAGGGAAGGAATATTTTCTGAAGAAACAGCATGGTTTGTTTTTATTTAACTTAGTTGCTTAACTCTTTTTATAAAAATTAATATCTGTTCACAGTTTTTATCTGGCCGAGATAGTTCTTGCAATAGAGCATTTACACTCCTTAGGTATTATATATAGAGACTTAAAGCCAGAAAACATATTATTAGATTCAGAAGGTTGGTCTATATTAACTTTGCCCGCATAAGAAACAAATTCGAAATTAATTGATTACAGGACATATCAAATTGACTGACTTTGGATTATGTAAAGAGTCAATCGATGATGATAGCGTTACACATACATTTTGTGGCACAATTGAGTATATGGCTCCAGAAATCCTTAGACGATCGGGTCATAATAAAGCTGTGGATTGGTGGAGTTTGGGAGCCCTTATGTACGATATGCTTACAGGCGCCGTAAGTGTAACCATTAAATTTAATCGAACTGCTTAGCTTATATCTAGATCTTTTTTTTATATTTTGGCAGCCTCCATTTACTGCTGAAAATAGAAAAAAAACAATGGAAAAGATACTAAAAGGGACTCCAAATTACCCACCGTACTTGACAAGATATAGCCAAAGACTATTAAAGGGTGTAAGTGCTCTCATAAAGAGGAACAACTCTTAAAATTTAATTAGGACAATTGTTGTTGTTTATCTACAAGGAACATTTTTTTTTCTCTAATTATAGTTATTAAGGAAACATGTTTCTGAAAGACTAGGATCCAAAGCCGACGATGCTGAACCAATCAAACGACACGAATTTTTTCAACACTACATAAAAAATTGGGACGATGTTATACAGAGGAAACTCGAACCACCCTATAAGCCTATAATTGTTCGTCTATTGTTCTCACTCACCATAAATTGTAATTTAAAACTTAAATTTTGAAATTTTGAAATTGACAGAAATCGGAGGAGGACGTCAGCCAGTTTGATACAAAGTTTACTAAGCAAACACCTTACGATTCACCAGATGAGGGATTTCATTTAAGCAGTAGCGCTGCATTAGTATTTCAAGGATTTACATATATAGCACCTTCGGTGTTTGAGGAGATGCGAGGACCGTGGAAAACACCTAAAGATCCTCGCTCACCTAGAAAATTTGATCCTCAAAGGTTCGTATATAAACCGCAAGAGTTTTCCTTATGAAAAATACTTATAACTATATTAAAGGTTAAATTTAATATATAATTGAGTTAATTAATAAATGAAGAACGTACGTTTTTTTGTTAAGAGTTACAATTTGTGCTCTTTTCGATGATTGTAAACTTGTTTTTGCGATATTATCAAAATGAAGACTTGTTTATATGGGTGAATAAATTATGAAGAGGCAGAATAACAAGATTATTTTATCTGATACTAATATTTCGTACCTTAATATCGGATATAAATTAACGAGCGCTTGATTAGTAACCCCTTTAATTTATTATCTTACCAGATCACGTAACAACTACAAAAACGATATATATATATATATATACCTATATGTATATATATATATATATGTATAAAAATATATCAAAACCTCAGCTATCACCAAAAAGAAATATAATCAAAATAGATAAACAGCTTAACATCTCTAAGATATACAATATATATACTGTATATATATATTTATTAAATTGTTGAATATAAGTTAAAATTTACAAGATATATATTGCAAATTAAAAAAATTTTGTCCATTGATTTTCAATAGGACAATATTTATTTTAAAAAGCCTTTTTTCAAACGAAATCGAAAAGAATGTTTATTTTTTTATTCACAATTTAAGTAGAGGGAAGAAAAGCTGCTTTTTCTCTAATGAACACAGTCTGTAGCCAATATAGAAAGAGAAAAGAAAATAAATTTAATACTTATCTTAAAATAGAACTTTGCTTTTGCAGAGTAATTTTACAATTATTAATATTAAAGCGTTTCCTTTCTTTAAAAAACGAAAGTGTTTTAAGTAGGATAAAAAAAGAACAATTAAATTAAACAATCAAGATAACAAGGATTTATATGATTCTATTATTTTTTGTAATATATATTTTGCCTATTTTACACAATTTCTCTTTTTGTTTTTATTATATTAAAAACTTAAATTGGTCTCTGAATATAAATGATTTTTACATACATCAATATTATAGACATATTTTACATATGTTTTATTAAGAATTCTTTGATAAATAATGAGGCCAAACAAAGTTAGTAAAGTTTAAAAACAAAAATAATTTATATATATAAATAAAAAAATTTAGAACATTCAATTTGTTAACAAAGTGCTCTTTTTCTTTCTTAATTATAGGGAAAAAAAACTGTATATATGGAGGTATGACAGTTAAACGTTAAAATATATACAAGATTACATATATATAATATATATATATATATATATATATATTTATATTAATCCAATATAGCATTTGACAATATTGATTAAGAAACTATGTAAATAGAACTAAAGATAATTAATTTTGATTTTTTTTTGATATGGTATATTTAACTTTTATTTAATGAATGCTATTATGAACATTTTTAATTCATACATACTCAATAATCCTATTTAACCCAACCTGCTTATTGCTCTGATTTCAGCCAACTTAATATGAATCCTAATGGAGTTAATATGCAATGTAGTGAAGAAGATATGGACTGTACGATGACCAGCCCAAATGGTCAAGCGGCCCCTGCTCCATCTCCCATTAACTCAACGACTAGCCATCCAGAACACAGGTCTCCCGCTATTGCTACTAAACGTAGAAGTGCAGCTCATGCTTTGCACCATCTCATATGTTATGATTGACACAAAAAGCCATATAAACCGCATCTCCCGCTTCTAGAACTATGATTTTCATGTATTTTTTTACACAGTGGTTCTTTGAACTTCTGAACGCATCGGTGCTTTTATATTGACTTTTAATTCGACGATCTATGCAGCAGAAAATTCATTTTAGAATCGAGAGATTGACAGTTATGCTGGGTATTGTGATATTATGTGCATTTTGTAAACATTGAATCGTACAGTATTCGTATTTTAACCCTTCAAAATGCTAAATAATTAACGAGAAACTATTTGTTTGTTTTTGTTTTAAAGACGATTTTTATTTTATACTTACTAATTATTGACAGCGATATCCCCCTCTTCTATGCTTAAAATACCCTGAATAGCCAAGTCAGATTGATGCTTTGTTCCGCAAAAAAAAAACACACCACGGCGAATAATAAGATCAACGTTATTTATCTTGGAAAAAACTGCAAAATCTTAATATCTTTGCAGTGTTGCTGTAGGACGTACGGAGGAACCAGCTACTGTCTTCTATCCGACAACGTCAAAGAAACGTTCGCATCCTCGCTGGTTGGAAAGTTCTTTCTTACGAAAGCTATTCTGATTCCAATATGTTTTTTTTTATTATTTAATTAATTTTATGTTCATTATTAATATTGTTATTTCACTGATCAAGCATTTTTTTGGTAGACTAGCTTTTAAGATAAAATGTCAAAGTGTTTATATATATATTGTATATATATGTAAGCAGTTGCATTGAAAAATGGTTTTTTTTTTTTTGTTACTATATCTCCTTCGGCTGATTAATTTCATTCAAGTTAACTATTTCTCTTAATTTTTTCTCTTCATGTGTGATAAACGCTATAAAAGAATTGTTACATGTGCGATATATACAATGTATATACAGGACATATGAATATTTAAATAGTAAAATATACAAACAATAATATTTATTTTTATTGTTATTATAACAAAAGTAATAAATATTAATCTCAAAAATGAAAACTGTACGGTTATCAATTATTTGAGGAGAATTATTTTACTCTGTCTTACTCTTCGGTTAGAGTACGAATCTCTTGGGCTAAAATGTTTGTTATTCTCATGGCTTCTTCGGCATCTTCGCCTCCTATTTCTTTGAGTGCGTAGGCGGCCGCGTCTCTAACGCTAGAGATAAAATCGTTCCTCCATAAAAGGACTAGCGAAGAAATAGCTTGTTTTGCTTTAAGTCTTCCTAAAGAGAGACATCCGCTCTCTCTAACAAGTCGATCTTTGTCACTGAGACACTTTATGAGTGCTTTAATTACTTTTTCTTCATTTGAGCCTGTTTTTGCAAGTGATATTGCGGCAACTGTACGAACGTTATTGTCTGAATCATAGAGTAGATCAAGTAGAGCTTCCATAACTGCCTTAGAACGGAATTTTCCAAGATTTTCAATCGCTTCCACTCTAACAGTTGACTCCATATTGAAGACTTCTCTTATCGTATAGCTTTCAATAGCTTGCTCTTGTACACAAGTCCAAAAAGGACATTCCTCTTCGTTTATTGTACAAAAATCTAAAAAAAGAATACAAACGTACTGAAATTCAAAAGTTTTTTTTTAAAAGAAACTTACGATCATAATTCTCTTTTACCACTCTTCCCCCATTGTCAGCCACCTCCAATTCTCTTTTCAGTATATTTAGTAGCCACTTTTGATCTTTAGATTCTATCATATTGTTTAGTGCCTTATCTACATCCTTTAGAAAAGCTTCCTCAAATTCAGGATCCCATTTTATATAATTTCTTCCCTTGAAATTCTTTTCCCAGAAACTCTCATTTGATACTTTATTCTCATACTCCTTTGGTTCTTTATCAACCTTTATTGGTCTTATTGATGTTCTCGATGGATGTCGTCTAAGAGATGGTTGATTTTGAACTGACAAAATAACGAGTACAAAATTAATATTCAACCTCTGACTTATTATTTATTAGCACCTGGTTCCATATGCTGGCTAGGGGCATTGAAATCTGCCACCTCAGTTTGTAGAACCGACTTAATCTTTGAGGCAAGACTGAACAAATTACTCTCGTAATCTTCTTCTTCTAGAAATAATCGCCATTCAAAGCGAGCTAACTGCAGTTTCCTATAAGAATAAAAAAGAATGAGGAAGAGAATAAGCTTTTTCAATGAAATATTAAGACATATTGTATTATATATTATATATTATTATTGTATAAATTATATATTTATAAGAAAATAGCCTACATGCCAACGTCCATTTTATTGAAAAGATTTCGCGGTTGTTCTAAAGCCACAGGGAAAATAGGTTTTTTTGAAATATAAGCCAAGGCAAGCTCATCCTGACAGTATTTTGATTCGACAGTTTTTTCACTCAAAAGTGAAATAAAGCACTGTGAAAAATAAGATAAAAGAAAACTATTCTCTTCAATCCGTGTTAAACTTGTCACGGAATTGGAAAAAAAAAACAAAAATAAAAATACCGTGGCATCTAATATAGCTTGTCCAATTTTACTTAGAAAATCCATACCAGCTTTTAATCCAGTAATGTCAGCCCAGACTGTAACTCCGTGTTCTTCGAGTCCACCTATCAAATGTAATAAAGAGGACATAATTATATTGTGAAAGATAATCATAAAGTCCAATTACAAACTTTTTAATCTCTTCATTTCTGCCATGTTTGCATGACTGTAGCTAATCATTACATTCTTAGGCTCGTCTAAGACGTCCACTCGTTTTTGTTCATTTTTCAATTCTTTATCAATTTTATCTGTGATACTGTTGGGCTCCATTTGACTTGGAGTTCTACTGCTGTCCTTAAAGCTCTTGTACATACTGAAACTAAGTGACATAAAGTGACTCACCTATTCCTCTTATTGATTATTCAATTGTTAACTAAAACATGGTTATATCTACAATTGGGGGAGAATGTCTAACCGACGTTTAGAAATAAAGCATATTTCTCTATCCAGATAACAACTTTACACAAAGACAGTAAGCACCATACAAGGTAAGCATTTGATATATACCACTAGTTATCGTGTATATATATATATATATATATATATATATATACCGTATATAGCTGCTGTAATACAGTATAATTGTAAATTATAGTTGAAAAAGCAGTAAAAAACCAAAAATTAGATATATACCTATGCAGAATTAACTATAATTTTGATAACAGAATAATAGCTTTAGAATCTTTATTATGTCCACTTATGCTTTTTTGGATATATTAAGTATATACATATATAATTTTATAGGCGTTGCTATTAAGGGAAATAACCTTATTTTTTTTTTAAATATTACTCATTTTCTTTGAAATCTTTTGGAAGAGAGGATAGAGTATGGTTCTAAATTTTCTTACGAACCTTTATAATTAACTATTAACTGAATATATCAAATAGAATTAGGTGTAGCAAGCGGGGATAGTTTGTTGAATCTGTTTTAGCGCGCCATTTTCGCCGTTGTTAAGTACGGAGTAAGGTGATTGATCAATAAATGACGTCATGGAAATTTCAGCAAATCGTATACTATGAAAAAAATCACAAATGAGGATTCTCTTCCCGAAGAGTGATTGCTAGTAACACACCTAGTAGGCAAGTTGGATAATAAAAAAAAGCGGAGTCAGTCGGCATCGGAAAAACGTAAAGTAAAAATCATTTAAAACATTCTGATAGGAATAACGTTATGTTAGAAATCAAATTAGACGCTTTTGGATTATAATTTTTAGATATAAATATAGTGTTTTATTTTCTTATTTTGCATCGTTTTAATTGAAGAATAGAAACAAAAAAAAAATAAAACAGAAACTTTGTGGTAAATAGCAATTAAATTCTTAATTTCATTTAATTAGACGCCTTTTAATATTTGAAAAAAAAAGTAATAAAAAAAAAACAAAAAATAGTAGGCTTTAGAATTGAAATAGTTCGAAATGAAATTTTTAAAATGGGTTGTGCGCCTACTAAACATGTGAATATACCGAATGGGAGAAATATTAGAATAAATAGTAAGTTAAATGATGTCGTCAACGTACCTTAATTAGAGAATTAAAGATATAAATTCAATGTTTTAATAAAAATCCATAAACTTCGATGTTGTAACTTATCAAGAGATGTAGAATATATATGACACTAAAAAATAATTCTAAATGCTCCCTCTATATCTCTCTATTCTGTCTATATATATATTTATTTTACATCCTTAAAGATAAAGCGAACGAAAAAAACAAGGCCATAACCAAGTCAATACCTTTCGTGTACAAACTTGTTTTAAATCTATATAAAATGTTTATTGCCTTTTTCTTTCCCTATCAGTAATTGAACCAACAAGTATAGCAGATTTTAGTGAAACGCAAACTAAAACGCCTTCGTCATCTAGAAGCATTTCAAAAACAACAATAAAAGAAACGGTTAGCGAAGAAACTGATAAACCTTTGGAAGAGAAAAATTGGCCAAGAACTTTAGCTTATTAATAATTAATAAATATGAATGAATCTCTAGACGTTCTTATAAGCCATTCTAAAGAGGATATAAAACACGCCGAATATATTGCAGGTATGATATATATTTGCAGAAAGAATTAGAAATCATATAAATCATGACAATTGTTTACAAAGAGAGTTTATTTTTAATCCAAGAAATGCAAGCTTTTTCTTGAATATTATAATATTAATTCAATCAATAAGACCATTATATATATATATATATATATGCATTATATAAATTAGTCAGAAAACAAAAATATCCAAAATCGAGAGGTAAGTATATAATTAACTGCTTTTTGCTCTTTCAACATCCAAACGCTTTCTTTTTTAAGAAGTTACCATAGTAACGAAAGGTATGTCTTTCTTCCTAAACAGATGGACTCAACAAATCAGGTATTGTGGCTTATCATTCTGCTATAGACTCGGCGACTGTAAAATCTGGACTACAAAAAAATGATGCTATTGTTAAGGCTAAGGTAATAAAAAATATCTCTATACAGCATATAGAGTCTTATAAATATGTATATTACAATATAGATATTTACAAATGTATTTATAGCATCATACTGTAAAATCCTTATTTTTACCAAGGAAAAATATAAAGCCAACATTCATATCCAAATATAATTTCAATACTAATTTCTTTTATTCCTTTTTTTTTAATTATCCTTAAGGTATTCCTTCTCATACTCAGCCCGTATTCGACTAAAGATGAGAGATTGAAAGACGAAGTTGCTTTGGCCTACATTTCGAATAAACCCGTTTTTCCAATTGCTCTTAAACATTACAGTGCATTAGCTGGTGATATGGATAGTGCTCTGTGAGTTTCGATTTTTCTATAATAATGTAAATATAGTTGTGAGAATTGTTTTTCTTTAACCGGGGTCGATAATAGGAAATTGATGTTAGCAAAAATAAATTGGACATTCTTAACAAACAAAACTTCTCCGCAAGACACTATTGACGAGTTAATAAGTCAAATCAAATACCAGTTAAAGAATATATCTGAGAGTCCTTCTACCCAAGCGACTGTTGATAAATTCGACGCTTTTCAAGGTTTAAACAAGAATAGAGAGAATAGAGAGGAAGACGACGAGAAAGCTAACAACATTCGTTCTGACTTTTGGCAAATTAATTTTCAGGATAAGAACGAAATTCAATGGCAAGAGTTTCGTGATGCTTTCATAAAAGAGTACGAAGAGAAGATATGCAAAAACTTTGGTTTTGACAGAGTCAACTGGTTTTGTGAACTCCTTTTTGACGATGTTTTTGAAAAGTCACTGTTAATAGAGAAAGCTGCCTATCAGAAATTTATAGGAGACAAAGAGTTTGTTAGCAAAGACACTTTTTATCAAAGACTTCGAGATTACGGAATAGGCATGTTGGCTATGAAAGAGGTTTTTGACATGAAAAGTTCTGTAAGAATAACTGCTGTACAGAAACTAGGTTTTTCAATTATTATTATTTTTTGACGTTATGATATTGTAATTACATTTTTCTTTTTCTTCTTCTTTATATCAAAAGGTTCTTTCCAAACGATTTCTGTAAGATCGGCTCTTCTTGATCTTACGTATGATAATGATCCCAACATAAGGGCGGTTTCCGCTTTGGGCCTCGCCAAGACTGGAAGAAAGGACGACTGGATTATACGGAGGTTAACAAGTATGTTGAACGACAACGATAGAGTTGTTAGGGAGAGTGCGTGTCTAAGCTTGGGTCATATGAAATGTACAAAAGCAGTAAGCAATATTATTGATGTATGGTAAGTTTACACTTTTCAATTTAAAAGATATTCAAATAAGAATATTCATTACTTTATTAATACGAAATTTATTATATTTCTTTTTATTAATTAGGCGTAATGACCCAATTAAACATGTTCGAGAAGCTGCTCAAGTTGCATTATCCAGAATGGGAGGCGAAGAGGCTAATAAGGCAATGAAAATGGTTGAAGTCTTATCAAATGAAATGAAAAATTGAATGAAAAGAAGGAAAGAGCGAAAAAACTGTTGGCATTAAACTATCTAAACTATTTATATTATTTTGTTGTGAATTTGAATAATAAACTGACAGTCGTTTTTAAATAGCACTCTATCCAAAATCTATTTCTAGTTTTTCTCTATTAAAAGCTATTATTACAACAATAGAAGAGTTATTGCTGCCATCTATCAGCGTTTTAACTGGTTTGGCAGTTGTCTATATACGCTCCGTATATTATACCTTATCTTGAATTATCGCTCAACAAGCATATCTAAAATGTTGTCTTTATCAGGCCGTAAGTACTGTTGATTAGTTAGAAATAGATAAATATCTACGATAAAAATAGTTTGAATCAATGCTAGTAAACGATTTTGATAACTAGGTATCGCCAAGAGGCTCACTTCCTCAACCGCCTATAGTTCTCTCAAGGACATCCTAACAAAGGAACTGGATGGAATCAGAGAAGCTGGAACCTGGAAAACTGAGCGTGTTATTACAACTAAACAAGCTTCTGTCATAAAAGTTGCAGGAACCGAGGATAAAATTCTCAATTTTTGTGCAAATAACTATTTAGGATTGTCGGTATGATTTAATTTTTCCATTAAATTAAATATAAAAATACCCTCCTTAAACTAAATGTTCGTTTTTTTTTCCTTCTTAGAGTCATCCACAAGTTGTAGAAGCCGGGAAGAAAGCATTAGACAGTCACGGAGCGGGTCTAAGCTCTGTAAGATTTATATGTGGAACAACTGATTTACATATGGAATTAGAAGAGAAAATATCAAAATTTCATAATAGAGAAGATACAATCCTGTACGCTAGTTGTTTTGATGCTAATGCCGGCTTCTTTGAAACAATCTTGACAAAAGACGATGCGGTTCTGTCTGACGCTTTAAATCATGCATCGATAATTGATGGAATTAGGTTGTGCAAAGCTAGAAAATATCGCTATATTCATAATGATTTAGAAGGTTTGAGTCTTTGTCATTTATTATCACGATTTTCAATTTATTTCTCTCTCCCTCTTTCTCTGTTTCCAAAAAAATAAAAAACAAACACAAATACAGATTTAGAGGAGAAGCTCAAAGAATCTCAAGATTGTCGAGTTAGATTAATTGTTACTGATGGAGTCTTCTCAATGGATGGTGATGTTGCCAAATTAGAGTTCGTACACTGGAGATTAGTTTTTTCATGTATCATTTTATTTAATGAAGAAGTAATTTATTGTCAATGTCTTTTGTAGTAAAATTGTACAGTTGGCTGATAAGTATAATAGTTTAGTTTTCATTGACGAATGTCACGCAACAGGATTCTTTGGCAAGACTGGACGGTTAGTTATAGTAATGAAATATTTAATTAGTAGGATAACTTCATTACGTTATCTGGCTTTATTGTATTTGGAAAAATTATAGGGGTACTGAAGAACATTTTAACATCAAAGTGGACGTTATCAATTCTACGTTGGGAAAAGCTCTTGGTGGCGCGGCTGGCGGATATACAACTGGCAAGAAAGAACTAATAACGCTTCTACGACAAAGGTCAAGGCCGTACCTTTTCTCTAATTCCCTACCGCCGGCTGTTGTGGCGAGCGCCTCCAAGGTAACGCCACTTTGTTACAGAGATCATTCGAAAAAATCTACTTTATTTATATACGTATGCATGAAGAAAATGCAACATTTCCATGCTGTCTAATGCATATTGTCTTAGGCAGTTCGTTACAAAGCTGAATATTTTAAGATTGTTACTTTCTATCCTGAAAATGACTCCACCAAACAAAGAAAGAAAGAAAACAAAAAAAAAACAATCAAGAAATTTATTATCATTGTCAAAAGATTTTAGAAATAGATAAATGGATGGGAAAAAAGGGAAAAAAAAATAGAGACAAAACCGATAGGCTAGCAAGCTCTCAGGCAGACAGGCAGATAGACAGACAAGTAGACAGGCAGAGAGGAACACCACGCACTCTCATATATATATGTCTATATATATATATATATATATCTACGTACATACATGCAATTAAATATGTTATTCCAGCAAACGGATGTAAATATATATACCTTTATTTATATCCATTTAGTTGAATGAAAGTCATATATAGTTTTATAAATAAAAAAAAGTCTGCTTTAAAACTCATTTTCTTGGGATAAAAATATATGACTAGAATTAATCAAAGGAAATATAAAATAACAATATCATCTATTGTATAAATCTTCTATTTATAATTATACAATTTGAATATAATGTACAGTATATTGTGTATATATTAATATATATATATATATATATATACTAATATATAGCATAAAATGTCTATACTGTATATTTGATATTAAAGTAAATTATAGGCTTTTTCATTTTTGTTTGTTTTTTTTTTAGGTATTTGATCTTCTGATGGAGTCTAATGAAATAGCCGAAAGACTATCAGAAAATGTTGAGAGATTTAGAAGTCGAATGACCGAAGCTGGTTTCACTTTGAGCGGAGACAGATGCCATCCAATTGCCTCTGTTATGCTTGGTGATGCTCGTTTGTCTAGTGCTTTTGCTGATGAAATGCTTAGTAAGATCTTAGTTCCTATTCTCCCCTTTTCCCTCCCTCCTTTATTAATATACTATTCATCTTGTAATATTTTATAGATCGAGGTATATACGTAATTGGATTTAGTTATCCTGTCGTTCCGAAAGGCGCAGCAAGAATAAGAGTGCAACTCAGTGCGGCTCATTCTCTAGCGGAAGTTGATAGAGCAATTGATGCTTTCATCGACATTGGAAAACAACTAAAAGTTATATAATACAGATGGGTTAATGAATGAATACGTTGTTATTCTTATATTACTAATAAGTCCTTTATTAACATTCAATTATCTGGAGAATACAATCTATAAGCTAAGATATTATAACTTATTATTCAAATTTAGCATTCAAGTATCAGCATTATCCTCTATCTTCATTTTCTTTATCCTTCTTCTTTTTATCCTTCTTCTTCTTCTTCTTCTTCTCTCCGTCCCTCTTGCGTTCTTTTTTAGGTTTGCTTGGCTGTAGTTCTGCAGTTCTCGGATCCATTGCGAGGTAATGCTTAAACGGACTCGTCTCTCTTTTACGTTTATGGGTTTTTGTAGCGAAAAACGTCGAAGCAATGACTTTACAATGATCCGGTAGCTTTTTAAAACGGCAAAACAATTGTTAATTTAAAAATTCTTTAATTCTCTTTTTTAAACTTGTAACGTAATAGCAGTTATATTAAACTTGTTATTAATAAAGTAACTTACTGGTCCCGGTTGGAGGCGGAATCCTAACAGCTGAGATCCAGCTAGAGGATGAAATTCTTTTCCAGTTATGGGAGGCTTGTCAATGAGTGATCTTAGAGAGCTACAAGAGGAGAAGGAATATTTTACAAATATAAAAGTGTAAAGTAGATATGTAATAGGTAATTGAAGAGGTCATAAGTGAAAAGAAGAATTATATTACGGATATACCTATTATCTTCGTTGCCTTTTGTATCGATTTTACCAGGTAGATTAGGTAGAAAACTACTCAATTCTTCTTTTAACTTCTTTCCTGACAATTTATTCAAGGAATGTTCCAGGTTATAATAAGCCATCAAGTTAGTTGAGCCATTTTTTTCACTAGGTTCCGGTAAATCTTTCATTAAATGAAATGATTGCACAATAGACGGTACTCGACCAAGTTGTATTGTTGTTTTTAGCGTTCCAGAGGAATCTTGACGATGTTGAAAGCTCATATTCCCATATATCTGCGTCTTTTTCTCTGGGAATTACACTCAATTGTAAAACATGAGATTGGCACTGCGCGAAAAACGAAATACTATAGATGACGCCACTATGTAAAAGACTCCTAGACTATTATCTCGTAACAAGAGAAAGGTATATTTCAAATTGATTTTCAACAAATTGACCAAAATATACGTAAAATGTTCTTTTGTGTATTTAAAAGTGCAAAAAAAAGAAAAACGGATGAAAAAGTTACTTCTCTAATGAATAAAGTTTATTTATAGACATCGTATACTAATAATACAATTTCGCATCGCAGGCATACAAAAACACGTTCGGCTTATTCTCCGTTCTCTCTCTCTCTCTCTCTCTCTCTCTCTCTTTCTTTCTTTTAAAGCATCTTCAATTTCTTCTTTTAGAAAGGAAATTATCAAACCATTGGAAGAGAATTAGCCAATAATTCTTTCGTATCAGTGTTAGAATAGGCTTACGAAGTCACTGTCACACGCACAAAGATTTCGAATAAATATCGTCTTTGAGCGTATGCAGTAACATTGGTAAAGCTATTAAATTTTCTGAATTGTTATCATATTTCACAAGTCGGAAGATATTTTCAGGAAGAGAGAGAATGATTATTCGTTCTTCAATTCTGTTGAAAAAAAAGGAAAAGAGGAGAAAAATTACGAAATTATTAGATAAATTTTAGAAAAAAGATAGTTTATTATTGTTGAAAAGTTGATTTCTTCAAGTAGAGTTGCATTGATTAATATGGACTAGAATATCCGGACGCCGGAGAGACCGTCACCAACGCTGTCTGAAGCCCAACTCAGACAACGTCGAATCATGGGAAAGGCGGCAACGAAATAGCTTTGGCGGAAATACGTCATAGTGACGTTTTTGTGACGCTCTTTAAGGAAAGACCATGTAGGAGGTTTTATTTATAGTTGCAGACGTAATGTTTTTCATTGAGCGCTTACGTCAGTACGATTTTTGGGTTTGTTTCTTGCCATATAAAAATAGCCATCTAATCATCGTAAATACAGTTATAAAAGCAGCTTTTCTACAAAAGGAGTGCACATCAACTGAACGAGAATTAATCAGTCATTTTTAATTATAGTAAATTTAATCGAAGGTTGATAATTTTATACTTTTAAGCTTATGTAATAAATAGCATAACAACTTAAAAATCCTATAATCTGTATATATACAGTATATATTTATATATATTTATATAGAGTATATATATGTATATATATATATATATATAAGTAAAATCAACTGTTATAACCTTCGGGGAATTTTCTAGTAAATACAGGAATAAAATCTCAATATACAAGGACATTTATTCCTTCATTAAAAAAGACTCTCTCTCTCTCTCTCTCTATATATATATATATATATATATATATAATTAAAAATATTCTCAATATAGTATTTTACCACCTAGTGTCAAAGTATTCTCTCTCTCATTTTGCGAAGTAACAAAAAAAAAATTTTACCAGTTTTTTTTTCTCTTTCTTCGATAGATTTTTGAAAAACGCATTAATTTTTATTTCACGGCATATTTAACATAATAATTATGTAACAAAAATAACAAGAACTAAAAATTATTAATACAATTTTGTTATATCAAGTACGTGACGTATAATAAATACTTTTTTCCAATGAAATTATCTTTTTTATGTATATTCATTACATTTATATATTTAGAAATATTTCATATATAAATATAAATATATATATGTATATATATATTAATATATATATACATACACACATACATACATACATACATACATATACATACATACAAACACACTGTGTATATATATAATATATATGTAAGCAGTTATAATAATTAATACAATATCATTTTACACTGAGGCATCTTGAAACTGTAACGCATCACAGACATTGGCTAACGAGGGTAATCCGTGAGAAACTTTCCCAATGGAAGCTGTCGTTATCTATAGTATAACCTTTCTGTTTCTTAGTATAAATAACAAAAAATTCACAGGGATAACTATATTCCAATATCATTTAAACGATTAATCAATTCTTCCTAAACAATACTTGATCATTGATAGTTTAAAAGTAGTTAAAATAATGTCATGAATTTATCTATATATATATGCTGCAGTATTTTTATATACGTTTAGAAAGAAAAGACATATATACATATACAGTATATCTTTCATTATGTGTTAATTATGTCTTTCCTTGGAATTAAAAAGAGAATAATTAGTTCAATAATATTACATATGACAAGTGCAAGGCTTATGCCTTTGCCAATGCTTAGAATTATATAGATAATTGAGTAAATAATAAACACGATTCAAGGTTATACCATAGATAATAACTATTTACCCTTTTTGAAAAAAAAAATGAAAAATAAATCCCGGTTAGTTATTTAGGACGGCAAATGAGAACTAGTTCATTCTTTCATGTTAAAATATTAGAAAATCAAAATTTTTTGTACGATATTAAAATTATCCATCTGTCCTATCTTTGTTTTTTTTTATGCTTTTGTTGTTAATATTATTATTATTGTCATCATCAACTTGTTTATTTTGAATTTTCTATGTAGTTTTTCTTTTTTTTTCTTCCAAAAAATATTCTTCTCTTTTTCTTTCAGTAAAAAAAAAACTTGTTTGTTTTACATGACAGTACAGTTCACCTTTTTCAATTGTTCATCAATCTCTTCGTCGTCAGCCGATTGTTGCTCTTTACCGGAAATATCTGGCATAAATTGTTTTGGATCTAGACCTTGTTGTTCGTAAAAGAGCATATAAGCCGTATTCTTATCGATCGAACTCTCCGGAACTTCCTATAGAATAGGAAAATAAAATAGGCAAATTATTTAGAGATCAGTTTTTATGTTAGGAAACGAAATCCGATTCGTGAAAACTTACCTTACAGCTACTATCGTTATAGCAGTACCATTTACCATTAGTGTTCTTGGCGTACGAAACGTAATGACCCCCAGTAATCATTCCACTATGGCACTGAAATTGAGACGAAAGCGTTAAAAGCAAGGTTTGGCAGAGCTAAAGAAGAAAAAGAGTAGGCAATATATATATTTTTTTATACATACCGATAAGGCATATAGATTATATTTTGGTCGTTCCAGTCTATTCGCATCTCTATTTACATCTTTATCATCTGGCGTATCATTCGTATCACCGTTTGAGTTTATCGCCTTGCAGGAACCACTATACATCCAAGGATCGAAGTCTCTAAGGGGAAAATTTACTATTTTGTGCGATTTGACAAATTTTCCATTTGTTCCGTCGACGTGAACAAAACGCTTTAGATGAACAATTAGAATAGGTGGTAATTTCCACAAATGAAGTTCTTTATTAGCGAACTTGTTTTTTTTACATTTTGGACAAAGCCACTTATCGGTATCTGGCAAAACTTCAATTTTGGTAAACGCTTTTAGGCAGGCGTCCAGGTCAATTGGCTCAGTTTGTGATTTCCTAGCTGCGGCGACTGATTCGTGGTCAGTGGACGCCTTTTCCTGTGAAGATTGGTAGCGCAAATGTAAGGCGTTAGGCTCCCAGTCAATAGCTAAGTAACGGCAAGTAACAGTTTGGAGGGGAGGTTCAAAAGGTTCATCGTCCGAGGTAACCTCACAACCTTTACAGAACATATACCATTCGCAGCGATCACAATATGTCCCGTCCCGACTTACCGTTTTCAAAGTAAACGGATATTTTTTTGCGTCATCTCCGTTCAGTGCATGATTAAAAGAATGATTTAGCTTATTTGGCTGCGAAACCAGTCGCGACATCTGTTTCATAACTTTTTCATATAATTCCTTCTTCGTAGTAGACTCATTGTACGCTATAATTAGCGGTGTACCAAATAAATTAGGACGGCTTTTCGAATATGCCAGGAAGAAAACTTCTTGTCGCAACATTTTCCTATGCATGGCAACGACGTAGTGACCAGAGTACGAGTTAGATACCTGTTGAGAATCAGTTTGCGCCCCCTGCACTATTAAAGGTGGAATGTATGTGCTTGAACAGTTTTCGTCCAGGGACTTCCATGAGCTGGGAGTTGGTGCGTTAACCGGCGGTAAACCGTTAGCCACCGTATTAAGTGCACTTTGCCTCTGCAGGGATGGTGAGTTGACCAAACTCGCTAGGGGTTTGAAACTGCTTGGCGGAAGTTCGTATGCATAAAGGAGACTGCCGTTTAAGGATTTGAGTTTATCTCTTTCGTGGGGAATGTTCTAAAATATTATTATAATAATAATCAATAGAAAGGAGAAGAGTAGAAGAGAAGAGAAGAGAAGAGAAATTTAGATTTAAACTTACTTTAATCATTGAGTTATATACTTCAACTAATAGCAGTTGATTTGGTGGGATTTGACAAAGTTTTGATAATTCCTTTTTCAAGGTATCATATTTTTCATCAACATCCAAACGTAGGCCGTATTTTATGGGTAATGAACCGTCTTTTTGAATAACTAAAATTTCCAAATGCAAGTAATTTTCCATAGGCAAAGGCAAACTAAGGAATGTAAGGGGATCGAATTTTACGGACGAATATTTGCATTCTGGACATTGGAGTCGACTTCGGAGTTGACCGTGAAAGAGATCAATTATTATTGACCTATTCCTCATTAAATAATAATTCCACGATTCTTCGGCAACTTCGTCGTCGGGTCTTCCATCTGAATCTTTAAGTTCAATAAAAGGTTTATCCTGAACTCTATTAAGATCCTCGTGTAAACCATCCAAAAAGAATTGTAATAATTCTTGTGAATCTTGTTGTTGAAAACTATTAAATCTCGGAGCGTATTTTGATATGGTATACTGTTAAGTTTAGGAAGATACTTTTAATAATTTTTTACAAATATACAAAATCTATTTTTATCTTACTCTTAATTTCAGCGGTGCAATTGTCTTTGCCGTACCGGACCATAACGATTCTACTAATTCACCATATGCGCTAGCGATATGACCCTTCATTCCAAGAACATTTGTCTTATTCAATTCATATCGGTGTTTATGACTAGTGAAGTATTCTTTTAAAATTTTTGTATTACTAACGCATTGTACAGCTGAATTCAAGAAGCAAGTATTTCCTAAATTATTTAAACCCGTAGCTCCATGTTCAGTATTAACAACTGGTTTTTTCTCCCCATTTACCTTGCTTCTAGCCAATTGTAACATTTCTTCTGGCCATGTCAGGTCTTTATTTCTTACTATTTTTAGATTAAGTTACGTTATGTTATTTATGTAAATAACGTCTATAATTTAATAATTTATTACCTTCTATTAGAATCTCCATTCCATCGGTAATTTCGGCTTGTTCAACAGTAGCTTCTTCATCTTCTAATAGCGTTAAATTAGCCTGCATCTAATAGGACAAAAGTATTAAAATAAATTTATAAATTTATTGCCTAAATTCTTTTGTTTCTAAAAATAAATAACAATAAAAAACAAAAAGTAAAGCTTACCTCGTCGCGGTATTTCCATAATCGAATATCCTCTCTCGATGTACGAAGCCGATTCGAGAGGAAATCAAGTAATTGACGAATGCTATGGTGTCTACTAAAAGAGGCAGTATGGGCCAAAAATCTTTTAGGTTGAGCAGCTGGAGAATTAAAACCAGCAGCATCTAAGGAAATGAATCAAAAGTACGTTGTATAAGTTAATTAATGAAGAACAAAATGTCGTACAATTAAGAGTAGAACAAAATTTTGTATACAGATATTATATACATTATACAGGTATTAAACTCATATATATACACATACATATGTATATATATATATATATATATATATATGCGAAAGAGAAGTGTTTTGCTGTTTTTAATCAATATAAATAAATAAAAAAAACAACAAATAGAGGAAAATATCAGATAGAAAGATAGCTAGATAGATGAAGCTTAAAAATAATAGATAATATAGTGTATATATATATATATATATATAAAAACTATTTTATTTGCATTTGGGCTTATTTACATTATTATTATATTGAGATATTTATTGATCAATATTACTTTCCTTTTTTAAATCATAAAATCATAGACATATAAAATATATATATATATAATATATATACTATATATATCAATTAATGAAAAACCAAAAACAAAGAAAAACATTAGTATAAAAAGAAAATTATTATTTTTTTGTTCTATCAAACATCCCTTCTTCGCTCTTTTCTTTTCTTCCCTCCCTCCCTCCCTCCCTCTCTAATTAACAAAAAAGTATGCAAGTATAAACATTTAATTATTACTTATTTAACAGAGAGAAAGATTATACAACAATAAAAATGGGAATCGAGTAAAACGTATACTTTTATGCATTTTTCTGTTGATCTTTTCATATTAAAATTAATCATAAGTTTCTCTTTCTAAATATTAATCTTTATAGAGTATTTGTTCTATTTTTCAAAAATGTCATTTTTTATGCAATATTGATATTTTAATTAAGTGTTACATATTAATTAATAAAATATAAGACAAAACTTTCCGGTTATCCTAAAATAATTAGTTAGGAAATAATGAAGTAGTTTTTATGTGGTTGCTTTAGTAATTTAATTATATAACTCAGCAAGAGCATTAGAAACATTTTTTAGTCTAGTATTTACATTGACATTAAGCAAGTGACGCTGTCATTCAAGATAATGTTGGAAAAGAAACAAAAAAAGACATTTAGTAATTTATCACATATAATCCGAAGCTAGAATCTTTATTTAAATTGTTCTTTTTGTCTTTGTTTTTTTTTATACAGTAGTCCTTTTAATAATATATGAGCTATTCTTATAGGATCATCTGCGGTATAATTATAGATGGTAAATAAAGAAAATTATATAAATGGTCACTATGAACAAAATTTTATATAAAAAGTTTCTGTTTTTCTTTCTTTTATAACTAAGAATTTTTGATTTTCATTTTTTTTCCTTAAAAATAAATAATTCCACACCATTTAAAAGAATAATAATAATGAAATATTAAGAGAGAAAAAAGAATATCATAGAAAGGAATAGAAAAAGCCGGACAAATTAATTATTTATAGAAATATAAAAAATAATTAAAAATAAATCTGATTTGTTTCTGAGATTTCAAAAAAATAGAAGAAAATATAAATAAATGAAAGTTAAATTATAGATATATAAATCAACAGTACCATAAGTTGAAGTACTTGTTGAACAAGCAAACTTTAAGGAGCTTCGAAATGTACCTGATAAACAAGATCACTATAGGTAGCGAAAAAAAAAGTCAACTAGAAAAAAGACAACGAATCAAGAGAACACTGTCAACTAATGCGATAAAACTATACGTAATTACTTTTTTTAAAAATTCAATTGAATACAAATTATACTCACTCCATGCAGCACCACTTATCGATCCAACCATCCCCGTAATAGTATTACTTTGAACGGATCTAAAAGGATTTACAACTTGATGCTTATAAAGTTTTACATTGATAGGATATAGTTCAACTTCATTTTTATATTGTCCAACAATTACCTTATTTGTTTAAAGAAAAAAAAGAAATAAAGTTTGATTATTAAATGTAAAACAGTGTTTAAAAGTGAGTATATTACCGATCTTGGCAATGCCGGCTGGCCATTGTACCAGCTATGAAAAGCTCTCCATATTGCATCTGGTACAAGCTTAAAATCAGTATCCTTCTGCAAATTTTTCCTCAACAGACCGCCCTCATTGGTAAGCGTAGCAACTTTAATCGTATTATTACTTAACACGATTCCTGAATTATCAATTGCTCCCGGTTTCTGACCTAATGTATAATTAACTCCTCGCTTTTGTATATGAGGAGATGGTGACGGAGAGTGATGATGCAATTCCGGAGTTGGCCGATAAGACTTTCCCAGTACGGACGACTCTTCATCGATACTCGATGATTTCCTGTGTTTAAACGGCTTAGAGTTGCTTCGTTTGGTGGACGGACTTTCAGAAAAGTCATTTGTTATAATCTCAGGCTGAAAAAGATAACATCGATTTAGATAAAAAATATTTTTTAAACGTATAAATAATATTATAAACCTTATTTTTGACATAACACTGCCATTGTTCCCACCATGAGCTACCAATTAGATAAATACATTGACCGGCTTGCAAACCCTTTCGCTCTTCTCTACGAAGCCACCCTCTGCAATTAACGTATACACATATATATATTTTTCATTAAAAAATATTTGAAAAGAATTACTAAACGCACTCAATAACACGCCTTTCTTGTTCTTTATTCTCAGGCTTTAGACCCAAAACAACGTGGCATATCTGTAACAGAGAGAGAGAGAGAGAAAAAATCATTAAAAAGAAATAAAAGCAGAAAATAATGTAGAACAAGACAGACGAATTGCATTGACGAAAAAAGAAGGCAACCCCATTTTCTAATCAATTGAATAATTACACATTTATTTCTAAAATAAGACTTTTACCTGAAATAACAATTCCAAGAAGTAAGATGATGTATTATCACATCCTTTAGAAGCTGTCCATAGAAGATATTCATCTTGCGTAATAAAACCATCCTAAAAAGTAAAAAAAAAAAAAGAATTAGTGATAAACTATCGTCTTAATTACATATATTGAAAGGATATATTGATTAGTTAATTAATGAGGCGACTTTTGTATAATATTAATATACCCACAATATATATGATGTGTTTATAAGTAGAATTATTTATATAATAAATATATATATATATATATTTATTATAAATTATAAGAGATATAAATAGTATAGAATAAATTATGAACTAAGATATACTATAAGTTTAAATGGTAAAATGTATGAGATATATTATTTGAGATCTTTTATTCTTTTCTCCCTTTACTAAAGTATTATGCTGAATAATCACGTATTTCTAAAGTATTCTCTTGAGGATATACTGTATATAATAGGGGTTAATTAACCTTGAGTTTTTTTTTTGGGTAAAATAGGGAAATAGTTTAAAAATAATTTTACTCCGTGACGTTCATCTTAATAGATATTATACTCTTGTCTTTACAAACCTTATCACCATCGTATTCCTTTAAAATATCACTTGCTATATCTTCTTTATTTCTATTATTTTTAGAATTAAGATTACGATATTCAATATCCGTACAATTCTCTTCTCGAATCTTTTCCATGGCGATAAGCATATCTGTTATTTCTTCATGACCAAGAAAACCATTTTGATCGGTATCGAACACTTTAAAGCAGACTATAATACAAAAAAAAAAAAATACAGTCAATATATTATATGTATGTAAATGTAGAACAAAATAGAGATTATTATAGATTTAAAAACACTTACATCTTTGACGTTCTAATTCCGGACCTCGGCAACAAGCCGATATGCCGCAAGCCATTTCCTTAAAGTCAATATGATTGTCGTGATTCTCGTCGAAAGCATTAAACAATCCTGAAAAAAAAAGGACAATATGATGAGTATTAGATTGTAAATCTTTTAATCCTCTTTTGACGAATATACAGTTTTCATACGTGGTTTTTACCTTCGCAAATGTTAGGTGGAAATGGCGGGCATACAACAGGTCTCAGCGTTTCCAAATCAAATCGACCAGTTTGGCTTTGATTTTTTAATTGCCAGTAACGTTTTTCCAATTCAACAACTTCATGTTCGAATAGATGAGTTACATTTGTTAATGTTTGATAAAATGTAGGAGTGTTATCATTTGATGATAAAATATTCGGATGAGGTTCTTTAAATAACCATCTTGACATCGAGGTAGCTTCTGGATATTTTAATTGCCACTCTTTAAATTCTTCATACGTTACGCGGTCCTTTGAAAGAGAAGAATTGTATTTAAAAATTTTTCACGTAAAAAAAAATCAACAAAAACAATAATTACTGATTTTAATAAATGGCAGAGTTCTTCTGGTGTTCGAATATTCCCTTCTGTAGCCATAACTAATGCGTCCATTTCTTCTTTTTGAATATATGTTCCACTTTCATTTGCGTATAATGTGAATAGAACTATTAAGTGTAAAGTTTAGTTTTAAATGTATTTCATAATTATTTAAAATCTTACATCTAACTCTCTCCTCTTGATTTCCATAGCATATCAATGCCAATCCACAAATCAAGTCTTTATAGGCCAAACCTCTAGAACCTCCACCCAAAATCGCATATATCCGCTGTTTAATAATTTAAATCAACAGTTAATCATTAATTTTATAAACAAGATAAGTATCAAATATATGACTAAACATACGTCAGCTAATCGACTTGGTACTGTTTCTCCTAAGACATCCTTCATAAAACTTGTTTTAGGCATCAAGCCATGTACAGTAGGGCAGCGTTTGAAAGCCTCTTTTAGATGAATACATTCCTTTTCTTGAACTAATTTAAGAAAAAGGCAGATATGTAGTTGCAAAACAATGTTATCGTAAATGATTACTCCATCGATCGTACTTACTTTTTTTTGACGCCTCATCATATGTTATAAAGGCGAATTTAGAATCTCTACCTCCCATCTTTTACTGCGTCTGTCAATAAAGAGTAACCGAATGCTTATCGTCTGAATGTGAAACAGTAGGTATCTCGCGCGGATTCGCCATATTTTCCGTCAGTCCTAAGTTTCTCGCGAATTTACGTAAAATCTCGCCAAATAGTCCGGTTCGTATTCATCTCTGCGATCGCAGTGAGCGCCATCTTCAGGCAGGGTAAAGAAAAGTACATTTCCGCATAGGGCCGAGAAGATGACGTTTTTGGCATATAGGATCCTGGTCTCTTTAGCTATTTTCAGTTTTTGTATAAAACGTGAGTTTGTAAATATTACTTAAATGTATTTGGTTTCCGCAAATGTTTCCTTACTCTATTGTATAATAATAATTTAAACGACAGTATTAAAAAACGTCTTAGGACGTAACCGCCGTAGTGTACGCCATTTTGTTTAATCCAACGTTCCTCTAGGAGAGGCGTCTAATCACCTTATTCTTGTGTCAATTGTCGAGTACCCATTGCATAATTTTGTGGAAAATCAATGTTGATTACCGGACTACGCGCGCAAATTAATTGGCGCGTAAATTGAACTAAATAAATGTAGATTAAAATAACAGTCCATGTGCTAATGTTGATTTACTTGCATGCACCAGTGTATCTTGTATCTTGTAAAAAGTAACATTTGAGTGTAAGATGCATAATAAATTGGCTCACTCGAAGATAAGTTGCGCTTATCTCTTTCCGATTACAAAAACCGATGAGGAATATGATAAAAAAAAAAGAAACACTGGATAAAATACTACTGGAAAATAAAGTTATAAAAGGTGGGCACTGATGCATGCTTTTAACGGGCGGATATAAAAGAGAGTAAAACGAAAAAATCAATTTATATTTAATTTATAACAAATTATTTGACGCTTAACTGGCTAAAATTTAACCTTTTGTATTCGCCCACATCATATTAATTTTTTTACGTTTGTAGTAAACTCATAGCATGATAATAATTCATTTAATTAAGTTTATAAGTTTAGAATATAAATATCAAACTGTTTCGTTAGAGTAAATCAGCTTCATACTCAAATCGTGAAGATTAATAAAGAAAAGTGCTTATAATCCGGAACTAATTTATTAATGGCTCTGGTAAACTTACCAAGATATCTTTTATCTTAGGAAAAGTATGTTTAGAGTCGTAGTCTCATAGTCTCATTATATACAGTATATAGGCTATGTAATAAAATCCAGATGTGGAAGAAAGAAAATGTATTCTTCTTTTGTAGATGAAGAGAAACAAGTCAATAAACGTAGAAAGTGTTATTTATTCATTATCGGTTCTACCCCCTTTTTTTTTTTTTTTCTATCATCCCATTCCATTTAGATTGTGGTGCTCCCATTATTATCCCATTTCTTATACGGCTGACATTCACTAATGAAACGTTTTACAGAGGTTTCGAGTGGAAAGTATGACGAAGCCAGAAAAAATGATTTCACGCCAAAATTTACAACTGTGAGCGTTAATGGCAAAGAAGTACAAAATGGAGGAGGGAAAATTTTCTTTTTAAAGAAAGGCGACAATGTTGAATTGACTTGTAAGTGTGGCGAAAAAGACCAATATGGGCAGTTGGGTTTCTCGATTAATCAAAAGATAAGCAATACTGATAATTATACAACGGACATTGCTTTGGACGAGAGTCTCATTGTTGACTTAAAAAGAACGTATTCATACGATTATACATCTACCGCATCTGATAACATCTTGAAATTAACTATTCGTAAGCTCAATTTTCCTTTTTGTTTTCTTAACTATATAATCACCATTCGCGGTTGGTTGCGTATCTGTTCAGTAAGTGCAAATAAATTCTAAAGGCCTACTCCCATTGACAATTGAACAAAGCGCTTGAATGCTTGGGGGTCTCAATCTTACCGTTACAGAGATCGATTTTCGTGGGAATAATCGGAAAATTTTTAATACTACTTACTCGTATTGCATAGAATAGCGTGTTTTATTGGGCAATATAAAGATATTCCGCTCTTTTATAAATAGAATAATTAAAAAGTAGTAGAAATTGCAAACGATTCAAATATTTTCTTTTCTTTCTTTTCTCTAGCTCTGATGGAATATGAAGATAGTGGAAATTATATATGTCGAAACCGACTGACAACAGTTAGTGGCCATATTGATGACGTGATAAAATTGGCAGTATTAAGTATGAACTTTTTCTTTAATCAAACAAATCATTAGTCAGTTTATATAATTTATATTATAGTGAAAAGGGAATAATTTTATCTTTAGGAAAAAGGCTAAATGTTAGAGTAAATTGATTTTCGCTCGAGTTAAAGGGATCCCGTTTACCTTCATTAACTTTGATAAATGGGTTCTAAAATATAGATTATTAAGTAATTTATATAAGATACTATAGGAATAACGTATAAGGTCCATTAAGGGAGTTAATGACTAGCCAAATCGATTTTCTAAAAATTTCTGTCACACTAAATGCAGCACTCATCCCACAGATAATGAAGAGTCCCTTCGTTTCATTGCAAATGGACAAGAACTATCTAATACTCTGGAAATATCGGAAAAAAATCTCAATTCAAATGTCAATTTTACGTGCGGAACGATTAGCTTCCCAAAACCGAGTATAACTATTTATCAAACGGTCAAAGGAAATAAGAAAGCTCTACCAAACTTGAAAGTAGCTATAGATAATGAGATTGTAAAATCCAACAAAAACAAATATTATTCATCGATTTTCGACACGGCCGTTTATGTAATTCATAAATTATCGGCTGACGATTACGATACAGAATTTGGGTGTGAATCGGTAAATGCTGGTCCCGATACTAAAAAATATAAAAATATCAGGATAGAATTACCAGATGGCGAACCGATTATCATTTTTGAAAATATGGAAAACGATGTTAAAACCGTTACAATATCTAAGGAAAATACTCAATATATCGCCGTATTTCATGTTTTATCAAAAACGTCCGTAAGCGGACATATCATGCTTAAATCAAAGGATAGTCGACAAGATAGCTTTAATGTCACAATTGTGAGAAAGGTAGTTTTATTTCTGTGAACTTACGATATTTCTATTAAACAACGGTTTTATTTTTTTTTTTTAAAAAAAAGTTGGAAGGAAACAAATTTGAATTAACTATACGAATACCAAGCTTGCAGGAGTGGCATTTAGTAGCGGATGGTATGCTACATGTTACAAATGATAGAGGTACAACAACAGAGAAAATACAATTGGATCGTAGTGAGTAAATCGTTGTTTTAATTAATAAAAGTGTTTTTCTTTTATTTACAAATACCGTTTTCAAATGCCATGTTGAAAATTCTTTTATTATTTTATTACAGAAGATTCAGGTCCAGTAAAAGGAGTTGGTGGAAAAATACAATTTTATTGGATTTCAATATTTGCAACCTACTGTTTGTTTTTATTAATAGCTGTTTAATGAAGCGTTTTAAATACTGTCCTCCATTTTTTTTCTCTCTTTTTAAATTTTCGTCTGATATACAGTATTTTACTGATATATTCTTTATAGACGTTATTTATTATTTCACAAATGGTTTATTAATATTTTTTTTTTTTACGATTTGTACAAATGCACCAATGAACTTTATATTACTATGCGAATTTTAGGGCCTAAAATAATTTAAAGTTAAATACCTTGAAAAGGTCACATACAATTAATGTTTTATTCTTTATTAATTCTTTTTTTTTATGTTTTATGTTGAAAAGTCTTAAGATTTGTTATTATTATTATTTTCGTATTATTTTAGACCCTAATTACAACTTTTTTGTCACTCTTATTTCCAATCGTAAAAAATACTTGAATAGCGTCTACTTTTTACTTCTTTTTATTTGAAAAAAAAGCAAACAACATCAAAGTGTATTTATTCGTATAGAATACACAGAAAAACTTTTTTTTTAGTTCAATGTTTATCCATTTTGTTTGACGGCGGTGGTACACTTCGACAAAGATGATTATTAGCTAATTAAGTCATCAGTGATCTTTGTTATAGTTTTGCGGAAACAATTTCCCACCTTTCCTCCTCTCTCTCTCTCATATAACTGCTATTCGTTGTAAATATTAATTAATTTTTCATTGTTATTCAGGATCGCTTCAACTATCATTGCAATTGAAAACGAACATAGACAAGGAGGAACAGCATTTTTTGGATTTGAAAAGTTCTAATTTATCATTAATCGAAATTATATGCGAAGCACAAATATCCGACGAAGATAAAAAGTCATTAAAGAATTTTGTGATAGCTAAAAAAGTAAGTCATGTACGCTATTAAAGATAAATATAGTAATTATTCTAAATTGCTTTGTTTAATTAGTGCCTTCCAGCTGGTAAGGATGGTAAATGCATTTTAGATAAAACAGAGGATATTTCTGCCGGCGAAGTGTTTGTCGCTATGCAAGGCAACACTTATAATACGCCGGCGAGATATTCGCTTATAGGCGATGAGGACAACACGGACAATACTTTACGAGAGGTTTTGGTTATCGATAGTGAGTTAAAAAATATATCTTGTACGAGCATCTCTTGTATCGTTTTTAATTACAGAGCCTCAACCAGAAGATGGAGGCACATACCAATGTAAAATACCTCGTGTAGTGAATCCTTTAACTGCTAGTGCAACTATACCAATCTATTGTATGTTATCCCACATGTTTTTTACTTGTCTTCATTTAATTTGATTATTAATTAGACCCTAAAGAAACATTTTCAATGAAAGTAAGACCCGGAACTAGCTCTGACAAGATGTATCTTTATGAATCATACAATGAAGAAGAGAGTCTAATTGCAGACGAAAATGATAAATTTATAATTGATTGCTCAATAACTAAAACATTTCCGCTTCATGAGATCGATGTTCTTATTGACGATAAACCAATGTCTGAGGCACAAATGGGAAAAACAAAATATAAAACATTTCGCACATTGAAAGACGGCGTTCACGTGGGTTTCTTTTATTTTTTTTTACAATAGAAATTCTTTAGCACCCTTTTACTAAAAATATTAAATATTTTCATTTTTAGGTGTCGCTTTATAGTAGCAGTAGAGAGGTGACAATACCTTTTAAATACGAATATGATGGAAAGTCAATAAAGTGCGCAGCCTACGTAAAAGGGGCTAGAGAACAAAGCTTAATAACAGTGGGTGTTAAAGTTGGAATTCAAAGCTGTACGTATACTATATAAAAACTAAATATTTTAGATTTTTTCTGTTATTATTATTTATTATTCTAGATAAACCGAAATTCATCTGCGACTCTGTCCAATATGCCGAAAGTAACACTAAAAATTGGAAACTAAAATGTCAAGTGATCTCAAAGCCTTCAATTAGAGAAGAAACAGCCAAATTTGCTTATACTTACGATATAACAAGGGGAAAAGCGAATTTTAGTCTGGGACGAATCGATAACTTTGCTGGTCATTATATAGCAGAACTAAAGCAGGTTAGAGAATTTGTCAGTCAACTATTCAATTATTTACTATAATACTTATTTAATTTAAATAGATTGAGAATAATTTATATGAAATGATATTAAGAATAACGCGAGTAACGAGGAGAGCCTATACTGATTATTATTTTGAAATTGCTAATCAGAGAGGAAAAACAGTTAAACATATTGTACTTAAGAAAACGAAAGTTTCTAAAAGAGGTAGTTAATTTTCCACCTAATAATCTACTTTTTTTATCCTTTAAGTAATTAGTTTTTTTTTTTCTTTTGCAGTTCTAATGAATGACAATGGGTCTACAAGATCAAATTACAGTTTTAAGTGTATCCTATTTCTAGTCACTATGCTGTTTGCTATGCAGTAGAGTTGTGGTTTTAAAACATTCAGCTTACAATGAAGATAAAAAAATCGGTAGAGTACTTGTTTTCAATGTCATCCATTTTTGTTTAAATTTATAACATTTGCTATGAAGAATGATGTTTTAGATTGATTATACTCGATGTTTATATATAAAGCCTCCGACCTTTTAAACACCAACGTTTCTTTTATCGTTTGTTGATTTTTACAGGCTTGCTGTGTATTCTTTTTTATGCATCAACGATTGAATTTTTCAGTATTATTTTTTCATTATCATTGTCAAAGTAAAAGTTAAAAGGAAGAAGCAACTTCCTCTCTCCCGTCTTCCGAGACTCACGCACTTTTATACCTTATTCAATTAGCTACAATCATCTCACGATAGCAAAATAATTATAGAAACCTTTAAAGAAGGAATCATTTTGTAAAAAAAATTCTTAAAAAAGACATATATACAGTATATATATATATATATATATATATATATATATATATTTATACTGTATATAATATTCTCTTTGGTGAAGAGATTTTTTGATAGCGTTATTGCATTTATTAGAGACTTTTGCTGAAAAATATTTGAAATCTAATTTCAAATATTCCCTTTTTAGTCTTCAATAGGAGATTATTAACGAAACGAAATATAGAAAGATGTGGACAAATGGCATTTAGTTACAAACTAAACAAACATTAATTTTAAAGTCGTTTTGTTCCTTTTCCTTTTTGTTTTTTGTACTGAAATATAAATTTTAATATTTTATTTATTTAAATGATATTAGACTGGTAAAAACTCTGCTGAAAAATCTAGTTAACTAGTCATTTAAATTATAACGGTATTTAAAAGTTCGGAGACATTGTGTTCATTATTAATTCCATTTTCAGTGTGCTGTTTTATAATTAAACAAAACAAAATATGCTAATGTTTGCCAAATTTGAAACCCTATTAGTATTCATTATCGTCTTGATTGTATCGAAGACATTTAATTTTTAGGAACGAATGTAGAATATTTTCCGAGTGTGTGTGTGTGTGTATGTGTTTATCATTAGATAGAATTCATCAATTTGAAATTCATCCTATTAAAATTTCAGTTGTTTTAATAAATAGATAATTTTAAAATGAGTTTATTAAGGGTAACATATGGTAATAGTCGGATGATTAATTAAAACGCTCAGTTTTTCAACTAATGTGATGGATAAAGCCAATGCTGAAATGTCTCGAAGTGAAACTTTAACGAGTTGGGGATTATTTCTTCTCTTTATTCTTTTATTATCGTATGTAACGATAGGAGCGTATAGTTTCTCAGTTTTGGAATACGATAGGGAGTACAACGGTTTAGAAGATTCGAGAAATTTTACATCGACTTGGCTAAGTAAGATTAATAATCCACGTTTAATTTTTTCGGTGAATACATGAAAGAAATTTTCTAGGTAACCATCAATCATGTGTGGAACCTGAAGACTTGAGCAAATTAGTGAAAAGGATTATACAGGATTACAGAACGGGAGTTTTAGCCTCGCCTGCAGCAAATAAAACGGTTGATGCTGGTTTCAACTGGGAATTTAGATCGGCAATACTCTTTGCCGAAACCGTAATAACGACAATTGGTTATGGACATTTATTTCCCTCAACAACAGCTGGTCGTGTGTTTTGTATCTTTTATGCAGCGTTTGGTATACCGTTAACTGGAATATTTTTAAGCGAGTTGGGCAAACGGATGGCATGCATATCCATAAATTGTTACGTTCTCATTGCCACCAAGGTATTTAAAACCAGACCGTTTGATCCATCCCAATCTACTGCTCATCTGTCTGCAATACTTGTTATACTTTTTCCTTTTAGTATCCTTACTTTCATTATTATAAGTGCCGCCGCTATATACGTCTCGGAAGGTTGGACTTATTTCGAGGCATTGTATTTTTGTGTTATAACTATGACAACTATTGGTTTTGGAGATCTTGTACCTCATAAGAGGTACAGATATATAGCTACGGCGTGGATTTTTTGTGGTTTGGCATGCTTTTCAACTTGTATTAATCTATCGTTAAGATACGCAAGTTTAATTTCATCCTCAACAAGTTTGTGGATAAAAATCAAAACTACTCTGAAGCTAACAAAAATTGATAAAAGCAAACCTCTATACCACGATAAGTCTATGCAAACTGATGATTTAGGCTATTTAAGCTCAAAGGTTAATCTTGCTTTGAGAGTTGAGCATCGTGATCTTGCCTCGGCTTCAGATATAATAAATGATAAACAAAAGGCTATCAACACCATTGCAAGCTAAAAAGAAACCAGAAATATAAACACATTTTTACTCTTTACAATTCTTTGTCCATCCAAAAGAAAACTTACTTGTAAAAGTACCAAACTAACGGAAATAACAACTATATAGATTCCATATTCGACAAGCCATCTTTTAAGAGCTAAATAGCATCCCTGTTATTCAAATATTTAGATTCAGGAAAATAAAAAAAAAAACAAAAAATAACAAACCTTATGGTGAAGAAATTCTCTTTTAAATGATATACAAAATTCTAGCCATCTTTCTCGTTTCTTATACTTTATATCATGATTACAGCATTGTATAGGAATAGATAGAATCGTCTAAAAAAAAATAATAGAATATATTAAATAGAATATTTTTATGAAAGTGAATTTTCTTAAATATTTTTTCTATTTTTACATTTTGTACGTAAAAATTTCTACAAACTTTTAAGGAAAAATATACTATATACTATTAGCTATTTATTCCTTACCTCGTTATATCTATTATTGTATTCGTATTTAGATGTAAACCAATCATGATAATTATCTGCCCCACAACAGCGTAACTATTGTTAATAGTAACAAAAAAAGAAAAAAAAAATATGAATAGACAATCAATAAATCTTTTTTTTTTCATTAAAATTTTATTTTAAATATGTTCATACTCCTAGTTGCATATCATTCCATGCATTTTCCAATCTGGTTCCTCGATTCATATATTCGTGTTGGACAAAATTTCTCATATTTTCATGCATATTCCAATCAATCTTTACAAGGAAAAGGAAATTACATTTTGAAAATTATTTACATATTTTAAATTAGTATACATATGCACTGATAATGTAATAGAAACAAATATATTTTCAATACTGCGTATACCTGGTTGATATTAACGCTTGCTGCTATAAGACCAATAATTTGTAGAAGAACTAGTAAACATATCATGAATGCATACTGAAACGAAAGGATATTTCATTAGCTACGTCAACAATAATAAATACGAGTTATTTACTTACAGCCTTTATCACAGTTCTCTTTTGAAATAGAACACCACAACATCCCAATAATGAAATCAAAAGTGTAAATCCGCCAAGAGCAATTATAAAGATTATTATTAATTTTCCAGTATTAGGTAATTCTGCTGAATTAACAAAAACAGTTCCATTTGCATTTTTTACCGGTTCAAAAAGTGCTAATTTCGTAATTTCTAAGTAGCTTGTAGTTGTATCATCCGTCAGCATCCACGTGCCAAAACCCATACAAAATAGGCTTACAAACGAAAAGAACGTATTGAATACGAAAAGTAACCATTTTGTACAGGATTCTTTACAGGTTAACGTAACCGGTTTCTCAGGAATCTCAAAAAACGGAGCCACTGAAAGCATTTCTTTGGGGGAAAGATATTCTTCTTCTTTTTCAACTGTGTTATCTTCGTTCCACTCGGACATTTTTCAATAATAGTAATAAGGGAGCTCTTCAAACTATTGTTAGATTCGAAATGTTCAGTAATGTTTCTTTTTTATCTTGTTGCTTCTGTGTACGCGAGGGTAAATAGCCGGAAAAAAAACAGGAAAGTCTGGAATATATTTGCAAAAATTTAGGTTCCCAAAGGTTACAAAAGGACACTTTAACCGAAACAAATGCCTTTGCAACTTGTTTTATGAGTAGAATATAATTATTTCGTTAAGAAAATCCTAGAGCAAAAAAATAAAAACGAAGACGAACGATAGTAAAAGTCTACGCCGCCATTTTTTTTTTAAAAATTACATTTTGATCTAATTATGAAAATAAGTAGTATATTCTCTGGAAAAAAATGTTGTTAAATATATATGAAGAAACAAAAGATATTACTGTCTCTTAATGAATTGATATATTTTATTGACAATCGAAGAGAGCGCCAGAGAGAATTCTCAGAATAGAACAAAGTTCTAATTGTGTACTGTAGGTATTCCAAATGCAAAGGAATATGTGTTTGAAGACGGTTATATTTTATTGAAACATGTCAGCTGGTTGAGTATACTCAACACTATTACAACTCAGAGATGTACCATAATAATTAAAGTCATTTTGGTGGCTGATCGAACAAGAGTACGATGAAAATATTTCTTTCCTTTTCTTTCTGGGCTGTCACTTTGTTTTTGATAGCAGCTGCTAAGGATGAAGATTGGGAGGACATAGACGTCGTAGCTGTAAATTTAGATGACGACACAAAGGGGGATTCGGAAAATGAAGTCGAGGCTTCGTTGACAACTACTCCATCTAAAGTCAGTCCAGACGCTTGTCCAGTCCTGAATTGCGATAAAATTTGTCCGTGCGGTAAAAAGACCGATTCAGACCATTGTTACATTTGCGAATGTGAGTGTAATCATGGTGACAAATGTGAGCATGAGTGTGAATTTGGACGAAAAATTTCTAGTACTGGCGAGTTGACTTGCGAATGTCACTCTGAACAACAATACATAGGAGTTTGTAAAGCGTTTTGCCATAATATTCATAATGAAGCTAAAAATTGCGAAATATGTCCTCATTGTAATTGTAACGGTCAAGTTAACAATTGTCCAACTCTAGAATGCAATACAGTGTGTAAATATGGGTATACAAGAGATTACAACGATTGCCCATCGTGTAATTGTCAACGTGGACCGGATCATCCAGGTCACGTAGACCCTTGTTACCATACCAGGTGTGATTATGGGCAAATTTGCAAAGTTATTGCAGGAAATGCTGTTTGCGTTGGTAAGTAATTCAATTAATTCTAGTTTGAATAGGAATTTATATTCTCTTTCCTCTTTTTTTTTCTAAATATTTTAGGACATCCAAGTCCGATAACAACACTCCCCCCTCTAAATCCACCACAGTGCCCTAAACTTACTTGCGGACCAGACTGTACTTGTGAACATTTCATTAGAGACGATGGCTGTACGGTTTGTCAGTGTGCTAACGCATGCTACGTAAGTTTTTCATTTTTTATTGTGATTGAAATATTCTAAACTTGAAATTGATATACTCTTTTTAGGGTGTTGCTTGTCCTTATGGCACTATATGCATTCCATACTACGTCTTCGAAGCCTATACGGGAAAACTTCAAGTAACACCAAACTGCAGAAAAGTAGAATAGATCATACGAGAGAGATGTCGCTAGTGTATCATCTTGGCGTAAATAATTCGTACATCATTGTGTGTCTTTTCGCAATAAAAAAGTAATAAAATTATTATAAAAAATTTATAATGAAAGAGCTCACTTACGTTCAGTTAGATAAAATGAATCTTTATCAAGATTGCTACTTTCTAGAGTTTATCATACTTGAGATAAGTCGGCATAATCTTAAACACATACTATATATATACATGTATAAACCGATATACTTACATCTTGAAAATTAAAGAAAGCGAAAACAATGAAAAGTCTTATTCTATTAGGCTTTTTCGGCTGTCTTTATTTCGCATCAGGTTTAGAAAAATTTCTTCTTCTTGTAGATTATATTGTGTATATGTTTTTTTTTAAAAGCACGATTAACAACTGAAGAAGTTGAATGGTTGGATTTCGCTATTCAACATCAAAATAATGCATCTTTTCAAACACTTTGGAAGAAAAAAGTGAAAAGTTATAAAGAAGCTACAGTTAGTAAATAACGAAACTGTTTAATAATATATTTCTCATTTTGCTGCTCATCAATTAGGTTGACATTCCTGAGTTTAAATGTAATGTGGGGCCAATAGGAGATAAACCTACCTCAGGTAATTGATTAAAAATATATCCCTTAGTCATATAATTTGATGGATTTTTAAGTAATAATTTTGTTTAGTTCACAAATTAAAACCTGGAGATATTAACGTCGTTGCTGCTTTTGGGGATTCAATTACTGCCGGGAACGGAGCTGATGCTGATAATCTATTAGAAGTTATTTTAAATGCAAGAGGACATTCTTGGAGGTAAATTTTATGAATAAGATTGTTTTATAGTTCTTAATTCACCTTTATGTTTTATATAAAAAGTATTGGAGGCATGGAAAGTCTTGAGAAGATCCTTACAATTCCAAGTAATACAAAAAATTGACGATGGCTCTCCTTTAATCTCAAAATATTTATCAAAATTTTTCTGTTACAGATATCTTAAAGAAGTTTAACCCGAATCTAAAAGGATACTCGACAGATACTTCGGATGAAGATGATCCAGAGGCAGGAATGAATGTCGCAAGAATGGGTGCAAGGGCAACGTAAGATTTTAGAGAGATTATATTTTCTTGAAAAGTTCATTTTTATTATATGCTATTATAAAATCTATTTATTAGACATTTACCGAATCAAGCCGATAAGATGATCGATAGATTAAAAACAACTTCTGATATAGATTTCGAGAATGATTGGAAGCTAATCACTCTTTTTATCGGTGGTAATGATTTATGCGGCTACTGCCGGGATAGAGTAAGTCTCTTTTTTCTACTTCTTAGAAAAATTTAATACGATCGTTAAACTACAAAAAGAAAATAGATCTTATTATCTCTTCTTTGTGTCTTCTTAGCCAAATAGATCACCTGAAAAGTTCGCAGAGCATATTAAGAATACATTGGATAAGTTACACCAACAAGTACCTAAGGCATTGGTTCAGGTAGTTTCTATGTTTGATGTGACGCCAGTAAGGCATCTATCTGCTGACTGGATTTGTGATCTTCTTCAAGAGTAATATATATATATATATAACTAGTATGGTTATGTGCATATTTCATTAAAGAGCTCTCTTCTTTCAGGAGATTTTGTTCATGTGCTCGCAATAGTGATACTCGGCCAGAATTGAGACCAGTACAATTAGGTTATCATCTAAGAGTGGACGAACTCATTAGTTCTGGTAGGTACGATACAAGGGATGATTTTACCGTTGTTGTACAGCCACATATGAGAGACTTGGTTCCACCTAGACTTGTGAGGATATAAACTTCGTCATAAAATCTGATAATTAACAAAAATATTCTCTATATACTATTAGCCTAATGGTGAATACGACAAAAGTTTCTTTTCACCTGACTGCTTTCACCCAGGAAGAAAGGGACACGCTGGATTTGCATTGGGTTTATGGAATATAATGGTAAAAAAGAAAGATTTCAATAATTTTTATTCGGATAATATGCGATTCCTTTTTAAAATGATCGATATCTTATCTATTCATTAACACAGTTAACTAAAGAAAAACCTTACGAAATATCAATAGAAGACACTCAAGATTTTAGGTGTCCAACAGAGGTATTTAATATTTTTTTTATCATAAGTATTTACGTCATTTAATATTTTTTTTTTATTATCTCTTTTGTTTACAGCAAGAACCTTACATTTTTACAAGATTAAATAGCGATCCCTCTATCTCTATAAAAGCGGCCGTACCCGACAATGAATCTACAACTAAAGTGAATAATAAATTAAGAGTCGGTTTAAGCGTTACTGTTGGATTAATGGGCGTTGCTCTCATTGCCATTGCAGCGGTGTACGCTTATAAACGACAGAAACAACCCAAGCAAACCGAAAAAGAGAACAACTCAAAAGATAATCCAGTCTTTCAAGCTGCTTAAAATTATAGGCTGTTTGAGATAAAAAAAAAAAGAAATTAAAAAGAGACAAAATTTTTCATGTGCCTAATTTGTTCCTCTAATTTACAAATTGTACAAGATTGAGTTGAAATTTGATATATACAGTATATACTTTATATATATATATATATATATATTTAGAATAATTTCCCCTTAATTCACTTTTCCCATGACAAGTGAAATTTTTAAAATTTTTATATTGGATATATACCTCATATGGATTTTATTTTGAACTATTTGCTCCCCAAAACATGACCTACTAATAATAGATACAAATTTTTGACATTGTTTGGCTTTTAGAAATAGGCCTACTTATTGTTTTTTTTTTAAAGGATGAAATCGATTTATCAGACAATTCTTCTCTGTTTTTTTTCATGAGGTATTGTAGTTTTTTTCGTTTTATTCGTTCGATCATTCTTTAAAATCCCAAATATTTGTATACTCAATATACAGTCGATAGAGTTTTAATAATTAGGTATGCATGAAGTGATGGAAGAATCTCAAGTCTCAAAATGGTCGTTAATGGATTGATTTATAAGTTTAGCGGAATTGATCTAGTATCTTTCTCTGTTTTGTTGTCCATTTCTATTATCTTCTCTTCCAAGTAAAATTGCATTAATTATAACTTTAGAATTGTTTTTACTATTGTATATCGGACTGTTTCAGTATAGGAAATTAACTAATTCTTATTTGTTTTACTATTTCAAGAATCTTTAATGATTTTAAGTTAAACAACTGAAAAACTAAGTAGAGGAAGTTGAGTTTATTAATTGCACATTTCAGCCAATTATTGCAAAGTAGAGAGTGACGTCAAAAAAAATCGCTCTCTAAACGGAGAGAGAGACAGAGAGTGAGGAACGCAGAGACACAGTGCCATAGTTAACTCGAATACTTCATTCTGCGTTGCACCATGGAAAAGGAGGATGCAAATAAAACCGTTATGAACAATTTTACTTTCAACAGATTTATTTCAACGTTGCCGCCATCATTCGACTATTTTATAGCTTTTTACATGATCATTCTAAGTAAGATTTCTTTTTAACATAAACGTTATTCTTTTCAATATATATATACAGTATATATACATAAGTATATTTCATCTATTCTTTGTTTCTATGTTTCTTTCTTCTTTAGTATTGCTTACAGTACTCTTAAATGGATTGCTATTAATTGCCAATTGGAGAAAACGTAAAAACCTCTCTACATTCGATATTTGTCTAATTAATATGAGCATCTCTGGAATAATTCCAGCAATATTCAGTTATCCTTTGCTCGTTTATTCGTCAATAAATCACGGTTGGGCATTTGGCGTTTCGGGTAAATAGAAATATATCTATTATATTGTATAATACTTTTTCCTTATATCAATATAATAACAACGAAAATCCATCTCTTATATTTTCTTTCTAAGCCTGTAAGAGGGACGGTTTCGTTGTGTTTTTCTTTGCCGTGGTGCAAATAGCAACTTTGATGCTTATGAGTATTCTTAGATATCTTAAAGTTTGTCATCCGATTAAGGGTATTTTTTATCAATTAATTGGTCTGTTTAATTATTAAACACTTTTTTTTAATTACCATCCTTACACAGATAATATTTTAAACCAAAATCATGTAATAGGATTTGTTTTTTTAACGTACGTGTATTCCGCCATCTGGACTCTGGGTCCTTTGATAGGTTGGGCTTCCTACGGAATTGAGCCTTGGAAGTTAACGTGTTCAATTGATTGGACAAATATAACAACATCCTATTTAATTTGTTGTTTTGTTGCTTGTTACCTATTGCCTTTACTATGCATTATTGGATTTTATTCAAGAATTACTATAGTCGTCGGAAACTTTTATAGAAGCAGGCGAGTTTTATCACACAGAGACAGAAATCGCTATGATCAGCATATGTTAAAATTAACTGTTGGAATGAGTTCCGCCTTCTTCCTTGCATGGACTCCTTACGCAATCGTGTCTTTTATGTCATCTCTAAACATGCAAACTATTAGCATAGCGGCCACACCAATTCCGGCTATTTTTGCCAAGTCTTCAACCGTTTATAATCCTATTGTTTATTATTTGATGATTCAACGTTTTCGAGACGAAATTTGGCAATTACTGTGCAGCTTTCGACTATCAAAAAAGAAGGTTGGTGGTAAATCAGTAGAAGAAATGAGGCAAGAACAAGACGAAATGAAGGGAATTATGTTAGAACTGCTCAAGGATGTTAAAGAAATGAAACGGGGTATGGCAATTTCGTCTACTGATTCTGATGTAAAGAAATCATCATCAAGTCATATTGGTAAGCAATTAGATAATAATCGACTATTATTTATGAATAAGTATATAAAAACAGAGCAGTTTAACTATAACGTTCCTTATAAATTTGATTTTAGCTTACAAGAACTTGGCGACTGAAGATGATCCTACAATATGTACCCAAGTCTGTAGTACACTATGATTGACTTTTGTATTTATTTCCATAAAAAGTCTTTTAAAGAACGCGGTATAAGAATGTCTTTAATTTTTAAGTAAATACATTTCTTTGCACCGATCTTCTTTCTTAAACCGGCAACAAGCCTACTATTCACTTTTGCGGCTACATTTTCTTTATTACCATCGAGTGAGTTGTAGAATTTATATTCAGTATTCGCGACTGCCCCAATAATACCGTCAGTATATTTGTCCATTTCGTACGAATTGTCTACAGCGTCCACATAGAAAGATAAATAACCTCTTCTTTTCACTATTCGAAAATCGACTGATCTGAGTTCTTTCTGATATCTTCCTAATATTGTATTATCTCTGAGTTCTAATGTTAAACCATTTTTTTGGCCATTAGTAAACCACCAGCTTTCGTCGCCTAGCCATTGTTTAAGTCCGTCTCCTCCTGCAGTTTCCACAGAATCCTTTCTAACGTACAATAGTCTTCCATCTTTTGAATAAATTTCAATCTCTTCAACAAGAAAGCTATCGGCAGTTGTTAACCAAACGGTTAATGCGGAAATTGAATCGTGGAATATTTTTAACTTTCCACCAAGAGGCATGCTTATATCATAGCAGAGTTTTTGAATTTTATTATTAATGTCGATTACACTTTGAATTAAATGGGTTTCACTCTCATCACGTCCAACGATACTTAAAACATGCTCTCTCTTAGGCATAATTAAAAGACGTCCGTTTTCAGTGCATGAGAGGATTAACATTATACGATTCGTCAGGGCTCGCTTTAAATCGTATTCGTAGGTTATCTCGCTACGACTTAAAGTAAGAAGAAATCGTTGAGGTTTTTCCCCAAGTTTAAATTGGGGGCTTGTAACATAACAGACTAATTTAGTCCTTTCAGTAAGATGACCTCGAAGAATTCCAAATTTCACTCTCGCTTCGTCCGTATCTTCGTTCCAATTGCTCTTCGAATTAAGCCAACCTATGTCATCTGGGGAAAAAAAAAAGATTTTTCTCTTTCAATAAAAACCCGTCTTTAGTACTAATCAAATGAATTCTCTTCTTCAATGCCTTATAGTAAATTTATTGGACGGTAATAAATACTGCCAACTGAATAACTTACAATTAGCTAATGCTCCTATGATAAGAAGGGAAAAGACAATTTCAACGACAAACGTTCGCGTCATTGTTTATATTTCAACTGAGCTATTATCTCACCTTTAACCAGTTTAAATAATAGAAAAGAAAAAAACACGTATATATTAAGAGTGCTCTAGTTATTTACTATGATTAAAAGAGAAATTTTTTAATTTTGATCGGCCTATGAGGAGTACAATTCGAAAATATATATAAGAGTCGAAAAGCGAATAAACGAAAGAATGCAATAATCTTCGTGCAAGCAAATGCTATATAATATATAAGCAAATAAGTGACAAGCCGATCTCTTATGTATTAGAAAATATCCGTTTTTTCTCCCATTCGGCAAAATGGCAGCGCATAAAATCAGACCGAAAACTACATCGGCGTCAATGAGTCGATATAGAGTAGCTCATCTGTTGACGCTTTTGACGCCGCTGGAACGGCAATATTTAAACAGCGTACAAGGTACACGAACTGTAAATGACGGACGAATATTGCAGAGGGGTAGACAAACGGCAAACAGTTTGCGTAGCTCCCGGCTTAGAGAGGAGATGTTCGATATGGGATCAATAAACGTTTTTCTTGAGCAGCAGAGAATTCGGCAGAAGGCCTTATACTTATTCAATAAGGAGAGACGTCTTCAAGCGGAAATAGAATTCCAGATGAACTATTGGAAACCATATTGTGTTGATGACTCAAATAAACACTTTCAAATATCAAATCTAGGTTTTCGACCTGTAGCGGATGTACCGAAAATATGTCCAAGATTTGTCCAACGTCACGGAACTTTTACTAGGTCAAATACAATTGTCAAACCGCGAGAATCGGCGAAAGACCGTAAACGAAAAAATGAAAATAAAGACGGAAAGACGGAAGGTGAAAAAGAAGATGAACAACCAGAATTTGTTGAAGAAGAGCAACTTGTTGAGAATTTAGAAAGCAAAGAGGACGAATGACTAAGTAAATCATTTAATTTATATTTATTGTTAAGTTTATTGATTTTTTTTCTCCGAAATAAAAATTTTTTTTTAAAAAAAGATATAAAACCAAATCAAAGTATAATTCAATAATTTGAATTTTGATATCAGAATAAGTTAAATCTCTTCTAGAGCTGAAATATAACGTTACAATATATTAACTATATATTATGAAACAGTAACATTAAAATTTTACCAATCTCTTCGAATTTTGTATCTCCTTTTAAATCTTCCTCCTCAGTTTCGATTACTTGGAAATTATATCTGAAAGTGTTAAATAAATAATGAAAATAACCACGCAAACTTTAATAGCAGTATGCAATTATTACAGTTCTGCCGAGTCTTTCGTCCTCCAAAGTATCATAATAGAAGATAGAATGATTGTTGTTGTTAAATTAGGAAAGCAGTCGTAAAGCCATAGGTATTGCCAATCCTAAATTTAAAAAGTTATGGAGTCAAGGTCAATTTATAATAAAATAAAAAATAGATTCTTATACTTTTCGGCATGAAATCATAAATCTGATGAGAGAGAAGATGCTTAGGGTAAAATTAACTGAAAATATACTAAAATATGTATATTTAATCCATTTTAATGTGAAGACTTACCTGTTAATAAAAATATTCCTCCAATTAGAGTAAGTGAAAAGATACGTATTTGATTAGAACGATGTCGGTTTTTCATATACCATAATGTATTTATACTAAAGCCTACAAACTAGAAATCAATACAAATATATAAGTAATAAATACATGTATCCAATATATATAGTATAATAGTTATGAACTAAAATATCGTGTTACATAAAAACAAATAATACCGTAATGCTAATGATGAATAATTGAAGTGTATGAACAAGGGATATTATCTTGTAGAAAATTGGGCTTAATAGCTGGGTCTAATAGTTTGGCAAAAGAAAAAAATATAGATATTTGTCTCTTAGAGTAATAAGTCTACAATGGATTACAAACTTTAATAAACTTATCGGCTGCCATAGAATAAAAGAGAGATGTAACTGTTATAAAAGCGCTTAATAATAGACAACAAAACAGCAAATTTCTTGAGATTTTTGGACTAATCAGAAAAAGAAACGATAGTTATTTAAATTAAAAGAGAAAATTTGACTTTTACCGAGTTATACCATATCCAGTACTGATAATCAGAAAAAGAAATTTAGTGGCACCTAGTTGAATAGCTAAAATTCCTTTAGAAAACCAACTGATTCCTGACGCTATATAAGTAGAATTTTTAATTGTTTGCCTAGTATTCCTAGTATTGGAATATTTTAAAAAACTTACGACTATATCCTGTGATATTTTCAACAAGTAACGATACAAAATATAAAGTATGACCAAATGAGCCTGAATAGTAACAAATTTGACATGATTTTCTAACCATTGGAAAATTGATTCACCTGCTATTGTTACAATTGCAATGACAATATGTATTTTAGTTGACTGCCGATATTTTTTTAGCCATATAACAGTCCAGTAAATCATTAAGCATGTATATATTAGTGACATCGTTCCCTCAAACTGTAAAGAAAATTAACGGGGTATATATAATTACAATTTATCTTATTAAACCATTTTATTCTTACACCCAAATACGGCCAAAGATAAGCTGATAGATATCCGTATGGGCCATGAACTGTTATCTTTGCTAGGGAAAATATCTCATATATTTTGAATTTTTAAGAGTAATGGAGTCAAGAAATACAATCCTATTTTTATTACAAACCTTGAAATTGAAAACTATTCTCAACCTTTATCTCAGGTGATATAAAGAGAGCAAAATGATACATTGCCGAATCCCATGTAGTTGTTAAAACATCATCCCGCTTCTAACAAATTATTATTAATCTATGATAAAATAAGATTCTGTCAAGAACGATTCATACCCTTTCGTATTTATTTTGTCGAAGATAGGATCTTGGATTATGTAGCTGTCTGTGCTTGTTATTTGTAATCAAAGCCTTATTATATGGCAAACCGCTGTAATCTTTAAAGCGAAAAATTTTATTCTGGCTACATGCAAAAGTTTCATTAGTTGCCATTTGGTAACTAATCATCATAAGAGAACCAGTATCATTTTGAGATTGCTTGGGATGTTCGATAATACTTTGTAGATCTTTCTGTTAACAAAAATATAACATCAAGCTAATAAGAATCATTAAACTGTTATAAAATATTTACGCGCCCTAATTCTGCATTATACATTTCTTCCATACAATTTACAGTCTTTAGAATCCAGAAGACATTAAGTTTTACAACTTTAGTAGGTGAATATGAAGTACAAACAGCTACAAAAAAATACAGTATAATATAAGCGAGGGTACATTGTTATTACCATCAGCTGTGATATATGAGTTCTTATCCATAAAATAAGGGTATATTAGGGGTTTCATATAGGTTTTCTAAAAAATTATATAATGAGCGATAATAACATTAGTTCGCTTTTTAATGATAATATTCTTTTACTTCGGTCACTTACTTCATTGAAACTAATATCGATAAAAGGACTTCGACACGAAGAAATGTGAATTGACACTAAAATTAGCATGCATTTAAAAGGAGGGCATAATCGATAAACTTTAACAGACATAGCTGAAACTTTATATCGATTACCAGTTTTCATTGAATTCCAACTGAACAAATAACCTAGCTTGGTTTTCAATTGTTAATCCAGATGGGAAGTATTTATCGTTTTTTTTTGTTCAGACATTTAATAAGCGTACTAAAAGAGAAGGCTGATTTAAGCAACATTAACGACTTCCTAAAGTCCTTTTAGACATTTATATAATCACGCCCCCCTAAACCGACTTTTTAAATGAGATGCTTTTAAATAATTATGTAACAAATGCACGAAACAAGTTTACTTCATATCTCTTCGGTCAATAACGAAACGACTTATTTATAAGATAAGATACGTACCATAACGAGGTTAAGGATAAGCTAAAAAAAATAAAGCTATTAGGTACTTGTTAGCTACGGCATTTTTATGACAATTAATAATTTGGTTTTTTCTTCCAAATATAAAAAGCTCCATCTATCGTATTACACTGATGAAAGAAATGTAACGAAATATTATTCCTCCGTGTTCTATATAACCTTAATGATACTCTTTGCATCCCTCGTGTAATTAAGTTAATAAAAAATTGTAAATGATATCTCTCATATGCTATTGATTCAATATTTCAAAGTGTTTTCATTCGAAGTTTGAATTTGTTCTCTTGTTTTTTCTTTACCGTTTTGAATTGGTTCAAAGAAGGTAAATGTCGCTGGAAGGGGACAAGGGGGAAGATTAAGTTATAATTGTATTTATGAAGAGGTGGTAGAACCTTAAATTCATTTCTATAAAGAGGCTTATTTTATAATTCTTACCAGCTATTTTTTTTTGGTAAAACATTTGGACTGTTCCATTTGACGGGCCTTTTTGTAAATTACACTTAATATTTCATATTGTAACGAGATAGTTAAAAGAAATCGAGAATTCTGTAAAATATTTTCAATAATAGCGCTATGCCCTATAAAATATAATATTTTTTTTTATTTGGAAGAACAAAAACAGCCCTTTCTCTTTCATTCTTCTTCCCCCTTTCCTCTCTCGACCTTACGTATGCTTACTCAAAATCCGCACGTTTCTGCACTCGGTTCGTAAGATTTCTTCTTAGGCACTTAAATTGAATAGTTTCTATCTATTATAATACGTAGTTATAGAACTTTTTTCTACGAACCTAGAAGCGATTCATTCTTTGAGGCTTGTATACAAATAGAAATAGTATTCAGTTTAATAGCGTTTTCCTGCTTGTTAATATAAAAGATATTTTTTAATATGAAAGAAATATATATATATAACGTACTAATTTTAATTAAAAGGTTGTTATTTACTTCTATTTTCTAGTTTCAAAAGCTTTCTTTCATAAAGTTCCACTAGTTTTCTCCTATAGAAACGTCAACTTTCAACTGAATTATCTCTGAATAATTATACTATTTAATTAAAATTTTAATTGATAAGATGACTTAGAGCTACAAAAGATAGTTAGTTTACAATTTTAGGTGCAGTTGTCTCATACTTCTTTTAAAGATTCCTAGTCGTTAAATAGAGCTGAAGAAGATTATGTATAATAATTTAAAATCAACCTTTAGATATATAATAAGATGTAATACGAGTCTTTCTTCACTTAATAGAGTAGTCATCTTTTACTTTTTGAAGTCAATTGAGCTATATATATTTCTTACAAGAATACGATGAACAATAGCAAACTATGAAAAGCATATATTGTTTGCATTGCAAGTTTCTAACAATAAAAACAATCTAAAAATGAGGAACATCTCAGGATATTAGTAACATGGGAGGGGATGATAGAAAGTCTCCAGGTAAGGTAGAACGAGAGCAATTGAAAGTTAAGTATAATAACCTTATTCTTTGCTATTATTTTCCTTTTATTTCATCTGTAATACTGAGGAATCTCTAATTCAGATCTCAAGGTTGATTTTTCTAAAAGTTAATCTCTAAATTCTATTTACTAAGGATTTTTCTCAAGTGTGTCATTCAAATGCAAAACCAAAAAATGCTATCGTAATTAATAATCTAAAACATATTCATTTAATATATATATATATACTGTATACAGTATGTTGTATATATTTACAGTAAATATTCCAATTTCTTTTGTAAATACAAACAACTTTACAATAACACCCAGGGAACGAGAATAGTACTTTATCTTTTTCTGATCGTATCATATCTTTAACCATATTGTTACGTCAAGACTGTCTTTGACAGACTTCTTTGCTCATCCTCCTACTCATTTTTCTTTCTGTTTATAATATACTCTCCTCTAAAACAAGAACAGAAAAAATTAATTAATTAATATCTTACTATATACAGTATATATAATATATATGTATATAGTACAGTATATTGATGTGAATGAAAGAAATTTGTTTATTTCAAACTGTAACTATTCAGATTAATAGTGTATCAATATTTAGAGTATAAATAGATATATCTCTTTTGAAAGCATAACCGAAATTCGTTCATTTTCTTTTCTGAATGAATCCATTATTGTTTTTAATAGTTTGTTTAATCTCTCTTCTTCTTCTCCTCTTCAAACTCTTAGAAATGAAGATTACATATACGAAAAAAAGAAACGATAATAACAAGATGAACTCTTGTATTATTCTTCTATAAAGCACTTAAACATATGTAACAGTAGTAATTTCTCTTATCTTCAATTTAGACTATTTAGAAGTAAATGAATATTGCTTTTGTCTTATCATATAAGTCTTCTCAATTCTGCTAGTATTGTCTTATTTCTTCTTCTTCTTCTTCTTCTTCTTCTTTTAGAGATGTTACCAATTATACTCAATATACAATAATACAATAAAGTAGTTAAACAAACACGTAAAATGACGTCACAAGTTTTTCGGAGTATTTTATGATCCTTGATTGGTATCTATGATTTTGAAAGGCTTTGGCATAATATTAGCTTTCTATCTTTTTCAAATAAAAGGATAAACTACTTTCATCATAGTACAGACTCAAGAGTTGAGTTTTTAAAAAGAAATTATTTCGAGAGAGAGAGAGAGAGAAAGAGAGAAAGACAGATAAGCTGAGAAAAAAAGAAAAATAAAAAGAATAAAAAGATAAAAATTTGTCAACATAAATCCTTAAATTGTTTATCATTGAGAGAATATTTTTTTTTTTGCATACTTTGCTATATTTTTTCATTGTAGCTTAAACTTTAAAACGAAAATTTTGATTGATAATTATGTTTTTAATTGCTAAAAATTTGTTAAAGGGAATATTTACAAAGTTTAACTTTTCAAAAAACTTAATTATAATTATATCTGTGATATTTGATATTTGTTAGTAGAGGTGGTGGGGTAGGAAGTACAGGAGAGAGGATGACGTCACTAGCTCTTAAAATTTTTTTATATAAATAGAGTTCAGTCGGGGGGGGAAACGGCAGAGACCTCATAACTTACGAAAGAAGATGAATGAAACCGGTAGCTCTGCGATAGGTGAATTGATTATCAGACTTCATATTTATTATCTACCATTAATAATTGTTTTTGGTCTGTTGGGTAATCTTCTATCGGCGATTGTATTCCTTTTTTCAAATCTCAATCAATTTTCATCAAGCGTCTATTTATCTGCTTTATCATTAGCTGATATATGTTTTCTGTTGTGTTTATTTTTGAATTGGCTACTATGGATAGGTACAGATTTAATTAACTATGAAGTATGTTGTCAACTATTTGCGTATATATCACATGTTAGCTCTTCACTATCATTCCTGTTTATTCTTGCCTTTACTGTTGAACGTTACGTAGTAGTACTTCTTCCCTTACATAAGTTTGTATGGTGTACAATTGGAAGAGCTCGAAAAATTATCTACATTCTAGTTGCTCTGTGCCTTGTTCTACAAATGATACATATATTCTCGAGCGAAGTTAAAGTTAAAAATGAATATAACGAAACAAAGCGAATATGTGAGCCTAAAAAGAGTTTTCGCTATCACTTAAATTTTTTTGTCCTCTTTGACTCAATTATAACTTTTTTTCTTCCATTTTTTGTAATATTAGTAGCCAATTTTCGTATTTGCGTTCGAATATGGATGACGATGAGAAGACGCGACGAAATGACAACAATACCAGCTTCTCAAAGACAAGAACTGCGAATAACTGTACTATTAGTTTTTGTTTCTGTAACATTTTTTGTATTAAATGCCCCTGCTCACGCATTTAAATTAGCCGCTGTTGTCCATACTGTACGGGATACTCATAGCGCCTATGGTCCATTAACTATAAACCTTCAGAGTTTATCAAATCTTCTCTACTACACTAGTCACGCTGTCAACTTCCTTCTATACTCTATTGGAGGGAATACATTTAGACAAGCCCTCCTCAACTACGGAAGAAGACTTTTTCAACTGCAAAGGCATTCAAGCTATGCTGAAAGCAATCGCCAAACGTTATTAACACCCAATCACGGTTCACGCTCCAGTAATAGAAAGAACAGACAAAATATGGGATCGGCAATCTAAAAATTCATGAAGAGATTGTTAAAAAATTATTATTCAATGTATAACTGTCACTGTACCTGACAGTTATTTCATTTTACCTAAACATTCATTGCTTGTCATATTTATAGTCCAATCATCAATTTGTCGTTAAAACGAAACAATTTTTTTTTTACGATTTAAATCTCATTTATAAATGTTTCTGCAAAAATTTATATTCAATGTTCTATAAATAAATACGTAATTATATATTTTGTGTAGATGTGCTTAGAATCTTTTACTATCGAATAAAATTAACGTTTGAGAGGAAAGCAATTGTTTAGAAAACTTTTTTTTTCTTAAGATACGAAAATAAATATAGAATGATGAATTATTTTGTTGTTTATATATTTTCGTATAAAAATTAGGCTAAAAAATAAATTTTCTAGATATAAAAAATGAACTTTTAAAAGATGTTTTTAAGGATTTATTCTAAAGAATCAACTGTAATTCTAAAATCCTTTAATACTAATAAATTACGTCTCTCGCTCGCTGTCTTTTTTATCTATTCTTTTTTATGTAACATCAACGTTTTGGTGTTAATACAAGTTATACGTGAGTAATAATAAGAAAGGAAGAGAGAGAGAGAGAGAGAGAGAGAGAGGAGAGGGCAAGAGGGAGATGAAGGGAGGAAGAAATAGAAAGGGATGAGAGTTTATTGGTGTGATACATCGACCAAGCTACAAAAACTTTCTAATTTAAAAAATCGGTAAAAATCTTTATATCATTTTATTCTTTCAAATATATATATATATATATATATATATATATATATATATATATATATATACATCTGATCTCTGTATTTTCATAAAGTGCCATTATCTTAATTGAAGGTAAACAAATATACAAAAATAAATATTACAAACCATAAACATATCTCTGCTTATTGGAAAAAGGGAAATTTGTTTATGATTTTAATTACGGTCTTTTTTCTTCCTTTTTAAGTCTATCTACGGATAATTTACTTAAGGACTTTGCACAGGATTTCTAAGGAGAGTTGGGAGAGTGTAATTGTTGAAGCATAAAGAAAAAAAGAACTGACTGGAAAGAGTATGATTAGGGAGGTGTGAGAAGAGCTATACTTAGTGGAAAGAAATATGAAATATTTTCTTTTCTTGTTATTATCCCTTGACGACAGACTTGTACATCATTAACATTAAAGTTTATATATTAATCCCCTAAGAGAAGATATACAATTTTCTTTGATAATATACAAATAATATAGTTGTTATAAAAGATTATCGATAATCTGTTTCTCTTTTAATATTAGCATTTGGAACGTAACGTCTGAAAAATGATAAGTATTCCAAAAATTTTCCATTCAATGAATAATGATAATTTCAGACATGATAGTATTCTTTAATTTAAATTTCTCAGGATTGCACTACTTGAATTACTTGATAATTCTATTAATTTTAATATTTGTAATTACTTGATAATATTAAATTAAACGTATATGTACTTTGATCATAGTAGATTAATTATTTTTATAGATTAAACAAGTGTTTAAGATTTCTCCTTCGCGCCTAATTGTTTACTAAAAAGAAAGTACTTTAATAATTGATTGATTTGTTTTAAATTTCATGTATCTGTTGCAAAAAAAAAATATCCCTTAAAATTTTACCCATTATCATTAACAAACGGATAGATGGAACTAGTATGTAATTATCCATTTTTAGTTACCTCTTCAAATACTGAAGTCCCATGGAATACAAAAACAAGAATTATTCGTGACAATTGCATTCAATTTGTAAAACTTATCGAAACTACTTGGTTCCAATAGTATCTTACAGTTATTCATTATTTTATTAATTATATGATATATGATAAATCTGTTTTACCCAAATTGAAAATAGAATTTACAGAAAACAATACAATATTATAATTTTCATCTTTTTTTTTCTTTTATTCCATTTATTCAACGAAAATTTCCATAGTAAAACACATAAAAAAAACACGTATCTAAAACCTCTACTTTTGTCTAAAAGGTTTAAAGTTAAAAAACATTTCTCAATTTTCATTTATAATCAAGAAATGAGTCGGTGGGAGTATTTCCCAAGGAGATATATATATATATATATATATATATTCATATATTTAAAGGTATACACATGTATGCTTTCATCTATTCATACATGCAGCATTTAGATCTTATTATTAATAAATGAAATTCACCATTTCTTTTGCCATCGGTGAAAGTTGGAGGTACAATTAATTTATAAGTCTTTTTATATTATAAATTGTCTTTTTCCTTGTTGAAAAATTGACTAGCGATTATGATCATTAATGTAATGTTTACTTTTAAACATCCATATATCTGGGAGGCTGATGTATAATAAATGGTTCGTGCCACATACGTCTTAGATCACCCTGATAAGATAAAAAAAATAAACAAAAATATTATATTAATATAATTTTTCCTTTTAAATTATATAAACATATATTACTTTCAAGTATGCCATAATAAGCAATGGCAATAAAGTGAACGGAACCAGGTAGAGTAAAGCTGGTTGTGCAGCTTTGAAAATTTCCGAAGACAAAGTTGCAGTTAATAAACCTTATTCGTTTTAATATAAAAAAAATAGATTAAATGCAATAATAATCTTATAATTTTTTTTTATAAAAATTCTCACCTAAGAAGTAGCCAATTAACGAACAATGGAAATAAGTAATTCTGTGATAAGAAGTCGTTGGAGCGCCAGTCTCTCCACACGGTAATTGAGATTTCTTGTAAGCATCATAGCGTAAAACAAAACATAATAATAATCCGGGCATGACCTGCGAAAAGATTACATTTTATTCTTTATATTAAATACTACCTTATTGTATTTTTAAACCATTAGATCTGTCATTCATACGAAAATAAATTCAATATCTATTAACACATGAGAAATTGCGTTATATTACAATTATACTATTCAGTCCCTTTTTAAGAACTCCAACTATGTATAAAGTTTTTCTCACTTAGATATTGAAATTAAGTTAAATGGAGTATCTTTTTACATGTTATATGTGCAATTTTCTTTAAAAAAGTAGAGTTAACCTTTCAATAACCTTAACAACTTGAAAAACTTCAATATCTTTCGCTTCAAATTTTTTATCTTTTTAATTATTCTTAAATTAACGTTTTTATAGCCTTAAAGTAATTAAAAAGCTGGCTAAGATTATTGATGGTTTTATCAATGATACTAAAAATAAAAATGATAAGAAAAAAAAATCCAAAAACCAACTATGTCTCCTAATCCCAACATAGAAAAATGACCAGAATTATGTACACTAGGAAATACAAGTTTCCCAGGTAACGATAATTTTGGGGCATCCCTAACCAATCCTGGAAGGTGCAGTTTTTTTGCAAAGACCCCAACCGGATTTTCAGCGGGTCTCGTTGCAACTTTAACCATGACATTTGTACTAAATATGTACGATGAAAAAAATACCCAGAAAACATCATACATGAGCAAACCAACCAATAATAATGTAGATACTTTTAAGCTTGGTAGCCTAACAAGGGCTATAAAGGCTACACATAACCCCATTCCCAGAGCTAAAGATAATAAATTAAAGATTAATAATTAACTGGCATCGAGTACAAATATACAACCATCCATTAGTAGCCAATGACCAGTTTCCACCCATATGCAAACTAGGATAAATGAAAGACAAAATGACATTATTTCTGCCGGCGTAAATCTCCCACAACAACCAAACGAAATCCTAAAAGAAAAAAGAAAAAAAAATGTTCAAAATTTTTAGACAACCCGTTGCGCCATCTCGTTGTAAAAATTTTAATATAAACAAACTTGTTATTATTGCTGTAACATGGTCGGAGTAAGTATTGTGACATTGGCAGAAGGAGGAAAGCAAAAGCTACCGTGGCTAATACTATAGAAACATCAAAAATATGAGAATTAAATAAATAATCGATAAAAATTTTCTTACTTGCTGTACAAATAGCAAAAACTGTTTGTAGAGAGTCAAAAAAGAGAAACATAACAAGTAGGGAAATGCTTGCTCCTATTGGTAACAGCATAGCTTGACATGAATCAATAGTCTGAACACTTGATTTAGCATCAGTAGGACTTGCTGGAGAAGATGCTGAGAATGCTGAATCTTCCTTCTCTTTGTCTCTCTCCCTTTTCTCTTGTTCGATATTTAATGATCTTTAAAAAAAGAAAGAAAAACGTTAAAATTTTATTGTACTTTATGCAATTTTCAAGTAATGGTTACCGAAAACTTCCATAGACTATTAATAAGATAGATATGATATAAGTAGATATTCTAGATGAGTCTACCATTGAGTAAGCCCTGTAGATAGAAAAGAAAGAATATCATCTTTACAATAAGAGAAAAAAGAAAAATTAAATATTCAAATAATCAAAAAGTTAGTATTATTTAGTTTAAATTTAAATGTAAAAATCAGAGGAAGTAAATGATAAATTCGACTGGTGTGAAGTGAATATTTATAAAGATATTACGGCCAATTTTTTACACTTCTTACATTCTGCTGCAGTAAAAACTTCTGACCTTTCGAGAGCAAGTTTTTCAAAGAAAAAAGAAAGTAAATAAAATAAGGAAAAACTAATTAAGCTCAATAGTACTGTAAGAGAGGGGTAAATAGTTGCACGATAACCGCTTCCCCTTTCCACACGAGAGAAATTTAAGAAGGGCCCAGCAAGTAGACATTAACCATACTAATGCAGATGCTGGGTGGACTTTCCCATATTTTTGCAGTAAAAACGACAGAATTGATTTTTTTCTAGTATAGCTCTTTATGATAATTTATCTTTTATGCAAACTCATTAATTACGTTTATAAAATATACCTAGAGGAAGTATAACTGGTTTCAACGCTCTCGTAATATCGAGACGCCTCCATCCTAGTTTGAAATGCAAACAAAGAACCTGCACGTGCAAGATGCTCCTAAAAAGCGGCGCCCTCTGTTGTATCTCTTCCTATTTCATAGAAGTGACTAAATAATTAAAGATGAATTTTAGCAGTCAATTCATGATTTATCTAAAATTATGTTTCTATAGGGGGTAAAAATCTAAAATTCAATTATTTTATTTCTATGCAAATTTAAATATACTTACATCAAACAGAATTCAATGAAAAAGACTAATTCCTTTATGTTGATGGATAAAATGAAAAAACACCAACAAATTCATGTGCATAAATTAAAAACAGAAAACTATAATATAACATTAAATACAACCCCTTAAACATAAGATTTTTATTGTAAATTTTCGAGAAAAATTTAATATAAAGAAAGGGTTTGTTATTAATCAGGATTTTACTTGAGAGAAATTTGGAGTAAAAATTAAAAATATATCTCTTGTGTAATAAAAATTATGTAATATTTTTTAAGTCCTAAAGATAATTTATTATCAAAACTCAGTAAGATATTTGCTGAAACACCTACGAAAATACACCATAGTAACTGGAAAAGAGTACCAGTTTTCAAACCTATATATACTGTATATATATAGATCCGCTAGGTGGATGTTATTCAAATTATTCCATATTATTAACGTGCGCCTATATAGATATACATAAACAATAAAATAATCATTTAAATGTTTATTTGGTTTTGGAAGTATTCAAAATGTACATTAAATTATTTAATACGAAAGACAACAATTTGTTATCTTTTATTAAGAGATAAGTTAATTGCCAGATATAATATCAACATATTTTTGCTATAGAATAAGATATATACAATAAATCTTATAATTTACAAATTCAGTACAGTCCATAAAAGGAAATAAGTACATGTAACTTTTAATATGTAACAGTGTTAAAAAATTAGAATTTTTGCATGCAAATATCAAAATTTGATAATACAAAAAACTTCATTCATTGCCGGGATTTTAAAAATAGTGTAAACCTCTTGCTAGTATCTTGGCAAAGGCATAGATGGTTTACAGAGCATATTGCATACCTATCGACAATCAAAATCCAAAGAAATGTACAAGCAGCTGATATGAAACGATTGTATAAACTTTACTTACATATCATAGGTGAGTCAATTAGCATTAAAAGATATATATATATATATATATATATAAATATATATATATATATATATACTAAATGATAATAAGTCATAGATGAAAACGGACTGTGATGAATTACATATTCTATAAGCCAATATAGTGCAATAGTATTTTAAAAACAGACTCCATCACACTATTTTGCGTGATGATTGTGAAAATTGTCTCTTCCTCCATTAGCCAAACGTACTTCAGACGTAAAATAAAACAGCTGATTACTTGAAGAAAAAAAAGAAATGGACACGGTTGTCACTGACCTGTTTAGGTCTAAAACTAAAATGAGTTAATAGGTCAAACTAAAATGTACACTCTTGGTAACAGTCACATGTTGAGAATCAACTGCGAATGTAAAATACACGTATACGTGAAATAGATAAATGTTTCAAGCTATATCACGCCAGCGACGAACGCTTAAACGTCCAACGCTTGTAACATCAACAACCGCGTTGAAAGTATTAGACTAGAAAAAATGTGAAATAATGGAGAGACAGAACATTGATAAAAAAAAGGCACGTAATTTTACGTCCTTACTCTTAGTTTCTTATTAAATGACAGCGAGGTATATGTACCAAATTGCACTACCAATGACATATCTTAGCCAAAAATGAACGAATTTTTTTAAGTAGGAAATATGAATCAGCACCTAAAGATATTCTTGCTTTAAATCCAAACCAATCAAGTATGCGCAGTTAGATTAACTTGTTGATGGCATGATAAATTTGCATTAGAACGACAAAATGAACCGGAAGGCAAGATCTTCTATCGTTCAATTTAAAATCAAAAGTTAACCAAGAAAGCGCGTTGTATGTTTCCAAAACGTATCTAGTAAATAAAAAAGGAGTTACTTAGCTGACAATGCAAATAAGACTATTTACCTTAATACATCAGATGTTAAATTTGAATCTAGTGGATGGGTTGAAGATTTTTGGGTGGAGGATGAAGCAAATTCATCTGAATCTGTTTGGTGTAAGACATTGTGGAGGTGAAGAGCTGCTTTAAGGCATACTGGTAAGACTTTAGCTCGTTGGGGACATGCCGACCAAAACCACCGAGGGAGAGCACCAGTAGCTGCGGTTGAAACATAAAAGCCTATTGCTAAAGGTTGCTGGAGAATAGTCTGTGGTATTTCTTGAGGATCAGAGTCTGCGGAATTTATGTTATTAATATTAGCCTGGCCTGCATTTGATAGATGGGTTGGCGATGAATGGCCATTGCTGACAGGTGAATTCGGAGCGTTCATTGATTTCAAAATATCATCGAAGTTCAATCCCAGAGTTTCATCATCTATTTCCCCAGCACCAATATAATCAATTCCGAGATCTTCTGCTTCCTCGTGCGGTTGTATTGTTCCTTGGGTTTGGTACTGTGCTGTGGCTGATGTAGGGAGCACTAGAATATGAGTTGTTGAAGATGCGTCTCGAGGTGTCGATAAAGGACAAGAGCTGGAGCTCTTCTCTTCAACCTTTACACAATCTGGCATGACCTGAATAGACTGATGAGCCTCCATTGAAATCAGGCAAGCACCAACAATGTTGGCCCCAACATTTGGTTTTAGATCTGAGCAGGCACTACAAACCTCTTTAAGTTCCGAATTCGATTTAGTTAGATTATCTCTTGACAGCAGGCCAGCCCAACCTTTCAATTCGCCATGACCAATGCGGCCAAATCGGCCGATCACAAGTCTCCAGCTCATTAACGTACCGCTTATCAGACCAATAATAAATTGCCAAAGCTTCTTTAAGCCTATTTTTCGGGCTGATGCCTTACTTCTCCTAGCCCCTCTATTTGGTATGTAAATATTAATGGTGCAGGTATCTAGTAGCTCTCCATTATTATCAGTAACAGCCGCTAAGAGCCACTTTTGATCTTCAGATAAACAATATCCAACAAATAAAACTCCATCATGTGTATTTTCAGTCGAAGACCAACGCTTGTTGGTATTTGTGAGAGTGAAGGGAGGTGTGAATAATTTGTATTGCGGAGGATTTTCTAGTTTATTTAGTCTTCGTTCCCCTTCAGCTGCTGGACCGAAACCTGTCAAACACCGACCAGATACTCTATGAGTAAGAATTCGGCTACACTTTGTATACACTGATAGAGCTAAAGTTTTCAACTGATTATTGTCAGGTGACATCCTTGCAGCTAAAATTTCATGTTGAGATATAATTTGCATGGTCAAACGAGAAGACACCTGTGGTCCAACTTGTTTACATAATTCATCAAAACACCGGAAAAATCCTAGTGTAGCCAACCGATCACCCTGGGGCCATGAGCTACCGGAGAAGGGATCTATTACATAAACAACGTATGTCGGTAAATTGTTATTATCTTCTTCTTTTATTCCTTTATTTTGCATGGCTAAAAATCCGGCTGTAATTGTAAAAAGAATATTATACGAATGAATACTAAAATACTAAATGACTTTACCTAATACTCCTTTGCATATACGTGCATATATAGAAATTTTTGCTGCAATGGGAGTATTTCCTATCAACTTAAACCAGTCGTCCAAGGCAACATCTCCACTGACCATCTGTAAACATTGTTTACCAATCCTCAAAATTCCTTGTCTTAAAGAATCTATTGGTCGATGACGTCCAAGGTGACACGATTCATAAACGTCACTTAGTTCCCTTATGTAGGCACAGACGTGATCAAGCACATAATCGTGCTCTGGAGCAAGAACAACATACGTAACATCTCTTGGTGCACTATAGGGTTCCATCAATAACTTATCCCAATACCGGAGAGAGTATGGAGCAACAGAAATCCATTCTTTATCATAACCGGCTAATATTTGTGGAATTGGTTGAGGAGCTGATGCTTCATCTGTTCCTCGACGTGCTAATAAATGAAAGTCTTTCCAAGTTAATGGTCCCATTACGTTATACGTCGTATCCCAGTTGTTATTTTTCTTTTGAATAGCATCTTGAAGAAGGGGATTTAGAGAGTTTAACAATCTCACTACATCGTGGCAATTTGCAGGAATTTTCGCGTTACTTTGGAAATAGGGCCATTTATGTAAGCAAGACTCTTTAAAAATAGTCTCATCAACGTGTTTTGGCTGAGGTGGATTGGAATTAGACGGATCACCACTAAATTTTGATAATTCAAGAGCTGACCAAGTTATTGCACATCCGTCTTGAATCTCTAACTGCCTTGTTCCACCATCACGCAACTCCATAGATCTTAATTGCTGTTCAAAATCGACGTCACTATCCCATTCAGAACTCATCGACAATTGAGCTGTCATAAAATACTGTCTAACTGCAGTCATTATATCGGAGGGTTGTGCATCTAGTTCTTTTTCCCCATTGCTTCTTGGTTTTGGCTGTTCTTTCGTAGTGTCAATCATACCAGTGATGTCCATTTGATCCTCCATAAATAATCCCGAAGCAATGGCATAACGCCTATTCATCACTGCTGAAAAGCCACAAACGCAAGTACTCTCCAACTCGCGGCGATCGTTCTGACTGACTAAGTACGATTCGGCGTCTGATCCTCGTATATTCATATTACAAGCGCAGAGTGGGCAACTGTCAAAATTATGGTCCTTAAATAAATTGAGCAAAGAGTCGTATAGTAGAACATTTAATAAAATGGCGTTCGCTTCAGCATAGTTAGTACTAGTCACTGGTTGTTTTGAATGAGCAACAGCAGCATATGAAGATGCATTGGAAGCGGGTGATTGCATATCATAACTGGAAGGTGCTCTCTCTAATCGGTCATTCTTAACGGGTGTTAAGCAGTTATCTTTTCTTATTACCTCATTTATGCCACTGTGCTGGTTTCGACCTGTAGCTTGAGGGATTTGTGGTAGTCGAACAGATACTGTATATTTCGGTAGGTTTGAAGCTTGGGACAAAGGACTAGCTATGCTGAGAGCATTAAACCGCTGTGCTGTTGGCCAATTACAGGCTTGGGCTAATGGACCTAATAAACTTTCAGATTGATGATCAAAAATACTTGATACGGCTGTATCCATTGCTTCATCTTGTACATTTGGGCATGGACTCTGTTCAGTTTGAGATTGTGAATTGGAACTTGGTGGAGTCGGATATAGTGAATCCATATTGTTATGCTTTTCATCTGTTGGAGTAGGCGAATCAGAGTCGTCACTTTCAAATATATTTTCCAAAGCCGTGAAATCGCTATGCTGCTCCAATGTATGTTTGACTCGCTCCTCCTCACCAAATGGTGATAATGCTGTTTGTGAAGGCTGAGGCGACGGCGAGGGAGATGGTTCAGAAATTTCGCTATCAGATTCGCCGTAGTCTCTTCTCAGTCTTTTTAGCGGCAACGCTAGAAAAGCACTAACATCTTCGAAGTTCTGCATGTTTTCATCATTTAAGAATCCATCTTCTGGGGGAAATCTCTCTTTTAGAACAGGCATCATTGCATCTTGAAAAGGATAATTTTTGACAAATGGGGAAGATGGTGCACAAAGCGACGGTGGTGACTCTAGTGTAGAAGGAGTTTCATGTGGTGTTATCGGTTGGGTATTATTAACGCTTGGTGTTGGAGTGTTGCTGCTGAACGTTGGAACTGATGGCGATTTTGTGTAAGGCGTTGGTGGGCCTGCTGTATTTGGGGGAAGTTGAGCGGAGGGCACAGCACCAATGAAATCTATATCACTAGGTATCATTTGATCAATATGCTGAGTTCGAACATGAAATGCTATTCGTTGAGGAATTTTCTGTCTACTTCTTTTCCCCTCTGGCGATTTGTTCATACTTTTCGTGGAGTTACGCTGCCGTATTCTATTACATAGGCAATTGCTTTTAGCAGTTGGATCCATATAATCCCAGTTTGCAGGGTTACTTTCTTCTGGATTGGGCATTTCTCGCAATGGTGTCATTGAAGCATCACGCCAAGCTTTAAAGCAGATCTTCATTCCACATTCTGCAGCGCCCTCAACCCTGATTGGGGCTGGAGTCATGCCTTGACTATCAGATAAAATCGAAAAGCTTGACTTTTGTGCTTGATCTGGTGGACAAGGGGTACAAGGCGGAGAATAAGCCAATATTGGCGGTGGCTGAGGTGCTGACGAATTATTGTATAATGTTGTTGCAGCATTCTCTGTTAGAACAAAGCAAGACGGATATTTTAAACGGGTACCCGCAACGACCACTTCAACAAATAGAGGTGGTTTAGAGCTATCATCTCTGTCGAACGTATCATCAATGTAGAAATGTTCTTTCCATTCGTGAAGCATTCTATGTATCCTAGGATCTCCTTCACGAAATGCTGCACCAGTCAATGTACCTGCCATGCCATATGGCGCCAAAAGGACGGATACTTGCTGAGGATCTTGCTCAGCAATTAGTAGGTGATGCGCATGCAGTCGATATAGAATAGGATGTTGGCGAACATCTACTGATGCGCAAACTGTACTTTCTCCGTGTAAGAAAAAAGAAAAAGAGAATGAAAAATGGACACTTTTGTCTGGTTCCGTCACATCTTGAGTGTAAGGATGAAGAAACCATTTACCGATCCTTACAAAACCTTGAGCGATCAAATGTCTGAAAAAAATTTCATTTCAGGCAATTCCGTCAATGTTAATACATTGAAAAATTAAACTAATAATTATTTATTTAACCTATATATTTTTACACATTCTGTAAACGTGCATATTATAAAGAAAAACTTACTTTTCTATAAGGTTGTGAATTGCTTTAAACAGAAGGATCCTGCACTGATAATTGAATTGGTTTCCCTGATCTTGATGCTCCCATTGACCACTTTCTTCATCTTTTAACTGGAATTCAGCTCGAATTCCTGGCAAATGGTGAGGCTGATCTTTGTACCAAAATACCCATAACTCTTTCTTGCCATTAAGAAGGGGGTTTTCAGTAGAATAATCATTAGGATCTATGAATCTTGTAGTTCTTTTCCAAACACATAATAATTCCTTACTAATCCCACGATTGTAAGCTTTTAAAATCGGGTCTTCCAACGGATCCTGGTACCGCCTCTGATTTGGCGCCACCAATTTACACCAACGAATACCATCTAATTCCGTCTGTGGGAAAGATAGAAATTACATTTCAAGACGAATGTGATAGTTTTTAAGAGACAGAATTACAAGAGTATTTAAAATCATTCCACAAAAACATTCGATTACTTACGAGCGCAAATAAATTAGTGTAGCAATCTTCGAGGCTGCAGCCGTTCACCGTTGTGAGCGGTCGGCTCATCATATAGCCATGACCTGTTTAACTAATTAATGCTTCTTCTGTCGCATTTCTGCCTGATGATTAAACCATTTCCGACGCTGTATACAAATTTGTCTATAATTTCAATGAATATGGCGACTACGCTCGTCATGGCGTAGATTTCGTATCGACTTTTTAAATCGTCTTATATCGATTCGATTATTTCTTTAAAAAATATTGTTCATCAACCATTAAAAGTAGTTGTAATAAACGAATCACTTAAAGTCTTTTACTAGATCTACTAATAGAAAAAAATATTACAAAAAAGATTTCATTCGTATGAAAACTCACTAAATCGATTGTTTAATTTTTTATGATCGAGTCAAATCGATATGAAGCGTTTATTGGCACGGCGAGTGTTTTCCCTATATTTTATGGCGGTACATATGAATAATTTTGTTACAACTAGATGACGTTTTCTTCTGAAAAAATGATAAATTTGCTACAATTTGTTTTTTATTTTAAACTTATATATTAGAAATTGATATAATTTTTGAAATTTATTATACGAAATGGAGCGTTTCTACCGAATGTAAACAAAAACACTTTTGTATTTGCAGCAGACAATTCCACCATCTATAACCATGCTGATGGAATTTTAGAAAGGCATTAAATTACCTATGCTGTTTTGCCGTATAAATCGCTCGCTAATTTGGTAGTCTTACTAATATGTTCATATTCTTTGAAAGTTTAAAATAATTGTAAATTTATTTTCTTTAAATTAGTAATCATGAATGACCGGATCATACTACTTTTTAAAATTTAACTGCTCCCAGTTAATGTATAATATAAAGAAAAAAACAAGCCAAAGCTATTATTAAGATAATATTCAGATGAAAGAGTTTGCTAAAGAGAATATAAATATTTATTACATAAAAGTAATACTTAGAATGGATTTATTATATCATTTTTATATGTCTTTAAAAAATCGATTCCGCTTAATATATTTTGATGGAATGATATTATATTTATTATGAAAATAACAAATTTATACAAAATTTAGTATTTGAAATACTAAGTCTATTGTAAAGTGGAAAAATGAAACCATAGTGTCACTTTTATAAACGACTCGCAATTCGATCATATTAATTATTTGAGAGACGTTCTTAAAGGAAATGCATTTTTAGAATATAAGAGCTTAAAGGGATTTTCATGTTTTTAAATCTTTTAAATCGAACTCTATCTACGATAAAACCTATCGATCATCATTCATTTATCTAAATGTTTATGAAGATTCTTTGAATTTTATCTTATTTAGTATACTTTAACTATATATCAAAGGAAATTTTGTACTCGTAACTATCATTAACTCAGCTTAGCTCTTGTCATGAGGTCTTTCCATAATCTAAAATTACTGACTGGAAGCTATCCTGTCTGAAGATAAACCTTGGGATGGATAGAAGTATATCTTTTAGGATTAATTTGGACTAAAGTTTCCGATTCATTTTCTTTTTAATCTAAGATAATCTAGTGACTTATAGATTCTCAAAATCTAAAAAGATTAATGATTATTATCATACTAGAAAATGACTATACAATATTATGACATTAGTTGATAAGGATTCATTTTCTGTGGAAAAAACTATATTTTAGTAATAAATCTTGGTAAATAGGAATAGACAGCAAATTTTTTACTCTTGTCCTAAAGCTAACGATTGTCTTTATTTTAGATTAGAAATTAATATTAAAGCCATTTCATGATTTATTAGAACAATCTTCAACAAAAAAAAGCAACAGATAAATAATATTATTGTAGTTTTAAAATGTTATTAATATTTATAAAAATATTTCATTTTTTTTAGTTGTTCTTTTTTTCTTTTTTTTTTTATTTAAATCGAAGAATGTTCTATTCCAATTCTATATTATAAAACATTTATAGCTATCAATTTTCAATTAGTCACAGTATCAGCGTATATCACGATTAGTTAAAAAGATTAAATGTAATGGTGCTTAAAAATGATTTTAATTAGATATTTTTAAAGTCTTCTAAATTGTACTTTCTAATTTGTTTAGCCTACACCAAAATTATAGCGATAAATGAAGGTAATAAATAGTTGGATATACAACATTTACTGACAAAATAATTATAAAGTTGTTTTGTTAGAAAATTATACAACGGGATAAAAAACATTGAAAATTTCTTATGCTCTTTATTCTTTTGGCAGTAGAATCGGAAAATTTTAGTTTTATTTTTTTGCCTAAGAACAATTAGAATTACGGGCTTATTTATTATTACTTTTGAAAATGTAGGTAACGTTAAGAAGTTTAACAAAAAATGCATATTTGCAGAATAATACAATGGATTAAGACTTACTCATTGAGAGTAAAGCGTATACTTTAGTAATACTCACTGAACGAAATGAGTTGCTGTTCTTAATACAGTTTAGACTTCCCCATCATGAAGGCGATTTAAAAACATCAGATGACAGCTAACCTATCAGTAAACAAAGGCTTAAGAAAATGAATTTAGTTCATTTAGCCATCTGTACTGCCGTATTTTGGTGGTTTTTGTTTAGGTAAGATTCCTGACTTAAATATTAATTTTGCAGATGAAAATTTTTTTGAGCGATAATGTGCAAATATATATAAAATATAAAAAAAGGCTCAATGAAAGCTTTAAAAGTAACGATTTATTGATTTTTTTAAATAAATAGGTTTATTTGCTGGTGTATCTGTAAAGCATCTCAAAAAATTAATCTTCGGATTAATTATGTGGGCTTATGTTCTGTGGGAAAAGTATCATTCAAGTTGAATAAAAAAGTCCATGTAGTAAGTTATTCTAAAAAATTTCCTATTATTCGATGTTATTTACTTTCATCTGAAGGAAATCGGTCATATCTGGTTCGATGTCCAAGCAACATTGTAAGTAATAATATTTCAAAAGCATTTCTATAATAATTAAATTGTCTGTTTATTTACATTTTTTATAGGACTCAATGCGCCCTGAATATATCCAATGTTCAGCTTGTGATTCAGAGAGAAGCTGACTCTGAAGAACAAAAATATAGCTCAGTAACAAGAGAAGCTGTTGCATCCACGATCGAGTCATTTGTCAATCGTGCGACTCTATATGCAAGGGTAAATATATATACATTATATATATAAAGATAAAACTTTTCAGCAGGTAGTAAATTGTGTTACTTATAGTATTTTAGTATCAAATTCTTGAACGTTGTTGTTGATGTACATGATCAATGTGAGTATGATGTGTCTACGAGATGCACAGTATCTGATATCATTGTTTATGGACCAAACTGGACGAGAGAAAACATTAATGTGGTCGGCTATGTTACTGACTGTGAAATTACAACCATGTTTACCGTAAGTAACATACTTTTGCTTGCATAACTCTAGATATCAAGATAATATTTTTACAGCCTTCGAATCGCCTGATTCCAACAGCTAGTACTAAACTAACTTTTAGTCTTCGGGTAAAAATGAGCTTAAACCGAAAATGTTTTCTCCCAGCCTCTGTAAGATAATGATAATTTCTACCTGTCCTAATATTTTTAATACTTTTCTTCTCTACAAAGCATCTTCGTTTAGATTTTGATGACGTAACATTGTTAAGAAACGAGATTGATAATGATTTAAATACTGAATTAGAACAAAAGACGGATGATAATCCCAAATCCATGGATATCAAAAAGATATTTGATTTTATTGCATATTCATTTGAGGTTGATCTTTGTAAATTAAATTTTCAACTATCACTGCTAATGATACCCATTTATGCCTATATAGCTAGTCAACATAAATATGAAGAACGCCCATCTGAATATTCTAGTCAATGAACCAACATACCGATGTCTGCAAATAAACATCCCATTCCTATCTACAGTTTATGATTCAAAAGTTTTACCTAATCAACCAACTGGTCATGCAGTTTATTGCTGGTCTAAATGTAAGTTATACAACGGTATAGAATACACTATTGAAATGATTTTATTCTAGCTGTTTCATTATTGTCTGGAGAAAAAGTTATGCTATCAACCGAAGGAATAACAAATGTTTTCACGGTATGGCCCTGTTATTCTTTTCATTCTTGAAAACAAAAAGTCAATTAAATCATTTTTATTCTTTTCAATTAAATTATTAGTATGAAGAAAATGAAATAAGACTTACGCCAGAATTAAATATGTTGAAGTGTGATTTTCTAATTAAAGATTTTGAATTTTGGCTATCTTTGGTAATAAAGAAGTTTAGAGGAAAGGGTAGAGGTAGCCGTCGAATTTCACTTGATAAGTATGTTCCTCTATAATATTTAGTTGACAAATTCAATTTAAAATTTGAATGTTTCAGTTCGCTGACACTTTTAGAAGATAAGAAGCTACTTCGAAAATTTGATTTGAGATATAAACTCAAGAATTGTACAATAGCTTTTTATTCCCATTATGAAAATAGCAATGGTCTTGCTTTCTGTATATCTGATGTTGAGGGAAGATACCAAACAGCGCCTGGTTTGTTAAATACTGAACTAATCCTTCCATTATTATTTATCTTCTTTTTCATGTTTTAGCTGAGGGAACGTCTATTCCATTTATGATTAAGAAATTTGAATTAGACTGTCAATTATTTTTTGTGAAAATGATAGAAAATAAAACAGATGTGATAAATATGAAGTCATATTCAAGATTTAAACATCAATGGGAAACTATATTGTTAACAAATATTTTTCTATGCAGAGTTTGTACTCTAAACAATACGATTCGCGGTTATTTCATCGATTGACTTTTTTACTTTTTTTTTGTTCATTCCAGATAAATTGCAATAGGAAAAAGAAAAACGTAATATTAAAACTTGACCATCAAGAAATTGAACTTTCAACTGAACTATTTGAAATTTTATCTGACTTTTGTGGACCAATTCGTCGATTACTACTTTTAGTAAGAAATTCATCCGAATATACGAAAGATGAAGTCGCGATAGTGCCCACAATTGTACAATGTAATATTAGAGATATATATATTTTGCTTCTTTCAAGAGAAAATCAAGGTAAGGAAGAAGAAAATTACTAATATTTATATTTTATAGTATAATTGTTACGATAGTTATGAAATACGCCCAAATTGCTGAATTTAATGCTCGCTATGGATCCAATGGTATAAAAGGTGAAGCGAGAGAAATATCAGTCTCTTATGTAAGAAATCCAGAAAATTTTGAAGTTAGTAACCAATCTAAACTAAACAAAATAAATGTTTTTTGAATAATCATATAACATAATAGGCTTACAACTTAAGAGACAATACCGAAATGAATTATGTCTTAAAAACAACAGGATTGGTATTAGAATTATGGTTTACAAACGGATTTGTAAGTTAAATTTATTATACATGTTTTCTTTTCTTTCTGTTTTAAATACAAACTATGTTATTTTCAGAGTTGTATTGTTTCCACACCAATGAATGCTAATTTACAAATAGAATTATCAATGGAAAAATATCTGACTCTGATGCATATTGCAAAAAAATTTCAAGATTTTACGACACTAATGATTAAAACAGTTGATAGTATGTTATTTAATTCAATTAAATTCTTGCTAAGTAAATAATTTTTTATTGTATTTTTTAAAAAAAAAAATAGTTTCTAGATCTCGAATTGTGTCAGCTCCGCCAAATGTGAATACTAGAAAGAAGGCGTTTGAAATATCATTTAATCATACAGGACCTGGAATATTTAATCTAATTACATCAAAATATCATAAGTAATTTCTTTTTTCTTGTTTTATAATTAAATAAATAATTCTTTTTCCCTTTTTTAATTTACCTCAGATGTACGATAAATTTGTATTCCCTTCAAGTAAAATACGGTGGAACATCGCAAATTATTGAAATGATCTGTTATAATTTTGTCATACATTTCGACGATAAACGTATTACCTCTATTCCGGTTTGTATCGAGTTTACATTCTCATTTAGAAATTCTTAATCATTATACTATTTATTAATTCAACGCAGAATTTTTCTGTTACGTATCAAAAGACTTGTGATATATCTTCTCAACAAAAACGCGTACAAGCAAAATCATTGTTAAAAACAGAAAAATTAAATTCAACTTTATCCATTGTTATACCAGCTATAGATATAACATTCCCGTATAATTTCAATTTTGCAAGTTGTTATCAAGATGTAAGATAATCTATTAAATATTTTAATCTTATTAATTATTAATATTTTTTTTCATATTTGAAAGCTGCTTAATTTGAGAAAAGCCCTAAAGAAAATACGATTTACTGAGCCGCCAATAGTTCAGGATGAATACATACCTTTTGATTTGGATATTAAGATTAAAGTATAATTTTTTTTTAGATATAAATATACTAAATTGAAATTGTTTATTTTTCAAAAGGATTTCACACTGTCTCTTGAGGATGAACAAGATCGAGAAGTTAGAATGGATTATAATTATACGGTATTACGGTATATATTCTAGGGGCTTTTTTATAATAAAATATTAATTTTTTTCCAGCTAATGAGAGATGAATTTATTGAAGGATTAAAACGGCTTCATCTACTACAGGAAAAAATAAGTGAGGCAGAAGGACGAGTGACAGGTGAAAATAGAGATCTTTCCCTGATTCATCTTTAAGGTATAAAAATAATTTGATTTGTTGCAGGTGAAAGAGTTGATGAACTTTTTAAGCAGCTACACGAAAAGAATATTCGATTATTTATTGACCGAGCCCGGCAAATTCATAAAAAATGTCGAATAGAGCAACTAATACGACCACTTTTCAAGTGGCAAATGACAAATATATCCATGGCTTTCATGTGTAGTGAAGCTATTGCAAGTCGAATATATCTAAAGAAAGAGGTGGGCAAACTAGAGGAACTAAGGTTGGTAGTCAATCGAGATTCCGGTTGCTAATAATATTAACCTTTGTCCTTTTAAAATTCTAGTGGTAGTAAATTACCCAAGAATCAGGATTTTGATACATTGATTGGACGCGTAGTCGATTTTAGTGTGTCAAAATGGGTATTTAATTTTAGAGACATAACAATGAATTGGTTATCATTGGAAGACTTTAGAGTGAGAGGTCTAGCTATCCTTAGTGAAGATGCCGCATCAGAACAATGTATACTGTATATTATTTTATATGGAAGAATAGCTATAATTATAATCTTTTATTTTACAGCTCAAAGGGAGCTTATCCTGCCTTTAGAAAAACCTTGGAAGGATATTCATATTAAACGTAGTTTAATACCAATAAAATTTAATTATAATTTTGAATCAAGTACGTGATAATCTTTTTCAAACAAATTTATATTTTAATACTCTTGCAGAAGTGAAATTATTTACAATGGCTTATGGACCCAATTGGGAACCTATCATGCAATTCTTTCAGCAAAGCATGAATCTGATCAATGCTCCATCTGTCGATCCAAGCCCACCCTTGCCGTTTTGGGATAAAATCCGTTTATACTTTCATGGTGCTTTTTCATTAAAAGCTGCTGAAATGAAATGGCTCTATCACGCCAGCTTTGACCCTTTAAATGATACAGAAATTTTAGACTGGACATGGTCTGATGTAGAATGGATATTAAAAGGTTTTATTTGCTTAAATTAGAATTATTTATTCAGTAATAAAGGCTTAAAATATTAAGACACGTCTAAATTTAATGGAACCTTGGACATTTATGCCAGAACTGCATCTAAATATGAAGAATGTAGACTTTTTCGTTTTCCTCGATTAGAATTGACGTAATTTATATCCTTTCAAATTGAATGATAATTAATTAACTTTGCTTGTATAATTTAGACTTAAACTAAACTGGATATGTTTGTCGGGGAACCCAAATGATCATCATTCTGTTAAAAGAGTTGCACCTGAGAAAATTTCTGATTTGAAGGTATAAATTAATTAATTGTATTGTTTATAGTTACAACGCTTGCGTTAAACAATTATTTTTAGACTTATGACGCTTTTAAATACTTTCGATCGTCGAACGTTGACGTTGAATTGAACGCTGAAGTCAAGTCATCGGAAAGTACACAATCTCGACTATGGTCTAATACTTTAAGATGGTTTGAAAAATTTTTGGTAAACAAAAAATGAAATATTTTAATAAGATTAAAGAAGAAAAAATTATTCACGTATATGTTAATTTGTAGGTTTGTCTTAAAAAAGTTGCTGTACCTATACGTCGCGGTAATTTATTCGGAGGTCGACCCAAGAGAAAATTACAGTTAACCCGACATATACGGTTGTTATCATTTTGTTAAATAAATCGGTCTTGTGTGAAATTTTTTTATTAAACCATAGAAACATAAAAGTGAAAGTTGCACTGGAAAAATACCACCTTGTTCATTTTTCATCATCAGCAAAGAATTGTGGATTTGAAGCATCTACTAAAAGTGTCAGTATTGATTGTGAGGCAACTTTGAAACTTGTGCCGTATAAAGAAAATCTAATTCGACGACCAGCTGCAGTATGGAGTGTAAATAAAATGTCTATTCAAGCTTCCGGCTTGGAAGTTCGTTTATGTGGACGAGCCAAGAATCACTTGTACAAACGAACATATTTACTTATAGATCGGTATATTGAGCAAATTCAATAATTAGCGAAGATATTATAGGCTTTATAACTTTTCAGTCTATGTTATGAAAGGGGAATAAATTACGTTGAAACTGAAGACGCGGAAGATCCTAATAATTATAATCAAAGGCTAACAGTAACAAATGACGAAAAACCTAGAAAACCAAAGCACTACGTTCAAGTTTCTGGTGTAAAAATGGTGTGGTCTGTCGATAATCGGCAGATTTTCATGTCGTGAGTGGCGATTAAACTCTAGTTAATATTTAACTAATCCATATTTCTACTAGTCTTATAGATGGTTATATGCGTGCCCAAAGTATAAAAAAGAATCTATCGAGTGATGCTCTAAAATTGAGTAAGAGAGAATATAAAAGATATCATGTAAGTTTTTTCCCAATATATCAATATAGTAAATACATAAGAAAATATATTAGACGCGTCTAATATATAAATTTGTATGGAGAGCAAAAAATACAACCCCAACTTTTTAGAATACAACTTTACTTCGCAAATCTCCATCTGAATTAAAAGAAGGAAAAATCTCTTTTGAGGAATCTTATGGAAGTACCATGTTAAAAAAATTAGTTTGCGAGAGAGAGAAACATTTTGTTGCTGTCCACGAAGAGATGAGCGAAAGAAAGACGGTTGTTAAGGACGAATTAAAGGGCTTAAAAGCTTCAACAATGGATGATGTTAGTGAAGTATCTTGGCACATAGACGTTGAGAATTTTCAGGTTCTTCTTAAGGGATTAGAGACTTGCGGCTATGTGATAACAACGGCAAAGGAAGTCGAAATAGTTTCATCTCAACACCAACCAGTCTGGATTAAAAATAAGCTTCATTCAAAAACGTCATTAAGAGCTACAATGGAATGCGTGCAATACTTTGCTACTGTGGAAAAGAATAGAAACATTAAAGCCAATGAAGCTTGCCACGTTGTTTGGTTAGAATCATCCCACATAACTGCACCTTTTTCGAATATAGTGCCCACGTACGAAAAACTATTAGTTTATTCTCCCGGTACAAGAGCTGGTTGCGTTATTCAGGTTGGTCTTAAAATAAATAACCTTTTTAATCTAATTTTACCTAAATTATTTTTATTACTACAGAGTGATACAAACCAGACTTTCAACTTGCAAAGAATAATAGAAAGATGCAAGTGTGATTGTTATTACATAACATACGAACCAATGGAAGATGTTTCCGATGCAAAACCACCAGTTGTCAGTTTTTCCGTTTTCAATTAACTTTCTAATTAAATATTCTAAATTGTATTAAATATAGGAAACGTACGACGCGTTTAAAGAGGACAAAGAAGAAGGCGTAGATACGCTTACTATTCTACATCATGATTTAGACATTTCAGCCAGCTCTGTAAGTTCAGAAAAAAACCAATTTAAATATCAAATTTAGAACAAGTTTTTTTTCTCTTGCAGCAACAATACGAAATTGTTATGGATATTTTAAATAACTTGTTGCTGTATATGGAACCAAGACAGAAGACTTTATTACAAAAACAAAAGAATTTACGTTTCGCTATGGAATTATCTACTGAGGATCCCAAGGAGGAGGTACTTAAAAAACAGGAACTCATCAGAAGACTCCTAATGTCCTTGCGTGGTATGGAACGGAAATTCTATTTAATGCTTAAAGACGCTGAGAGAGGGAATGATCATCGCGCAAATGACGCTCTTATAGGAATGGAATTAAACATAGAAGATACTAAAGAAAAATTGTATGAAGAAAACGAAGCTCTAAAGACAATTATTAGGTCTCCATTTAAATAGTATAACCTATAAATATTAATCTATTCATTTTGACAGCTATTACAAAGAAATCAAAATGAAGGAGATAAAAGAAAGAGAACGCAAAGCAATGGAAGAGAAAACGCGATGTGATACGAATCATCAGCAAGGTAAATTTTCATCCAAAGAAATTGCTTCGTATTAAATATTTATCAAATATATTACTTTTATCTTTATTTTTAACTCAGCATATGAAGTAAGTATAGCTAGGCGTTACGAAGTTTGTTTTACTCATGCCTTATGGAGGATGGCGGAGGAGGATGGGCAAATTGGTATTGCAGACTTAACTCTACATGAGTTTCTGTAAGATATAGAAATATATTCAGATCGGTTATATATTTCGAATGTAAAACTTTGATATTATTAACAGTTATACGCGTATACATAGAGAAGATGATACGGGTGAACATAAACTTGAATTAGGCTATGTGCATATAAAAGCTCCTCAGCCAGACGCCGTTTATCAGGATGTTCTAAAGGCTACTCGTCTCAGGGAAAACCAACGGGAGCCCCTTCTAAGAATCTTTTGTCAATATCAGGGAGCCGTAGGCGGTATACCCGTTAAAGAACATTTTGAAGTTAATATTGTACCATTGACAATAAGCATATCGAATAAATTTGCAACAAAAGTTCAACAATACTTTTTCCCTAAGAGGAAAAGAATAACCATTCCATCAGACCTTGTACTCTTTGGTTAGTTATTTAATCTCAATTTAAATATATTATACAATCGTTAAATATTTTATATCTAATATAATAGACCTTTTGGAAACGGAACAACTACCACAGAGTATATGTGTTGACGAAAGGTTAGCTCATTTTGAATCTGCAGAAGATGTTAGTCAGGAGAGACCACCCGCGCCTGTCTCAGGGAAAAAGAAGAGTAAATCAAGTAAGAAGGGGAAAGATGACGTCAAAGTGATGATGGTCTGTTGCTTTAAGTTTTCTTATATAACATTTATTTTTAATTAAGTTACTAGTAATTTATGAATTCTTTTAAAATATTTAGGAAAGAGCTGAAAAGACGAATATGTTTGCTTATATTAAAATTGGAGAACTACCACTTGTTCTTAGTTATAAAGGATCAAAAGAAAAAAATTTGTCCGATGTAAGCGATGTTCAGCTGCTTATGCCTTCTTTAGAATATCGCAACAAAACTTGGCTGTGGTTAGAATTGTTAAATGCAATGAAAACCGAATATAAAAAATATTTAATATCTCAAGTAAGGATTTGTTCATTTGTATTGAAAAGAAAATCCAATCTTTAAGAGAATATTTTCATAGGTTCTTCGTCAAAAGTTACGTTTAAGACCACGATTCGTTGAGCCACCCAAGACGGGTGAACAGCAGGAAGATAAAGCGCAATTATTATTGGGGAAAAGATTTTTTGTAAGTAAAATAAAACCAGCTAACTGTGCCTTTTAAAAATAACTTTATATTTTAAACTAATCTTTTTTAACTCGTTATTATCAGCTAACCGCTTCTGAAAGGAAACGATTGCTTAGAAATTCAATAGAGGGACAATCTTCTAGTTCCTCCTCCCCGTCGAATTGTTGAAATTTAGAAATAATTATTGAAGAACCAAAGAAGTAAAATCTGAAGTAATCAGCAAATTATTTCACTTACGACCGGGACCACTCAAATCATTTGCATGCTTTAGAGCTAAAACATTGTATATAAACATTCGATTAGTTATCGACCATTCATCGACTGATCGCACGTATTTACTGATGTTTATTTACCCATAAGCTTAGAACCAATACTGGCCGCTAGGTCAAACCTATTTCCATAACCCATGTCCAAGCGTCTTTTTGTCCTAAAGAAAGAAAAAACAACTGTTTAACTCAAAGTTGAACTACAAACACTTTTTTTTTAGGTGAACTAATGAGAAAAAAAAAGAAGAGACAACTTACATTGCTCTGTTAAGGTAAATCTTTCTTAAAGCATCAACAACATCGTTGTAGTCGTTCGCGTTTCGGTCGAAAGCTCTGTTTTTTTGTTTATCCAAGATTAATATTTTTAAAAGATTATCAAAGAAGAAAAGCACCAAAAAAAAAAGAAACAAACAATTATTTTTCTATTTAATTTTTGTGAACAAACATTGTTTTTTTTATAAAATATTTTTTACATTTAAAAAATAAATGACAAAAACAAAATTAAACGAAAAGACTTTTCCCTACAGTTTTTACTTTAACCCTTCCCCCATTAAGAACTTTCCTGCTAATAGTTCGATTCTTAATTATTCATCTTTCAAAGATGCTTAAAACTAACGGAACTACTATCTGAATAAAAACAAATTTAGTATATAATTCATTAAGCTATTGCTTTTGGGGACTATAATAGCTTTAAAAATAGTTAATGTTAAAATTTAATGTTAACTTTATAACTTTTTTGTATCTATCTATATGTATATATATAAATATTAACATACCTGGTTTCAATGACAATAGTAAAAAGTACAGCACAAGCTGCAAGAAGCCAAAGTGCTTTCATAGATAATTTTCTGTTCATAATCGTCGTTAACCTGCTAACTCTGGAGGTCGAATGACTAGTGGCCGACAAGAAAGCGCGACCTCTATAACAAACTTCATATAGCGTATATGAAATAAAAGGAAAAAATTTGTTAAGACTCTATAAAAACAGGACTGTGTATAAAAATGGTTGAGCATTAAATATATATATAATAAGAACGTCATAAACAGGGAAGATATACTTCTTACAAAAAAAAGATCTGCTTAAAGGGGATGTACTGTCAATTATGTGATACTAGTTTCTCTCTCTTCCTATTTAATCTTTAGGAAATAGCTAAAGTTTGTTCACGACTTGTAATTGACATTGCTATTTATATATGCACGTCATCATAATTGATTATCCCATATTGAAATTTCTCTAACGCCTAATATTCAATGAACACTAATGAACTTATTAATTGAATGAGTCAGAGTACCAATTATCATTCTCTTGTTGAAACAGATATTGTCACAGGTGCATCGGCTTAAAATCTACCAAGTTACTCCTTGGGGAAAATCTCTTAGCTTGTCAATATCAAACGGAATTTTCTTTTTTTAAAGCAATTTGTTATTTATTTATCTATTTTATTCGATCATATACTGTATATATATATATATATACAGACAGCATTACAAATATAAGTCAGATGTCGCCAAGGCGATTTTGTTTGATAAATATTTTGGGAACCACTGTTGTTGACAGGCTAATTATTATATCGTCTCTCCTCTTTTATCATTGGCCATGGTCGTTCCTCCTCTCTCCTTTTTCATCCACTCCCTAATTCGAGCTCGTAGAACATTATCCGGCTTGAATCCGTACTCTTCTGTACTTTCGCCGGCTTTCTTTAAACAATTTACGAGATATTTCTTATCGTATGTAAGACCGTCAGCTCCAACTACTGGCTTCTTCATCAAACGGCCACTTATAGGGCAAATAAATTCTTTGGGTATACCCACTTCCATATTGAAATTACGTTTAAATTCATGATCCGATAGAGAGCGAGTAATTTGTTTGGATTCTTTTGCGGTAAAGGAAACTTGTCTATCGTTTCTTGACAAATCATTACACTCGGATTCGGGGGAAACAAATGCACTATCATTAATGTTAGCTGGAGGTGCTGCAATTGCATAAATTCTGGGTTTTGAATTTGGTGGGGGTAACGCTCTGGCAACTCTATCTCTCACCATTCGGTCTAATTCTATGGCCATCTCTGGGAATAAACATCAATCATATAATAATTTGTGTTCCTTTTAAGAATTATCTACCGTAATAGATAGCCTGTCGAAAATCGCCGTCCAAGCGCTCTGGTTCCGCCACATAATTTTCCTCTTTAATGATAATGTCTTTATCGATGGCTAAGTTCAAGGGTTTCTAACAAATAAACACTTCAATCTTACACCTTCGAAAGAGATAAATTATCCCAAACCTCCGTCAAAATAGGTGGAACTACCGTTTGACCTAATTTCTTATTCCTGGTAAACCTCGACAAAGACGTTGGAAACGTGCTATAAATCCTAAAATAAAAATTTTACGAAAATTAAAAGAGAGAGGTAGTTTAATCCACTAGATGGCATTTTGTTATTCATACCGTCTTCCTTTTGTTTGTCTTCGTTTACAGATTACCAAACATGTTATTATTAATATTAAAGCTATTAGACAAACTAAGAAGATGACAACATCAACTATAGGTGATGTTTCAGTTTTTACTTCATCCTTAACGACAGTTACCGAATTAGCTAGCAATTTGCTTTCTTTCATTGCATCTGCTGTAAATTTATTGTAATTATCATTATTTTTTGTCAATAAAGAGTACAAAGTATACTTATTCTTGTTATTCGATATACTAAATATGTTTTATATAAATATATATATCTATAAAAGGCTTTAACGCACGTTGAACTGATAATAAATGTTCCTTCGTAGATCGATCACTAAATTCAATAGTGCGGCATCTATCCGAAATATTTTTGATGCTCCATCTGTGATCTTCACACGTTTCTAAACATCTCTCATCGCCTACATGAAAATAAACGAGATGAAGATTATAATAACGATGAGATTAACCCAAAAAATTATATCCTAAAGGTAAATGAATAAAAAAAAAGTACAAAAATTATTAACCACTGCACACTCCTGAAAATTGGACGGCAAGAGTATTGAACGGTAATAAAGGGGTTGAGTGTATGATCTTATCAATATTCAGACAACGGGAGAGCACCAAAATGTCTTCACTTTTCCATTCTGGAGAACATACGAACAGCCATTGATTAATAAAGATCTGAAGGCGTCCACTAGATGTTCTTAGCGTTGCCGATTCACCTGAGTTATACATCGACTTTTCTGTAAAAATTTTTAAATTCTCTTTTTCTTATTATTCAATAAGAATTTTAATAAAAAAAATCAACTTAAGCTTAATAATAAACCTTTTTGCGAATGTACAAATGTTATTAATAAATAATGAGTGTGTAGTAAGAATATATCAAGCGCCCTCATCTGAAATGAAAAAAAAAATAGATGTTACAGCCTAATCACACCTACCGGGTATACAAACCATTAGTTATCGACTAATAATATCAATTAAAGCGATAAATAAATGAGAATTTGCTAATTTTATTTCGAAGGAATGACTGAAAGAATTTTTTTTTCACGATACCACTACTAGAAGGCGCAGTTTCGCACCTGGAAAAAAATGAAAAAAACGTCGTTCGTAGTCGTACATAGGCCTAGCACGCACGTCGAGCGTTTTTCATTGATTATCATCTTTCTCTTTTAAGAGGAAATTTTCGATTTTTCAGAAGAAACTACAGTTCTTTTCTTTTTGTGAAACACAGTTTTTGTTTTATTGTTATTATTTTTTATCTTTTATTATTTTTGAATTTTTTGAATTTCAATAATTCTTGGAAAAATTATCCAGCTTTTTTTAACATATGTTTAAATTGCCGGAGAAATTTGTCCATAGTATAATTCTCTTTCATTCCGATATCCAATCCAAGTGCTTCGGCTATTTCTTTAACATACTGATCGTTCTTTGGAATTTTTGGAGATGAACTTCCTCCATTCCTTGGACGATCCAACGTACTTCCTACGAAATCGTAGTTATCAAAACCGAGTATACCTATATAGAATAATTAGGAATAAAAAAGCAAGTTGATAAAAAAGATAAGGAAAAAAGTTTTTTAAAATTTAGTCATTATACGGATCCACTCAGTTACGGCGGCTGCTCTTTAGACTGACAACCGTCTTAACTTGATACAATGTATCGCTATCTACGCTAACACTTTTAGAAGACACATTTGAAATATCTAAATAGAGATATTTTTATATTAAGTCATATTTGTTTAATAAAAAAGTATAAAATGTAACTTATTAAAAAGTTTAATAGCTTTACTATTTGTAATAAAATATAAATACCTTGTTTATGATTTTTCATATATTTTTATATCTATTTTAAATAGAGACGCTTAAAAGAAAAATAATTCTCTACAACTCACTTGGTCTTTTCATTTTCCTATTATAATTTCTGTTTAAAAAATGAAGAGCGATTTTATCATTAGGAACAACAACTGTAAGATCCAAGTTCGAAAATTCCGGCCTCGGTGCTCCCATTAATACATTCGAAATGTACGCCAGGAACATAAAATAAGCAAATTTGTACATTCCCTTAAATTCAGCCAGCGCGAAGCTTGCGCTAGACTCTTTTACATCGTACTTTTTATATTTAGGCGCCTTAACTTGATGCAAATGATACTCGAGGCGCAAACGACAAGCGCTCTCTGGCGTTAAATTCTACCTTTTTCTTCACACTTCGATCTCTCGAAAAAACGATTAACATTGTCAACAAAATAACTAATAGCAAAAATATTCTTTACATAAAATTTCATATTCTCAGGCTAAAATCGATTACAACACAGGTCGATGGAAAATTTTTATTTGTCTTTTTATGGACGATGTCAAAGAAATAGATAAAGAGAAAAAGAAGCCAAAAGAGCTAGTAGGAGAAAATTGTTTACGTTGTAGAAAATTAATACATATGGACATACTAAAATCAGTCTAACAATAATAAAAACTATATAATGTAGTTGAGTTCCTAAGGGAGACTAGAATGAAAGAATGTCTAATTAAGTGTGTATATTACAAATGCAAAATACAAGTACGAATATTTGCAAGAGTTTTCTGCCAAGCTTCTGTTTCAAACGCTTGACATAGGATAGTCAAGAACTTTTCTTGGGCTTCGTAACGCTCTTTCAAGCCAAATTTAACAACATACTGTACTTTTCGCAGACAGACTGGACATAGTAACTGAGGTTGAGAGCAGGCTTCTTCTATAGAGCTGCTCTCATTCATCAGGCATGCGTAGTATTTGCAGTGTAACAAACCAAAAGTATGACAAGTTTCATGTAAGACTACTTTTATAATCTTCCACATTAATTCAGCATCTATTTTGGTTATATCGCTCCAACTATCAAGCCTTGGTTCAAATCGACCAAAACAAAAGACAGCTGATCTAGTTGCTAAACTTCCCTGACCCAGTAGAAAATTTAAGTTCTCTGAAGGATATAAATCGATCCAAGAAGCACCTATTATGGTTGCACCATCCGAAGGTAATAAGCTGCCCAAGTGAGATAGGACAGGACCAACTAATATTTGTTCCTTTTCAGTTTTCTGATGAACTCTTGTTTTATAATCACCATATGGTCGTTGAGGGAGTATTTGAACGTCGAATCCGTAAAAAAATACCGATAAATATTTCTGAAGAACTTGAAAAAATCCTTTAATATTTTCAAATGAAAAATTATGAATAAAGTCCGGAAATTCTCCAAGAGGTTGTAAATAGATTACTCGTCGTCGTTTATAATTTACTCTATGTAACTGAATTGGGGATCTCCACATTCCAAATGTCTGTAATTGCCAGTTTTTCAAATCGGTGATTGGAAGCGGATGAAAGACAGTCGTTAACGAGTGCAATGAATTTAATGCGTCGTTAGTTATTCGAAAAGTTCTATCGCTATCCTCCTCTTTAAATGAGTCTGTGGTCAAGGTAAAGTTTAAAATATGAAATTAAAGTAGTCTAAAAATTTCACCGAAATCTGTATGAAATTTCAAAACAAAGTAAAATCTTCTCTCATTTTCATCTAATTTATTCAAATTTCCTAGAACATGCTTAAGGCTTTTTCGATTAGGTATACACCAACTTATACATAGCATTATTCATTGAAAAATCAAGATAAATTGACATAAAAATAACAGAAAACAATCGTTTCGAACGATATCTACGTAAAACACACACCAACTACCGGTTATACTCAACTGAAGTCAAAAAATATTCTATTTACCTTTTTATCGCTCTATTGAGCTTTAAATGTGAGCATTGAGCATGATTAAGACTTTGAATGTTATCCAGTAAAAGGAGAAGAGACAGAATGATTTTTTTCGTTTTCTTAATCTTTGTGCCAATTATTGAAGAGGTTATACACTCATTAATTAGAACCAATTATTCGCGCCAGTTATCGATATTGATTAATATTTACTTGTGTGGATATTTGTAAGCTGCATTACGCGAGGAGAACACAATAGTATTAGGATTAGGGCACTGCATATAATAACACAATACACTCAAATCAATATTTCGGCGTCGGCAAGAAGCTCCTACCTTCAACTCGTCCCCATATTTAATTAAATGTATCGAGATGAACTTTACTGAATCAATATGGCACATATAAAAACTTACTGCAGAATTAAACCTTCATCAACTGCCTATCAAGATTTAAAAGTTATAGATAATAACATAGTTATTCGGCTGTCGGATATTAGCCCAGATTTGACAAAAGTCAGATCGAAATCCGCAGTAAATTATCAGTTCTTATTCGGTCACGTCTTCTTTCCAACATCAAGCCAGACGGAGATATTTGAAACAGTAGCTTCTAATATCATTCAAGGTTATTATTGAAAATTTTTCCTAAAACATCATTCTTCTAATTAAAAGAATAATGACTTCTTTTCAAAATCTCAGGCTTTCTCGAGGGATACAATGGAACTATATTCGCTTATGGACAAACAGGATCAGGTAAAACCTATACAGTTGAAGGAGGGGGCAGGAAATTCGCAGAAAGAGGTCTTGCACCCAGAGCCCTGTCGAATATCTATAAAGCCTTAGAACCAAGACAAAATAGAGAAGATATTTCTATTCACGTATCATATATGGAAATTTATCAAGAAGTCGGCTATGATTTGCTTATTCCAACGGACAAAAATTCTATAGTAACGTCTTTTCCAAAAGTCACCGTTGTTGAGGGACCAAACGGAACTTGCATCATTCGCAATCTTTCGTGTCATTTAGCGGCAACTGAAGACATTGCTCAAAGCCTACTTTTACAAGTATTTTCTTTTTAGTCATTAATCTCGATTCATCGCGTTTTATCATTGTAAAGGGTCAAGCTAATAGGAAAATTGCCGAAACTCCTATGAACTTAAGGTCTTCAAGGTCACACGCAGTTTTTACTATACAACTGACGTCGAAGAAACACGATTCTGATGTGATAGTCAAGTTTGTTTTAGTTTTTTTCGTTCTCTTTCTTATCATAATTAAACGTCTATTTCTCTCGGTGGCAGATCGAAGCTCCATCTCGTCGATCTAGCTGGCTCTGAAAGAGTAGCAAAAACCGGTATTGAGGGACAACAATTGAATGAGGCGAAGTTTATTAATTTATCACTTCATCACTTGGAACAAGTCATTAGTTCATTACAACAAGAGGCACAGTCCGACACGAAGAGGTCTCGTGCTACTGAGTATCGACTTTACAACCGGTATAGTTGCTTTTAGAATGAAAAGGACAACTAGTTTTATTTAAATAATTCGTTTTTCCTTTTTGTTTTTCCTTTTCTTTATTTCTTTTTTTGTCTTAATTTCGCTTTTGAAAAGGAATGAAATAGTTTCCTTCCATACGTTAAGGCGATTGCTCAGAAACGACGCGTAAAATTTAACCCATCTAATAAGTAAACGCTCCACTAGACATGATGCAAAATGCTTTGTTTCGCTAGATGCTAAAAAAGAGGCTATGATCTGTTAAAAGGTCGTTTGTTTTTTTTTTTTACGCAGATGGGTGACTTCTTTGAGGCCATCTAGTGCTGACAGCGTCCGAACAAACGTTTCTACTCATCACATTCCATATCGTAATTCATTACTAACTATGGTACTAAGAGACAGTTTAGGTGCAGAAAATAGTTTCTTTAATCTTCTTCCATGGATCGATCTAAAAATAAACTTTGAATCGTATTTACTCCAGGCGGAAACTGTCAAACAGCCATGATAGCGACAATTAGCCAGGAGGAAGAGAATATGAACGAAACAATATCAACGTGCCGTTTCGCTCAAAGGGTTGCGTGTATCACTAATATTTTGCGGTAAGCAACAAAAACGATAATATAAATTTATTAACTTTATAAGTATGCATTTAATTTTTTTCTTTAAAAAAAAATATTTTTACTTAAAAAAAAAGAAAAAATGAAGAAATAGACGATAAATCCATGATAAATCGATTGAGAAAAGAGAATTCGGGACTACGCGCAGAGATAAATATACTACGATCTAAGCAGGTATGCTGTGTGTATGTATATAAAAAATATACCTTTTAAATGACGCGTGAGCGGATTGTTTTCGCATGAATTAACCAGGCAGAGACACATAGTCTTGCTTCAATTGGATTAGTGTTGTAATGAACGAGCTGTTTTAATCGCTTTTATTAGGAACATTTCTGCCAACTTTTTCGTTCGTGTTTGAAATCACCGGTTAACTACTTACGTTGAGAGATAACATCTTATTTATCTCTTAATTATATCTGTTAATCGGATTTTTTATTAGGCCATGGACGGTAAAGATCTAACCGGAGATTTAAGTGAGGAAGATAAAAAATCCGTAGCAAAAATTATTCAGGCCTACATTGCTGGTAGGATAAAAGATCCTGTTCTTGCTGGTTAGTTACATTTCACTTAGGAAAGACGACATAATTAATGTTATACTCTCATTTCAGGTATATCGTCTGCCCAACAATTTAGAGAAAGTCTACGAATTTTAAAGGCTATGATTATGCGCCATTACGCCTCAACCGCACCTTCCGCCGTGTCACCCGTATCTGACAGTAGAAATGTACAAGCTCCCGTTACACTTGTACAATCAACTCGGTAATTCAAACCTAAAGGAGCTCGAGGAAAATGGTTAATTAATTGCGTTTATTTTCCCGTCTTATTAGCGTAACATCTCCATCTTACACTGTTAAACGGGTCACTCCAAACGAAAATATTTCTAAGGAAAAAGGTGTTCTCAGGAACGCAGCTGTGCAAAAAATTATTCAAAATGCATTACATAATATAAAGAAGAATCAGCAGAAGGAAAATGAAGGTAATATATTAGGATATTTTTTTATCGGTTTATAGAATAAGCCACTATTTTCACTTCTTTGTACAATTTTTTTTCTCCACTCCCCTCGTTCCCGTTTTTTTTATTTAGAAAAGAAAGCATTATATAAATCGCCTTTCGAGCAGCAAAGAGAAAAAGAAATTTTAAAGTTATCCGATAAGGTCGAAAGTAAAATTGTTAAAGTTCAAAGCCAAGAAAAAGAATTAAAAGAGCAGGCCCTTAATCATAAAAAGAATGATTTAATACGAATCAATAATGATTTAAAGTCAGTTTTTTTTTTAAGTTTTTTTAATTAGTTCAATTGATTTTTCTTTTATCTGAATCTTTCCGCGCCCTTATTGTCTTTTTACATATTTTAGGCAGGTACATGGCAAAATTACCGCTCAAATTAGTGAACAAGAAAAGAATTTGTCCAACACTGACCCTAAGGGTTTGCAATCTGAGAAACTAGCTGAAAGTCACCTTAGAAAAAAATTAGTAAGTGAGATATTTTACTGATTAATCCTTTTAACTAAAATCGGTTTTAAAATTTAGGCTAAAGTCGAGAAACGTATGAGTTTAGTAGAAGAGCATTTGAAGAAAATATCATCTCAAGAAACAAAAATAAAGCAGACTAAAGTTCGTGATCGCTCCTCACCCGATGATAATTTACAGGCTAAATACCCTGAATATATACGTAAAGATGGTAAATTAAACACAAGGGAATTACTGGATTCCCTAAAAAGACAAGATAGGCGTCAAGAAAAGGTCATGGCAGTTCAACAAGATCAATTGCAGAAGCAAAAGACACTATCCAAAGCCCAAGAGCTTCAACTTAAGGAGGAGGCCACTCGTCTAAAATTAAACGAATTAAGAGAAAAATTAAAATCGGCTAAAGTATCCGCAACTCCGGCTGTTGTGACAGATACAAATGATAATATAGAGATGAAATCTAGTACAACAGCTACTGCGGCTACTATTACTACGGTTACCACAATCACCTCGACTGCCAATTCACCTGTAGTACTCCCAAGGTAATTTATAAATCTATACTAATGGTCTCTTAGAATTAATAATTTAATTTTTATATTGTCACTCTCCTGCCCTCCAGGCAAGCTTTTGTAGAACCAAAACGTATCAACTCAAAGAATTCATCGGAAAATTATGAAGATACCAAAGAAACATCTAAATTACATAATCGAGCTAATGTTGTGCAAGATAAACTAATTCTTCTTAAAGAACGCCTAAATAGCATTAAAAAAGCATCTAATTCTACGGAAGGACAAAAGAGTAATGAAATTCCAAGCCGACCAGGCTCTTCAAAGAGTGTCGAAGAGATGATGAAAGAGGCACAAGTAATGAAAGGGCGAAAAGACCCTTCGAAATTATGGAGCGGTGGCTATACGACCCCTTCGACGCCGCCCTCCGAGCAGTCGAGTACGACGACTTTAGAGAGACCTCTTTCTAGACCTAATTCAAGCAACAGTGAGCGATTGAAAGAGTTTATAAGAAGTGGAAGCGCAGGCAAATCTCATTTGGCTAGGATAGCAAGAGTTCGAGCTGAAAAGGATGAAAATGAAGTAAACGAACCGATAGCGGAAAGACCTACATTATCGACTTTGCTGGCCGCCTCCAATTCTGAATCGATTACGGTTTCTCACGATTATTACGACTCGTTCGCCAGAAATTCCCGTTCCGGTACACCAACAAGCAATCAGGTGCCGTCGAAAAAATCCTACCCATGGACGAGAAAGGAGAAGACAGAAAATGACTCTTCGAATGTCTGGGGACCGGAAGCAAAGGTCTATATAGACTTGTTGTATGTCAGGGTAATGAATTTCTAATTGACAATTTTCTATTTGCAGACGCGTTCAGTTAGTGATAGTATTTACGGATTTTTGGAAAAATCAAAAGAAAAATAGGTCACAATCTAAGATAGAAAGAAAAAGGAAATAAGTATGGACGCCAGACGTTTCGGATTGTAATACTATATACGATATACGGTAATAGTCCGAATGTCAACAGTAAAGCTTCCAAGTGATGCTAAGCCGTCGCATTTCTTATTAATTCCGACCCTAGCAAATGTCTCGTTTGTAATTATTTTGAATTTATTTGCAATAAAATATAATTTTAATATTCAGATCATATTCCGGAAACAATTTGTTGCAAATATAATAATGTGAATGATGCAACTTTGAAGTCTAATATAGTTTATAATGTATTTAATAGTTTCTCGGTGAAATTTCCTTCTAGCTATAAACCAAACCGATGTTCGTTTGCGTCGTCTCTTACTCTATATACCTTCATTTCTTTTTTTGAATTCTCCCAATCGACTTACTCTATTTACCACATATCCATTCCTCTCTTAGCATCTCACTTCTCACAGTATTCGTTCTTTCTCTCCTGCTATCTTTAATTCTTGCTTTCTCTGTTTCCTTCTTTTTCTCTTTTCTATCTATCCCTTTTTCTCTTTTTCTATCTCTTTCTTTCTTTTTCTCATTTTCTCCTTTATTTTATTCCCTTCCGTTTTCCCCTTTTCAACTTTTCTATCCCTTTTTGTCTCTATTAGCATATATTCTATTGCCTATGTAAATATATTTGGATGTTTGTAAGTTTATACAAATTTGTTTGAAAATACATGTATTATATCTCTCTCCCTGCCGCACGATCTCTCCTTTTATCCGACATATGAAAAGAGGAGAAAGAAATAAGCTTATTCATTGCCCTAAATCTAGACCTATAGATTCGCCTAATTCTTCCTTACTGTTTATTATTATCTTCTGTGACGGGTTATTTTCGACAGAAAAATATATGTTGATCATAAAACGCCTAGCTGCATAATACTAGACTATTTAGGAAAGAAGAATACTTGTATATTGCCTCAATTATTAGTAGGAAGAGTGTGATTTGCAGGATTTTGTTCTCTTTTTTGTACGTTTACAGAATAGGATTTATACACATAATTATTCTCTACTAATGTTGTTAAGATTATTTTAATAACTCTATATAAAGCTTTGAATAAGACTAATTCACTGAAAAGAATTAGAAGGTAAAACAATCTTTGTCATATTTTATTCAAAGTTGAACAGTTATTGCTCAGCTCACATTCACAAAGAAGGGATGTTTAAATAACATACATTCTACGTTAGCAGTAAAAATTGTAAATTCACAAGAGCACACATTTATATACAATATGTATATAGTGTACATCTGCATGTAGCTTTATAATTATTAACTTATTCGTGTATTTAGAAGCTTTCAAATACATACGTCGTTCATAGATGAAAATATATTCATATATTAATATACAAACTCATTAAATATATATATACTGTATACATTTGTGCACGTATACAGTATATATAAACGCTTTCTAATGAAATATTACCAAGATAAAGTCAACTCTTAAATAAGTGCAAAAAAACTCCTCTGACTTAACACAGACGTACTTTTTCCTTTAATTGAAAGACCAAATTATAGTTGGCCTATTTTGTATAATTTTTTTTGCAGAAAATAAGCTTTCTTTAGAGATAACAGAACAAATTTTTCATTTATTTTATTATTTTTTTCCTGTAAGTCGGCTTACAAAAATTCGATTTATTACACTATTTATTTTTAGAGCTAATCCAGGATCGTAGTCATCGTTTTGATGATTAATTTAATATAACAAAATGTTAAACGTTTTTAAGTTTTTCTTTTTTAAAGGCGTATTACAAAAAAAAAAACAACATAGCAGTCAAGATTTCGTTTTACTCTCTCTCTCTGTCTCTCTATCGCGCTAATCTGTACTATATGAAATATACATAAATCTATTTTTATATATACAAAAAACACAAAAAATACATACATAATCTCACCCTCTCTCCCCTCTTCTTTCTCTCTTTCTCTCTCTCTCTCTCTCTCCCTTTTCTCCCTTTTCTCTTTCACTCCTTCTCCCATTTTCCTTTTCTTCCCTCACGCATTAATATTATGTGTCTATTATCTCGTCTACTTACATATTTTATTACTGTGGAGAGAAAATGTCTTTTCCTATTCAAAAAAAAATATTTGGTTATATAATAAATTAAATTCTATATCGAATTTGTATTATTTAAACATGAAAAAAAGGAAAATATCGAAATAATAATGTAATAATTGGAAAGAAGAGATTTTTCATAGTCTTTGAGCAGTATACGCACGTCTATTATATTACCTTTTCAATCTTACGTCTGATCCTCAATTAAAAAGTGAAATGTTTTCTTGCTGCTAAAAATTTTTTTTTAAAATAATAACTTACCTTTGGAGTGATTTGTCATATTTCTTTTTCTTTTTTATCTTCCCTTTTCCCCCCTTTCCCCCCCCCCTTTTAAAAATAATACATCAAAGACGTTATTAATTTAACCTTTTTTTATAATTTCGAAAATTCGGAATTAATGTCTAATAAAAAAAAATAAAAAAAATTTTCCACTAATGGTAAGAAGCCTAATCTCAAGGGGAAAATATCATCTAAGGCTCTGCCTTAATTGTAGTAAAATTGACTGTATCATCACCAAAAATTTATATTAACAAGTTATGATAGCAATATAATATAATACTTCAAATGCTGTCGAAACCCTAATGCTTTAAAGTTGGTTCATAGGATTAAGCGCTGCACCTTCCTTTATTAAATTTTACTCCTTTGAGAAGAAAGAGTAAAAAAAACCTATTATTTTTTACTGAACTATAGTAGCTTTCGGAGATACTCCAAGCTATCATTGGAATATACTCTAGAGGTTTAACTTGAATCATATTACAATTTTCTTCTTAATTTTTTTGACAAGACCAACTTCCAGTAACATTCTAACAAAAATTTATGATGAAGAGTCTACTTCTAAATTGAATATGTACTAGAGAACAAACAACACCTGAAACTCTAAACTCATTCATCGTTGTGCTCTTTTATTGAATTCGACTACGAACAGCCTTCCTCAATTTAAGAATTGAAAAGAATCCTTTATATGGCGGCTTTCATTTATTTAATATTATTTTAATAATAATGTAATATTTTGCGTTCGAAATGAGAGAAAGTATTATCCCTAGACCTTTGGAGAAGTGCAGTCATTTTGCTGCCTATCGATATATCTTTTTTATTCTTAGGTGCAGAAAAAATTTGTTCTTATTTCCTTTGTCTTCGTTAAGGGGCATTTAGGAAAATAACTACTATTACAGGTTTAAAAGTGGTCACAGGCTTAGGAGCTACCCAATAGATAATCAATTTTTCCATTGCTGTAAATCAACTGCAATGATTTTATTTATCAACTCTAAATCACATTATAATCTAAATAATTGTGTACTTGGCCCCCGTTTCAGATTGATTAAATATGCTATATACACCAAAAAAAAACACAGACCCTCCTTTCTACCTATAAATACATTATTACCGAATTTAATCGAATAATACGGGAAAAAGCTGTTTGGGCCGTTTCTCTCTCACTCTCTCTTCTTTTTTTTTTATACAATTAAATTTACGTAAAACAATCCAATACCCGATCTACATTTAACTTAAAAACTCTAATAATTAGTAAAATAAGCAATATTTCATAAGAAAGTGTGTATATGTGCATATATAATTTTCCAAATATATATAGAGTATTTATATATATATATATATATATAATATATATATATATATATCAATAAATGCGTAATCTATGTACATTTATAATTTCAGAGTTATATATATAAATAAGAATATTTACAAAAGCACTAGATAATTTCATGAAGGACTGGGCTTTCAGGGATAGTTTGCATAAAATATTTTGTAAAAAAAATCCTTTACGCTTTACCCTGTTTTTACCCTGTCACTGCAGTTACATGTAACACTCTATCGATAGGTTAATTGGATATATACGAAGGTAAATATATATGCAGGTATAGAGAATATAGATATAAATATACATACATACATATATATATATATATATATATATGAATATGTGTATGTTTATATGTATACATATATACATACATATAAATGTTTATCTACAGGTATATGTATAAAGAATATATAAAGCAAACGTTATACAGACTTTATCTAGATAGAAAAAGGTATATTGCTAATTTGAATACGCAACGATCAGTTAGTTAAAATTATTAGAGTTAACTTGATTGCGATTAGAATTTGTTTTTGTTATTATTTATAGGAATGGTTCAAAGCTTCGTTGTCTGTATGATCTGTGTGTTGGCTCAATAGATGTAATCGTTATAGGATTTAAAATGCTGAAGGTCGTATACCTGCTGATGGTTTGATTGTTTATCGGAATCTGGAGGATTAGAAGTGTCGCTATCGCGTGCGGCCAGCGCCCGTGCAGCGGCGTCTGCAGACTCGTTCAAAGGATAAGCGAGATGAGGAGGAAGCGGTTCCGGAGGGGGCGGAGGTGGAGGAGGGCAAAGCTTGACTAGTGGAGCAATAACTGGTGAACAAACACTCTCCGTGTCCGTCTCTTCAGATACTTCCGATACCTCCTCTATGACGTGAATATCAGTCAATTGCTTTTCGGAATTTCCCGCATTCGTAACGTTGAGCGATGGCGTTGGTGCTAGGCCATCAGCTGCTCGTTCTTGTCTTAATTGTAGTAGAGGATTTAAAGCGGAGAAGTCGGTGAAAGGCTTTCGAGAAGGCGGATCAGGTGTCAAAGAACGAGCCAGACGAGGTGAGCTAGAAGACCGTAAACGAGGAGATCTAGAATTATTAGCATCAGAGCGCCTCATACGACCAGTACTGCTTGATGATGACGAGGAAGAGGCGTCCATAAGTGATTCCCGCCTATTGAGCATTGGGTGACTTCGTGCTATATTGTTCAGTAGTCCAGCCGACATACTCATGGATAGAGAAAGCGATAGGGAAGCAACGGATGTCAATCCAGTAGACGTATCTAATCGTTGAGGTTGTCCTGTTAAGGGGAAAAAGGGATAATGATAAAGAAGACTTAAGAAAGAAAGAAAACCCCCTAAGGGTTAGATTAGCGAATTTATATTAAGTATATATGTACAGAATTTGTGTGCGCAATATAACAAAATAAAATATATGCACTTCTGGATAGAACGTTCCCCTGTACAGCAAATGGACGAATAAAAAAGAAAAAAAAACCAACCGAAAACGATATTCATTACCCTTCTTGCTCTTTATATACTTACGTCTAGGCCGACATGCCGCTATATCTTCCTCGCTTGCTCCGGATTGTTGGCAAAGGAATTTCAAAGCGTGTATTTCTTTCTGTCGACACACCAATATGGTATATAGATTTGCATGCGCTTTTATTTATTTGTTTGTATTATTTGTTTTATTTATACGTCTTTCAAGTGTTTCTCATCTTCCAATAACTCGATTTTCTTCTCAGCGCGCCGTCTTGCCCTCTTCTGTAGCTTGATACGAAATTCCTGTCGTTGTTTTGCAGTAACCATAATTCCTAACGGGAAAGATAGGAATAGAAAAGAGAAAATTATCTCTTAGTGAAGATGTATAACTTTATATACTTTACACTAAGTTTATGCTTATTTAATTTTCTTATCTTACCGTTAATTACTCTCAAGATCCGCCAGAGAAGGAAGACTATAAGTAAGGCTGCCGCCTCTTCGCCTTGAACCTCTCCGATTCCTTTCAGAAATACTAAATCTAAAGCAAACGACGCTACTATTATCACAGCATCAAATATCTCCATTTTGTGCTTGAAAAATTCTAGACCCATTCCAATCACTTTGAGCAAGACCTAAAAACAGTAAAAAAAAATAATCTGTATATATATGTATTTCAACGACGATTGGCTGTTAAGATGCAATTACAGAAACAGTTAAGACCTGGATAACAAAAATGCCAAGTATAGTAATACTGCAGAAATGCAGGCTGTGAGCAATCTTGAGTAGAAATTTCGATTTCGAATACGTATGGCTGACTGGTTCGTTTGATAAATAATGACTGTCATTCGAAAATCCTCCACCGACTCCTTGCTCAGATAAATATGGTGGCGGCGTCGAAGAGGAAGTAGCAGAAGGCGATGACGACTCCTCGCCATTGGTTGTTACGGATTCCGACTTCTGGCTGTATTCGCACAATCGCCTCATTTGCATAGAAGCCGAACTGACGTTTGGCGAATTATCAGGCATGGAAAGTAGGCTGAGAATGTGATCGACGTTCGAACCTTCATAGCCTCGCAATTCTTCCGCGTGAGCGACTCGAATGAATCCGAGCACGTTGTCGAGATGAGATTGCGTTTCTTCGTACTGTCCTAATACGTTTCGTAGGATAAGGATATTGTCCGCTTTATTACATAGCGCGAAAAAGATTTTTTTCCCTCCGTCAAGCGTATAATTTGGGTGCATAAAACTAAAATATAGCGAAAGGATAACGGGAAGAGACTGGAGGGAGAGTGGCAAGAAAAAAAGGACACAGTAAAAATTCGCCACTGGCGTTCGTCCTGCCATTTGCGTACGGAAATTGCGGGCAAGACGACTGCAAACGATCAAAGTGGCAAATCGATAAGATTCGGCGCGCACCTGCAAGCTTTTCTGAAGAAAGGTGGAAGAGGAGAGCGAACCCGACTGATTGAGGGCAGTTTATCGCCGTTCACTTCCCCAAGGAGTCAAGTTAGCACTACGTCTCCCAATTCTTTACTGTACACATTATTTTTTTTTTAGGTCTATTTTGCGTCAAAATCTATTTTAAACTTTTTGTTGCCTTCAGAATCGTTTCATTTCATTCCGTTCTAATTCTATTTGTTCATATGTTTTTACGATTCATAATTTTAATATTTTCCTTCCCGTTTCTCTTTTTCCCAAAAGTCCCGCTTCCCTTTTCCGTTTTACTGTTTTTCTATTCTATTCTTTCCTTCTTCATTCTTTATCTGCCTATCTATGTGACTATCTATCTTACCTCGTATGGCGTGCAGGTCGAGAAGGATCTCGGCAATCACGACTCCGGCGTCAATTAGAACTAATACGCAGAGAAGAATTTGTAGCGGATTGCTTTCGAGTAACTTTACCAACTTTCCTCGCCATCTGCAAACAATAGATTATTCAGGAATTGGGTTAACACAAGACTTGTAGAGAATTGGCAGTAGACAAGCGCGTCGCATAACGCCGCAGCACGACTGCAATGCAATTCATAAAGCGGCCGTTCGTCCTGACGCGTCAATTAGGCTATGCGACGCAGCTGTGAATTTCTTCCCTCCCCCTTCTCTATTTCTCTTTTTTTATCTCTTTTTATATCTTTTCCCTCAACGAATCTTTCTCAATTTCAGAAGCTTAAGAATAAAGTAGAAAAAAAAACAATATAAAAAAATAACTAACGTTTTAGGCTCGTCATCTTGTAACGAACGTAACTCTTCGTCTAAAAGTTCCGAATCCACGCTGTCGTCCTCCAGGTCTTTTAAGAATTTTTCATCCTTCAACCACTCGCAACGACTGCCGTATTGTGACAGCCTGTTTAGATGATTTATAGTAGAAGTTGCAGTTGAAATATTAACGTTATTAATACTACTTCAGAAAAAAAGACTGTAGAAATTAAAATAATAAATTGAAAAATTCGTTTAACCTCCGCATGACGCCGAGTGGAAGACGGCGCCATTTGTAAGAAAAAACTTAATTATTTGAAAAAATTTTTTATCACGCACACCCTCTTCTCTGACTCGTTTGGCTTATCTTTTTTCTTTTTCTATATCTCTTTTTTCGCTCTTCCCCACTTCTCCTTTTATACTAATTTCCTTTTCTGTTTTTTTTTTGTGAGATCTTTTCGATTTTGCCTTTAATATAATGCATATATCTCGTTGAAGCTCGGATAACCTACCCTTATCAGTATCTTTACCTTCGTCCTTCTCGCGTTGACTGTCTTTCCTTTTTCCGTCGCTCTCTCGCTCTCTCGCTCTTCCTCTCTCTCGCTCTCGCTCTCTCTCTCTCGCTCTCTCTCTCACTTTTTTTTCTCTCTTTCTCTATGAAATAATCTGGTGTGGCTTTCGTCCGTCTCCTGACTGATGGCGTTCTCAAACTACGAGCATAGACGCCTAGCGGCGTCGTATGCTTGTTTCTTTTTAATTAAAAGAATTGAATGTATACAAACGCAATTGTACGTATACATCTGATTACGAACACCACTTAAAAAAGAGTAATGAAAAAAAAAGACAAAGAATAGGAAAAAAAAGAAAGAAACGAAACAATAATGTCAATTTTCATGTGAAGAAACAAATATAGTTCAAAGTGTACTCTCTATTAGTAAAAATTCTTATATATTGACACATTTATGATTGTATAATTATAAAAGCTAGAGTAATCTTAATGTAAATTATATATGATATTTGTATTATAATATACTATTTGTATAGTATACATAAGTACAAGAGAGTACAACCAAGTCGGTGCGTGCGTATCGTGCTAATCGATATAAGGCGCCAACTTTTTTCTTTCAGCACGAACCAACGGTCGCTGTAATACGCCATCTTTCGGTGGGAATTATACCACCTAATAGACTCGCCTTGTTGGTGAATACATAGATAAAAAGGCAATCCATGTAGAAGTAGTGCGGAAATAATAGAAAGCATAAATTGACATTCGAAAAAAATAGAAGAATATTTAAAATTTGTAGATATACTGTATTTACTGGTGAACGGTATATATACCTCGTATAAGTTTTACCCTCCGATTCTTTATGCATAATTCAGCACCTGCTATACGTTATGACAGAGACACTTGCTATAGTATATTGTTATATGGCGAAAGAAAATATGACGAACAGAAATCGAACGCCTTATTGACCCTCCGTTGTATACAGACGACTAGTCGAACAACGAGAAGTCGGCGTCAGAAACTATTGTTGCGGTAACCGTATAGTCAATTTCGTTGCAGTTGGCGATCAATTAATGCTGAACGCCGAAAAAACCTCGCATGGCAATCAAGGTCGATACGTTTGTGCATAATTGAAATAGTCGAACGAACGAAGCGCAAATGGTCCCGCGAGATGCCGAATAGTTTTGACGATCGCGCAGTTTTTTGGCAGCTGTTCATGACATTTCAGTGTAGTCTTGTTTTCGTACAATTAGTACAAGAATATTTCTAGAGTAATTTTACAACTATATATCATAGATAGAAGCGAAGAATTATATTTATGAGTATCCATATATTTAGATAATTTATATGAAATACATACAACTTATATAGTTTTATTTATACATTTGTTAATATATCTATCTTTTAGAGATACTCTAGATTGTATACAAATTTACATTTAATATTCCCTACTTAGGCTATTCTGTTGGATGTTTTTTTCAAATTTTGTAGATAAATAGAACTGAAAGTATTTCTTTAAAATTCTGATATACTGTATTTTGCTGTATATGCGATAAGAACTTCTGTATGTTGGTGTATGAGTGAAAGTATGTCTGCTCGTGTATATGTTGGTAAAGCAGTACGAAATTTCTCTTACTGTGGTTAAATATATAGAGACAAATACATACATTCTCACTTGAAAACACTGTAGAACAGCGTTTTCACATTCTTTGACATTACTTACATGGAGGATGCCGGGAGGGCTGGGGGAAGCATGACTTTGAAACGACATGCGAAAATTATGATCCAATACCAAGTAAAAAAAAGACAAGGCAGAATAGAATGAATATATCAGAGTGGAGCATAAGACGAATGCTCACTCGCTCAAGCCGTCAAGATGAATGGACGAGGTGTGGTGCTGGCGTCGTATCGCCTATAGTACAGGAGAGGCGCCCTTTACATTTGCTCTATCGGACTGCTGTCAACCGTAAGACGCCAACTCAGGCCTATAATTCTACTCGCTAGCACCACTTTGCACTTATCGTATAGACGCCTTACCTATTCACAAACGGTTAGAATCCCGTTAAAGGCACCTTTGAAGGCGAGTACCAACAAAAAAAAGCACCAATCACCCAAATATGCAGCTATCGATTTGAGAGGAGCGCTATACAGTCAGTCAGCGACGCGGCGACGACCACCATCCTACCCTTTTTTCTTTTATATGTGTTTTGTCCTCTATATTTTTATAGAAAAAAGTTTTTTCTTCTCATTTTCCTTTTTTCCATCACTTTCTATCTTTTTACCACCCTTTATTCTTCTTTTTCCTACCATTCCTTTTTTCTTTCGCTCTCTCACTCTAGAGCTATCTATCGCTCTATCTATCTATTTCTCCCCTTTTCCCCTCCCCTTTCTCTCTCTCTCTCTCTCTCTCTCTTTCTCTTGTTTTTCTCTCGCTCTGATTTTCGCTTTCACTCTTTCTACTACTAAAATACTTTATTTTTCTCTATTTGTCTTGCTCTCTCTCTCTCTCTCTCTCTATAATTTCTCTCACCCTCTCTTTCTCACACCCTCTCCATTTCTCTCCCACTCTTTTCTTTTTCCTTTCCGCATAACTATTTTTTTGTTGTTGAAAATATATAACCCATATAGCTTATTTCCTCAAATAATATAATACACTAAAGATATCTTTACTTTTTCTTTCTCTCTTTACAGACTCAACTAGAGCATCATACAAAACTAGATACAATGCGCAACCGACGCTTCATTAGCTTAATACACAGGCAGGATATCTGCGCCATCTACCGCGTGGCGTTCTAATCATGCTAATCAATGCCGACGGCTATATTCGAATTTTCGCGTTTCGATCGCGCACAAGAGTAATATATTGTAGCGGTATTAGTATAGCGACAGGCGGTTACACGATCGATTTTTTTCTTCCTCTTTCTCTTATCGACCCCCTTACCCCCACCCTCTTCCACTCCCACTCTGGTCCCTTTTCCGCCCAAACTTTTTCTCTCGATCACGCCCCCTCGTGCACCCAAATTACGACACTTTTCGCGATCGGAAAACGAAATTGATGGGCGAGAACGTGTTTGAAATATCGATCGTTTATTAGTAATCGACTAGTAAAATATACAAACTAGCTAAACCCTGTTTGCCTAGAGAAGCTTCACCGGATGTTTGCACGACACATTTTCCAGGAAGTAGGTGTATAGACACGGATAATTTCAATGTTATTTAGGAAGAGTACTCCTACTAGTTTCAGGCGAAAAGAGCCACGTGCGTTTTGCTAAAGGAAAACGAAAGTCCTTTGATACGTTAGAAAATTAGCCCGTCGCTATTCGCTTTGAAATTCTATAGGCCTACCCGAAGACGCTGTACGCCCGGAATTACTTTTCATCGATAGACGGCGTTCATTTCCTATTTCAAATTTTTTTTAAGTTCGAAAAAATAAAAAAGAGGTTTAAGAGGAAGTAGATGTTCTGATGTTTGTCGGTGTTATAAAAGAAGTATCAAAATACTTTCCTTTCGTGTGTAACGAGCCAATTGTTTTTGGGAGACCTTAAAAGTATTCTCTAAATAGTTATACAGCTGAAACGTTTTCAAAGTGCATATATATATATATATATTTATATATAAAATACCGAGTATTTATGTGGAACATTATACTCTAACTATTTGTATACACGATATACAAACTGCACGTCATTTCTTGTTATGTAATTGAAAGGCTGCATCGTATAATGATCCCATAATGTTCAATAATTAAAAGAGTTGGCTAATATTTAGTCGCATATTGATATGTTATATCTTTATTATATTATCAAGTTAACCGAAAATTTTTTCATAGGTCAATAAAACGAGTTTATCAGCTTTCATTCAATAAATATTAAAAACTGGGAAAACAATATAAATGCTTGACTTGTATGAATAATTTCTTACTTTTTTTAAGTTGATCTTTTTTCCTTTATAAATGATAATTGTACGCGTTCTCTGTTTTCTATTTTCTGTATAGAAAAGATAGAAATATTGCCTGTCAGAGAATTATATATAATAAATAGGCTGCCCACAGAATCAACGTCTCAAACACTATTTTGTAATCGTATGTTGCCTTCAATTGTAATTGGTTTATTATTTAAAAGTGTTCTTCTATGATATGCGATTGTTGTACGGAATGTCTATTAATTTTATAGTCATAAAAATTATCTTTGTAAATGTAGGACACTTCTTCAATATCCTATTGAAATATATATATATATATACTGTATATACGACGCATATTCTCCTTTCCTATAATTAATTTTCATTTTTAATTCATCTGTTTAAAGCCTATGACAAATGAATCTGAGAACATACGCATTCGGGGTATAATAGGATTGACCAACGGAATAGCGTACTATTCGATGGTTTTCTTCTTCGTTGTTATACGAGAAGTTACTGAACTTCCTGCTATTCCATTTAGGAGTACTTATTATATTGGGTGTAATATTAGTTGCCACATCTTTGTTCCTAGTCAGTTCCTCACATTTAGTTTTTCTCTTTTTGGAATCAATAATCCAAACCATTATAAGATTTCGATTATTTATTCTTTATATATTTTAGGTAAATTTCGAGTTAAGTTCAGATTATGGCAGGTATGAACAATTGAAAGGCACTTGATATTTCATGTTCTGAAGGTATAGTTTTTGAAACAAAAGAACATTATTTAATAGCTTGTATATTAATTTTTTTTGCTTCGAATGACAAATCATATACCTTTTTCTTATATGTCTAAAACTTCAACCTTTTTCAACCTATGATGTGAGGTGCATTATATTCGTAAATTTCATTTTAAAATTACATATATGAAAAAGTTTGCACTCTGCAATAGCTCTCTCTATTCAAATGATCAAGGATATGTTGCTATTGTAACATTTAAAAAGAATTCTAATTTTAACTAAAAATACAAACTATCTACTACTGTAGACTGATCTTTTAATAGCAATCATTAATTTAGGTTCTATATAAATCTATTTTTCTATAAAAAAAGAATAACATTTGGTTGATATTGATCGTTAATAAAAATATTTTTTAGAAATAAGGGTTTAATGAGGCAGATTAATCATAAGCAATAGAGAAAGCAAAGAAAACAGTAATAAAAGGTTTTCGTACTAATGACTGTAAAAAAACAACCAAAAGCAAAATTGTCAAAAATCGATTTAGGAAAACTGGTACATTTAAAGTTAAATTAATGCATGTTGAAAAGCAAATTTCTAGTGTTGAAAGTTGAAAAAGATTATTACCGAGCTAAAAAAAGCCGAATTAAATTTATTCTTATGTCATTTATAATAAATTGGATATAGAGCAATAGTCTTTATTTTGCCGACTGACAAATGCGCTTCATTTTTTTGAGCGATAATTTAACTGCCTATTCATTCAAGTTATTACAAACAACAATGATATATATTAAATTATACTTTGGCATATCGAAAAAACTTTTATGCTCCTTTTATGATGAAATTAACTGAGTTTAGAGATAAGAACAGATTTTTTTGCTGCGATAAAGAAAATCAAATTTGACCGTAAATCGTATTTAGAATCATGCATAGAATTACGTGATATCCGATTGTAGCAGAAAGAATCAAAGACCGCTAGATTGCGTGTTTTGTATAGTATATTTTGGGTTATTATTCTTAGCTTTTCCTTTTAATCTATTTAACTTTTGAGCGAAAATTTGACATGCTTTTCTACAATTCTTTATCCAATTACCCACTCTGGGTTGTAGAATTTAAAAAATGTCACTATAATTCCCGAAAAACATCATAAAAGTTGACAGTCATAAATAATTCAATGAATCTCAAGGGGTTAAGCTTTCGCTACTAGCAATTTTTGTATTATTTAATTATAACAAAAACACTCCGACCCCGAAAAATGAATAATATTTAAATCCTGTAAAATTTAATCATTATTGCGAACAATCTCTTGATTAAAAATTAAAGATTTTAGCTATTGTAGATAGCTTACTCTTTGTATTCTCTTTTTTTTTATGTTTTTTTTTCTCATGTTTTCTCTTTGCTAATTTTTTTCACTCTTTCATTCACAAAACTGCTCAATAAGAACGCAATTAATCTTCATATAAATTTATATATATATATATATGCTCAGTATATATAAACAATATATGCGCTGTATATTTCCTATATCTTAATCGTTCTATGCAGAAGACTTACATAAGCTTAAAAACTGCTTAAATTCCAGTAATTCCTTATAAACCTAGGCCTTTAGTCTAAGTAGTTGTAGTACAACTGACGATAAAATTTGAAATTATTGCTTTTCAAGAATAAATGACATTGATAAGAAATCATATATCAGCCGGCATCTATTCTTAAGCTAAATAATAAGTTATTGCGGTCAAATGTAAAAGAAAAAAGACACGTAAATATACAATTTGTATTAGACATTGCAGATAAGTTTCCATTTTTTTTTCTTTTTTAGCAATTACCGCCCAGCTTGTTGACTTTCGATATAACTAAAAATAAATAGAAATTACATATATGTTTTATGGTGTTTGATAAGTTTAGCAAGCATCATGTTGTAATTCTTGATAGGTTTATGATCAGTGCCAGGTACTGGCTCTGAGCCATTCTTATATCAGTTTCCTGTTAGATTCTGAAATAAAAGGAAATGACTCGGATTATCTCCAGCAATTTAATTATTATTTTTTCTTGGTGTTTTTTTCTTCTTTGTCAGAGTCCTACATATTCAGCTAATGATCTGAAAGTTTTAAAAATAGCTTTATTTGCTCCGAAAGAAAGTAACGGTGGCCTGAACATATCGAGTAGTGTACCGGCAATCGCTTTGGGGGTAAAATGGGTTGAGTTAGAGAGTGGTCTGTTAGACGGCTATCGACTTAAGTAGTTATTAATATAATGCATTTAAAAACTAATATGTGCTTTAATAATTTCATTAATGTCTGCTTTACAGCATAACCTATTTTGACAGCAGGTGTGAGAGTAAATGGTCTTTGGGAACTGCTGCTAGTATTATAGAAAAAGTAGACGTTATAATAGGTCCACCGTGTTCGAATGGTAAATACCAGCATGTCAGAGAGCAAAACATAAATACCTTTCAAAAAATATATGACAATAAATTCTTACATGACAGCTATGGTGCCTGTTGCGCAATTGGCTTCATTTTGGAACAAACCTATAATAGGTTGGGTATCTACCAACAAGGAGTTAGATAATAAGAACGTACACTCCACTCTTGTGAGAACTTTGGGACCGGTCTATAAAATTAGTGTTCTCTTAAAAGAAATGTTTGAAAAGTACAACTGGAGGATATGCGCTTTGATCAGTACGAAAGCGGATGGTAGTAGATCGATAAGAGATGCGATCGTAGAAGAATTTTTTTCTGCGAATATTGAGATTGTTGAACTTATAGAAGTTAATGAAGAAGAAGAGGAGAACGCCATTAGGCGCGCTTACCGTAAAATCAAATCGGAAGCGAGAAGTAGGCCTTTGCAATGATATTTCCACAATTATTATACTGATTTAGTTTATCATCTTCTATTTTACATTAGTCGTCATATTAGCGATTCCGTTAGAAGAGATCAGGAGGTATATGTTATTCGCCTACGATGAAAAGATGACGGGGGGTGATTACGTGTTCTGGACGTTTGAAGAAGTGCCTAATGACAAGTGGGTTAACGGAAACGAATCTTGGATAGGAGATGATAATCGGAATGAAGAAGCCTTGAGCTCAATGAAAGCCCTATTTCATGTAAAACTATTTTCAGAAGCTGATTATTATAATTTTACAATAATAAGGGTAAAAAAATTCGTAGGTGGCAATTGCTGATAGTATTGTTAACGATTATAGAGGAAGAGAAAAGGAAAAGTTAAAACAACTTGCAATGGAAGCTTATTATAACGATACTGATCGTTGGGGGCAAATAGCCGAGACACCATCTCCGGTAATTGACTATTTTTTTCTTCAATTTCTTCCCTATCCCCTTCATTCATGGATTTTTCTCCTCTATTTTATCGCGATATTTTATACTACTGTATATATTTTGTTTTTTTTTGTAGTGTGATAAATTCTGTTTCTATTTGACGGATGCTATACGGATTTACGCTCTACTAGTAAACGAATCTCTAAGGAAAAATATTAGTTATACGAAAGGGTTAACTTTCTTCAAATTGGCTAATAATAGGGTCATAAATGGCACAACTGGAACGATATTCATTGACGAACTGGCTGATCGACAGCCAAACTACTGGGTTTTAGATCTTCAACCCGATGGAATTATGCAAATACAAACTGTTTTAACCTGGCATTTGGATAATCGTAGCAGGCAGTACTATGTTCGTAAATAGAATAGTTTTCGTTTACTAATGTAAATTGTTCGTTAAATATAGGATTTTACCGAAATGAATGAGCCTCGGTGGCCCAATGGAAAATACGGTGAGGAAAATGCTCCACCGGATCGGCCTCCTTGTGGATTTCAGAACGAATTATGTCCAGAACGTTAGAAATAGTTTCTTTAAATTACTGTTATTAATAATAATATACTTAAGGAGAAATCGTTTTTCTTATTTCTTTTTTTTTCTTTTTTTTTCCGACCTATCAGCCTTTCCAACAGTTGCAACAGCTTTAGTTTCATCTTCTGTTGTTCTATTAATTGTAATTATTGCGGTAGGAGTAAAGGTTTATCGGAGGAAACGTTTTGAAAAGACTTTAGCCAGCATGCTTTGGATGATAGACTATACAGAAATCAATTTCGACATACGTAATTTTTGCAGATATGGTAGTTTCAATGGTGTTGGATCATTTGGAAGCCATCTTGTCGATAAATCAAGTTCGATAAGATCACTTACATATTCGGAAACTGTTGGCCAATTGTTTACAAAAGTTGGTATATATAGAGGAAATGTTGTAGCTGTAAGACGCATTTCACGGGAAAATGTTCCTCATACAAGGCCTCTTCTTGTCGAATTGAATAACGTAAGTATCCCTTTATGGAAGCCTAAAAAAAAGAGTACTCTAAGATATTTTCTTCTCCTTTATTAAAACAGATGAAAAATTTAGCTAATCCTAATATATCAGTATTTATAGGAGCTTGTATTGTTTCACCAAATGTTTGTGCAGTTTGGCAATACGAGAATAAAGGCAGTTTACAAGATGTCCTACACGACGACAATGTCAGGCTTGATTTTATCTTTAAGCTGTCAATAATAGTTGATATTATTAAGGTTTTATACTTATTATGTTGATTTAATTCTATCTACAAATATTTCATTATAAAATTAGGGAATGGAATACTTACATACTAGTTCCATATCATCTCATGGTCGCCTAAAATCATCTAATATTGTTATCGATAGCCATTGGATATGCAAAATAACTGATTATGGAATGAACACTTTATTGGAAGGAGCTACGCCAAATTTCGAAATGACTGATCACGCATTTTATAGTAATTTATATTGGACTGCTCCAGAGCTGTTACGAACATCATATACTTTTCCGAATGGAACGAAAAAAGGAGATGTTTTCGCATTTGGCGTTATTTTCAAAGAAGTCATATGCTCTAATGAGCCATATGCGGAATATGAGTTTATGGAGCCAAAGGGTAATTTTCTTAATATTTCCGAAACTGATTGTTATAATTACTGAATAACACTTTCTGTTCTAGACATAATTGCTAAAGTTGAAAAAGGGCCAGTCGAAGATGGGATCATTTTTAGGCCAAAAATCGATTCCACTGGTGCCGTTGATATGGCTGTTCTAGATATTGCACATAGATGTTGGCAGGAGGATCCTGAAGAGAGGCCAACTTTTAAAAATCTACTAAGTATTATTAAGAAGATAAGCAAGGGGTTTGTTCTTTATTATCAACTATAAAATAAGCTAATAATTCTCAATTATTGTGTGTTTTGATAAATAATTTATATTTTATTTTTCCAATATAAAAGGGCGCCAACAAATTTAACTTCGGCTATGATTGCCCGAATGAAGAAATATACAGATAATTTAGAATCGATTATACAAGACCGCACTTGCCAATTAATGCACGAGAAAGAAAAAACTGATAGTCTATTATATCGAATGCTTCCACCCTCGGTGGCCGAAGCCCTCAAGCAAGGAAAACAGGTTACCGCCGAATGGTTCGACGAGGTTACCATTTATTTCTCTGATATAGTTGGTTTCACGTCATTGGCAACTAAAAGCACTCCAATGCAAATTGTCAACTTATTAAACAATTTATATACTTGTTTCGACGATGCAATCACTATGCATAATGTGTATAAAGTTGAAACAATTGGCGACTGCTATATGATCGTCTCTGGCGTTCCAAAACGATTACCTAGTGCTCAACATGTTCGACATGTGGCAAACTGTGCACTGGACCTGTTAGAAGCCGTTCGCCATTTCCCTATCAAACACTTGAAAAACGAGCAGCTGCGGGTTAGAATTGGTTTGCATTCTGGTCCTTGTGCGGCTGGTGTTGTAGGTCTGGTAATGCCTAGATATTGCTTATTTGGTGATACGGTAAACACAGCCAGTCGGATGGAAAGTAATGGAGAAGGTAATAATAAAATTATTTTAAATCAATATTAATGACTTTATGGATTCTAAAAATAATAAGAATAACTCTGCAGCTATGAAGATACATTTAAGCAGTTCAACAAGCGAAATAATAAAGAGTAGATTTCCTTATTTCGTGGTCGAGTATAGAGGAAAGATTCCAATTAAGGGTAAAGGAGATATGGAAACATATTGGCTCAAAGAGAGAACAGTTTCGGTTGCAGAACAAGAGAATTTAGAGAGCTTCGAAAAGCCATGGATAAATACTAGTTTGAATATGTCGAAAAAACATTCATTACCACCCATAGTTAAGGCCGTCAATCTACCAACTCCAATTTATGATGAATGAAAAAATTTAATACGCAAATTTCTCTTGATTATTTTTTTTTTTATATGTTTTTATTTTCTTTAAGAATACAAAATATTAAGCCGATATAGTTTGTTTTTGTTTCATTTCATTTCGCCATTCACTCATTGCCCTAGCAACGATGTAAACAATGCCATATCGACATTCCGACTACTTTACTTTCAGTACACGATATGTCTAATAATAAACCGTCTAAAATAAGCGTGAGTAATTATAACTATCAACTTAGTAAACTTAAAATCGGTATTATACTAAAATTAATTTCACCTTTGAACAGCTACCTAAAATCAATTTAGGGGGCCAGTTTATTCAATCTAGTCACGTTCAAAAAAATAGAGGATTCCAGGTATCAGATGGATCAAAAAAATATCCAAAAGTAAGAGAAGCACATTAAACGTAAAATTAATAGTTTAACGACATCTCTTTGAAAGAAGAGAAACTTATCACCCGTTATGGTAAAGAATCCTACACCAAGAACTACACTTCAGGGTCGTATTGAAAAACATGGTTAGACTTTAAGATAAATCTTTTAAAATGAAAAATTATTAATGTAAAAATTAATGTGAAAAGTGAAGCAGCCTCAAGTTAGGGAAGCAATGAGAAAATTCGATCAATTATTGTCGGGAGAGATGGAGGACTTGCCGGAAAAGCGCCGAGCAGAAGTCCGCATTTTTCTATCTTCTACATTTACAGGCAAAATTAGCAAATCACAGATTTCTTGAATATAAAAGTAGATTTTATTTATATTTAGATATGAAATCTGAAAGAAATTATCTGACTCGTTACGCCTGGCCAAAGTTGAAAGAAATTTGCAAAGGGCATAATTTAGAATTCTATGTGGTCGACATGCGATGGGGTATTACGGATAGCGCCATGAACGAACACAAAATTGAAAATCTATGTTTAACTGAAGTGAAAAGTTGCTTTAAAATGTCCTTTTCAACAGCCTTTGTTACTATATTAGGTGATCGTTATGGTCATCAACCAATTCCATGCTCACTTTCCATTCGACTTTGGGAAATATTTAAAAAATATGCAAATGAAGATTTTTCTATTATAAACGAATGGTATAAACTTGACGAGAATTCATCGCCAAATGTCTATGTTTTACAACCAATTAAAGATTTAATACAATCTTTTGGTGAAGATCCTAAAGCCGCTAAACAATGGAGAGAAATCTCATCAGCAGTGAAAAATGTTTTGAGACGGAGTTCTGAAGCGGCCTTTGCTGCAGGAGCTCTAGCAGCTGAAGAAAAAGACCAGTTTTATAAATCTGGTAGGTTTAATCATCTACACGTAAATTGTTTCTAAAATCTAAATCATTCCAACTCAGTAACCGAACAAGAAATAGACGTGGCCCTAATGAACTCGAAGCGTTCCGGTCGAGACATTTTAGCGTTCGTTAGGCGTTTTAAACAACTACAATCAATCGATACTATTTCAAACATAGAAACGTCATCTGTGGAAAGATATTTAGATTGCAGTAGGGAAAATGTAATGTGTGAAATAGATCAATTAGCTCATAAAAGGAGGCAAAGTTTGCAAGAACGATTATTTCATTTATTAAAAGACACTCAACTTAGTAAATTCGATATCAACTGGTATGACGACGGCGTTATTATCGATAAGCATCCGGATCATAAGGATTATATCGAAAATTTCTGTGAACAAATTGTAAAGAACATAAAAAAACAGATCGAAGAAGATATTGCTAATAGAAATGATATTTTTCCCTCTTCAAATTATTTTTCTGATTATGACGAAATTCTACATCATCTTCACTTAGCAAAATCAAAACGAGCAAATTTTCTTGGGCAAGACGAGACCCTGGAGAAAATTCGATTATACATAAACAGTTCATCTCGAACTCCCCTCATTATACATGGCATTTCGGGAGTTGGGAAAACATCGGTAATGGCTGAAGCCGCTTTTAAATGCCGTAATTGGCTAAAAAAGTCGGGTAAAATTTTACCAGTAATAAGGTTTTGCGGAACGAGTTCTTTATCCTCTACAATAATGCAGGTAATGTATACGATCTGCTCCCAGTTTGCCGACGAATTAGAGTTCTTACTAGAACCAATGAACGTTAACTCGTGGAAGACATTAAAAGCTTACCTACCAAGATTTTTTAGACAAGCGTCTAGATCTTTAAAGTTAAAAAAGACGCAAGCAATTATCTTTATCGATTCCTTAGATCAGCTAGATTCAGACGCATTTAATTTGGAATGGTTTCCTCAAGAACTTCCACCTTTTATCAAGATAATTTTTTCAGTTCTATCGGACTGTGAACATAAAATCGTTGAAGGACTACGGAAATTATCAATAGACACCAGCAATTTTGTCGAACTAAATAATTTATCAGCAGAGAGTATCGAAAACATTATTGAGATGACGATGCGTAAAAAGAATAAGACATTAACTGAAGAACAGAGAAATTATGTTTTAAAATCGATTTCTCTTACCCCAACACCCCTTTATCTGAAATTAGCATTGGACCAAGCATTATCTTGGCGTTCTTATGATTTAATAGACGAAAATACCTTAGCTAATTCTGTCCGAACTGCAATCTTCGCGTTATTTGATCGTTTATCCTCTAGGCATGGAACGCTCTTAGTAAAACGAGCTTTGGGTTATTTAACAGCTGGACTTGGGGGCCTGTCGAATGTAGAGCTAGAGGATGTTCTATCGTGCGACGATGAGGTCCTAGATAATATTTATGTTTACCACGATCCTCCAACTGAAGGCGCAATTAGAGTACCACCCCTTTTATGGGCTAGACTAAAATATGACATTGAAGAATATTTAGTTGAACGACGTTCTCACGGAGTAGTAGCACTCGTTTGGTACCATCGTCAATTTCAGGAGGCTGCTCTTATTAGGTTTTGTCAACCTGAAGATGAAACTCTAAATTCTACACTAGCGATAATTTATAGAGCTGAGAAGGACTATAAACAGACTATTACTCTTAGTAAACGATCATTAACAATTAATGATGCTGATCGTTTCGTTACAAACCAAGACAGTGATTCAATTAGAGTATTACGATGCCTTCCCTATCATTTGCGCAAGTCGAGAAATCAGGAATTATTTAAAATCCAAAGTGTTTGCAAACTAAAATTCATAACTTCCTTTCTGAAACGCTTTGATCTAGCATCCTTCGTAAAGGAATTAGATGAACCCGTTGGCGGGGTTGTTGATGAGGAAGTCCTATATCTCCAAAATACCCTCTCCGATCTCAGTAGCCTCACACCAAACAGCCTACCTTTCGAATTATTACTAAGGGTTCGACGATCGCATCGAATGTCTTGCTTAGGGCGTCTACTAGACGAATGTGAAGAAAAGTTAAAACAAACCAAATTGGCACTACCACTTACATCATGTTTGGCAATGCCGACAGATGACAGTGACTACTGGATGAATTTACACACTGTGCGTTACATTCTAGCCGTTTGTTTCATCTCTAATCAAATAATCGCTTGCTCCTTTTCTCGAACTGTCGTTTTTTATTCCACCGACGGGTTCGAATCGATAAACCACGTTTCGTGTGATATTTCACCCGATCGTCTAATAAGTACTAAAAATCTCAGATTAATAGCATTCGAATCGGCGGCTGGTAAATTAGAAGGTTGGAATGTTGAGGACACAAAGCAGATGTCGCGCCTAGACAGTATTCGTTCGCTTACTGGCATCATAACGATCGCTTTAAGAGATACAGCTCTGTTTATCGTGCATCGACAAAATGGTGTATTACGAATAGTTTCGCTTGATTTGACTTCTGATAAGATTTTAACAGACACAAAAGTCGAAGGGGAGACTTTAAATTCTGGCAAAGCCGATAGTCTGTTTACTGATAACTATTTGGTCCTCTGCATTGAATGTACAAACGCTGAGCTTAACACCATCAGACAGGCTGAGAAACGAGGAAATCTCCCAGCGAGCTATGGTACACGAAGGCTTGTATCTTTCAATCTCAAAGAATGTAATTCGAATCCAACTTCAACCGCAATTGTGTGCAATCGTCAATTAACTACAACGCCGTGTCTGGCCGAAACTGTTTGTATTCTTCAAAAGGATTGTGTGGTCATTGGTAGACAGCGTACATGCCTTATTTGGGATATTTCTGATGGAAGCTGTGATCAGCGAATGTCTCATAAGACAAACATTGCCCAGTTTTATAGGCCATACTGGATTGAAGGTGAAGGCGTTTACGATAAGTACAGCAAAAAAATTGCTTATGGGTCAACGAAATGCTTATTTCATAACGGAGATAGTATGATAGCCTCCGGCTCTGAAGACGGATTCATCTTACTTTACGACATTCACGGAATAAGTCTTATCGGTAATGTCGGAAAAACACCTAATCACGGGGCCTCTGTTGAAAATTTAGCCGTAAGTAAAGACGGGAAATGGATTGCGGCCTCATCAATCGATCATTTATCAATTTTTAAATTAAATGAAACAAGCCTCAAAAGAATATGTCTTTTGAAAATGTCTCACGTAAATTCTCTCCTATTTTCAGAGGATTCGACCTTTTTATCAGCAACTGTTCAAAATGATAAACGTCTCTGTTTGTTCAAATTAGTCAATTAAAAAATTCAATTATCATTTTATTCATTATCGACGAACCGAAGACATTAGGATAAGGAATAAATTAGGGAAAACAAATGATATTTTGTCATTAGAAAAAAACAGCCCGCGGTGCGTATCAATTTGATAATTTTTCTAGTACACAGTATATGAAGATTCCTTGAAGGCGGAAATATTTAGGTACGACGCATAGCGATCATTCCTTTGAGCTAGTTAATATTACAATTAATCCACCTACTTCGATTAGATGTAAATTTCAAGTTTCACTTAGGCCTTATCTTTATGCAAACTCTGCATACTTTCAGCTGATGGTTTCCTACCATTGAGCAGGACATGCTCACTTACACGCCTTTCTGATGCTCTCCTTTCCAGCAGTCCCTGATATTTATTAATGAATTAATAAAATTTCCATTATAGATCAAGGGAAAGTCAGAATAAAAATATGTTAGTTCTTTTTTAGCAAACCTGATCGTGTAGAGGCGTCGGGGATACACGGTCGATAGAAGAAGAAGAAGAGCTAGCGTCACTTACATCATTACTAATTCGACGTCCAGCCAATAACGTAGCGGCCCGATTAGACCAGAGTAACGATTGAATTAGCTCACAAACCCTCTTAAATCGTCGACTAGGTCCTATACAAACGATACAGTTATGTAAATTTGGTAAAAAAATCAATTAATTTGATTTACCAGAAAGAAGTGTAAATGTAACACAGTGTAACTGCTGTTGAGATGAAGGATTCTCTTGCATCTGAACGCTTGCACTGCTGGCAGACGAGGAGCTTGACACATCTACTTGAAATTTAACATTACGAGTAAACATTGATGTACCACCACTTCTCCTATACTCCGCTCGGAAAGATGTAGGCGATAAGACACTGTGACTTAGATCGGGGGTAGATAAGAAGGCGTGCACTAAATCGGCCTTTATCTGACTCAGGGTCTTATTCTTAATCATAACGACATGCTGCTCTTCCCGTTCATTACTATTACCCATCAAACTTCCGAACCAAGATCGTTTTGTTAACTCAGCTGAATTCTCTGCAGTCATGCCCAAATCTTCTTGAGTTGGAATCTGTAACTTACGACGGTGGAAGCGTGGTGAACCGATTAATGAATTCTTTATAGTGTGTAATCTATTGCGCCAAGGAGTGTTTGTCGATGAAGGCGAGCCTGGCGGAGTTTGTAGTGAAGACGTCGAAGAAAATTCAGACATTCCCGAAGTACGGTGTGGAGGCTTCGGGGAGTTCATGGGAGAAGAGTTTGGAGTAGTTCCCGAAACTGAATTTTTACGGGCTTGCTGAACGGCCAAAGCGCGTCGAGAAGCGACTGGTGAACCCTCACTAATATTTCCCAAAGATAGCCGATGCTGTTGTCCGTTCAGTTGAATAGAATCGATTCGTTTTCTAGGGGGATCTGAGTTTTCGCTCTTCACTTTAATATCCTCAGTATCCTCAAAACATGGATTTCTCAATTTTCGATCCAATAATAGAAAGTAAACTACTTTTTCTGTGTTATGTCTTTTAAAAAGGGTAAAATTCTTTAATTAGTCTAATCGCTCTCATATTCTTATCTTTAACTTACTTTATACTCAATAATTCACCAACAAGTTTATCCCTATCTCGGAAACATTGTAATGAATTCATAGTACCCAAAACGTCCGGATCGATTGATTCCGTGCATGGTATAATAGAAGTCTGTTGAAAAAAGTTTTGATTAAAGATGATTAATTCATTGCTATTCAAAACGTCTACAAAAATCTTTACAAAAGAAACAACATAAGAAAAGAAAATCCGTGAAAACTTTAAAGAAATATCTTACTCATTTTTTTTCTCTCAATTCAAGAAACAATCGCATGCTGTTTTTACTTGTGTAAAAATTATGAAATATAGTTTAGCTAAGTGGTACGAATAATAAAAAATGAAAAAAATAATGCTATAAAAGCATGCTATGACGTATATATATACTTTTATACATATATATACAACATCAACACCGTTCTTTAATGTACAACCTGAACAACCTCCTTCATGGGCAGCTCAAGTTCGATTTCCTCTTTGCTGCCGCTAATGATGGGAAGAGCACACGTATACACGAGAAAATTCTCTAAACCGTGACAAGGAATGGATATGAAAAGATTATTAACTTACACAGTCACCCAAGGATGCCGATGAATCTGTTCTAGTGTTAATCGCTTATTTGGGTCGATTTCTATCATACCACGCAGAAGACCTTGACAATCCGGAGGAACAAAGTGAGGAATATGGAATGTACCGCGCTTTACTTTTTCTAGTAATTGCCGAAGATTGTCATCGTCGAACGGTAAGGCACCCACAAGCAATGCATACAAAATCACTCCACAACTCCAGACATCCGCCTTTCGACCATCGTACTTTTCACCCTAAATATATCAGAAAACAAATGAATTGAATTTGTAAATTTTCAACAAAGACCCTCTTATACCCTGATGACTTCTGGGCAAGCGTAATGAGGTGATCCACAACTAGTCTCCAGCATAGACCCTTCTACTTGCAAAGAAGCCATTCCGAAATCCGCAACACGGATATTACTCTTATCGTCTAACAGCAAATTTTCAGGCTTCAGGTCACGATGGCTATATCAAAAACAATTAATCAAAATTCAATATCTATATACAAAGATAATGATATTTTATTTACCAAATTGAATGGCTATGACAAAAGTCTAAGGCGGATACAATTTGGCGAAAGAATTTTCTAGCCTCTTTAGGAGTTAGTCGGCCCTTTTTCACAAGGTAATCGAATAATTCACCACCGGACACGTGTTCTAGCACCAAATAGCTATAAGAAAACCAACAATTATATTTTATGAGTAAGGCAAATTAGTAAAGATGTTACTAACAGATATTTTTTATTTTCGTAAACGTCATGTAAACCTAGAACATGTGGATGCTCGATTAATTTCATAATAGCTATTTCCCTCTCAACCTGCGGAAAAATGAATGAAATATTTAGGATTATTCAGCATCGATGATGCATATTTTTTTTGCTTACTTTGAGAAGCACGGATTCGCTTAATTTTTCCCTGTTAACGATTTTTATAGCCACTTTTCTTCCTGTTACACAGTGCACTCCAAGCTTAACGAGACCTAAAAGTATAAAACAATAGGTTATAGCAGCTAAAAACGTTTTTTTTCCCCAAATACTCGCACCTGTTTGACCTTTTCCCAGCGTTTTTTCCAGCCTGTACGGCCCTACATATTGCTCTTCCCTATGAGACATAGTTACTTTGATAACTTAATGATGCAACTTCTTCATATTCATTGCCTCGCAATAGTTGTGGGCTTAAAAAAGAAAAATAACATGACAAACAACTAGCTTCTACTGCAAAGTATTGTACAGCAGCGCCGCCATATTTTTAAATCCGGGTTCTTCCAGCCGCATCGCCAATCAGTTAGTGTAATTATTGATAAACAGATGGCAGCACTGAGGAGAGACAAAAAGTACTGGAGAATTCAGGCTCCCAGGTCTGCAATTCTGTAAGACAATCTTATCGCACTAATCCTTAATTCAGAATACGGAACCTGATTAATCCATCTCCTCAAACAACGCCGTACTTTCGATGTCTTGGACAAATAACATTTGTTTTTGGTACTGTAGATATTGTTACGCAACAACTGGAGATTTATCACGTAAAGAATCAGTCATATCTTTTGGAATGTCTATCGCCATTTTCGCTTTGTTTTGAACACGTGTCTAACGTCGGTGTAAGTTACTACAGTGACGAGTCTGTTTTCTACAACAAACTTTCATAAGATTTACCTTCTGTCTATTGATTCGCTGAAACCCATGTCTATTGTTAGTCTGCCTAACATTTTTAATGACATTGATTATGTAATCTGGTTTTCCGTTGATCCGATTTTAAATCGTGTGACGTGATCAATGTTCAATGTTCATACTGTCAAATATTTCATTCAGACGGCTGACTCTTAACTGAACTTCATGAGTTATGGGGGAATCAAGGAATTCGAATGGAAATCATGTCGCTTATTACGATAATCAAGAATCAGCTCATGATTGGGAGGCAGAGAAGAGGAAGCGTAAAGATTTCTACGATGATGGTACCATGACATTCTTCTGGTAAAATTAAGTGATATTAGGATTTAATAAGCCTTATTATAATCCCATCAATAAAATGTTCATTATTCTTTATCATAAATATACAGGCGAACCCATACTATCATTACCCTCATCGTGTTTTCTTTATGTCTTGGTTACGTTGCTTTTTATGAGAATATTAGTTCCAATCCAGATTTTAATACAAAAAGGGGAGTTGCAGCTGTGATAATAGCTTTTGTACTCTTCGGTGTCACACACGTTCCTGATGGGCCGTTTACTAGGCCTCATCCTGGTAAGTCAGATTATTTACTATTATTCACTTAGAATTTACGGGGAGTTTTTTTTTCGTTTTCCATTATTTAATGGTTTTTAGCATTATGGAGGTTTATGCTATGTCTGAGTATCGTGTACGAGCTATTTTTAGTTTTTATACTATTTCAGGTAATTCATCTATTATATTAGACTTTTGCTTTTAACGATTACCCTTAAATGCCCTATAGACGCCTAGCGATGCAAGAAAATTGCTCAAACACATTGACGATGACCTTGGAAAGCCACTACCTGAAAAAAGTTATGGCGGTAATTGTTTAATATATGATAGGAATAATACAGAAGATCCTTGGCATAATGTTTGGGTAGGTAGAAGTAGTGCTAACATTATATTGCATTTCCCTTGCAATATATTTTAATGAGAATAAGCCTATATTTTGTTGTCAAAAGGATAAAATGGATGGGTTTGTTGTAATCCATTTCGTAGGGTGGTGGTTGAAGACGCTCATTTTAAGAGATTATTGGCTTTGCATGGTAATTAGTATTATGTTCGAAGTCCTGGAATATACTTTTGAACATCAACTACCTAATTTTAGCGAATGTTGGTGGGATCATGTAAGTTTAAATGATCTCCCGTAGTTGTTAGTTTATGTTTTAATATTTCTTTAGTGGATTATGGATGCTCTAGTTTGTAACGGTCTAGGCATTTATCTTGGCATGAAAACACTTAACTATTTAAGCATGAAAAGATATCACTGGCGTGGCATGTGGAATATCCCAACTTATAGAGGTAAAATTACTCGAGTCTTGAAACAGTTTACCCCCTACTTCTGGACGGACTTTCAATGGAAACCAACGTCGAGCTTCAAGAGATGGATCGCCACTCTCGGTATAATAGGCATGGTAAGTGTATGTTTAAATTTATATAGGCATAGATTACGTCAACTTATTCCTATTTACATTCTAAATTCATTAAATGTTCTTTTTAAACAGGTTTTATTAGCTGAAATGAACACTTTTTATTTAAAATTTGTATTGTGGGTGCCACCCCCTCACTTTCTTTGCCTCGGGAGATTGGCTTTACTACTTTTCTGGGGTGCTGCTGCTATGAGGGAAACGTTTCAATATTTAGACGATCGGTTCGTTTTCGTTATCTTAAAATAATTTACTGATAGTAAAATAAATCTTTTTTTAGAGGCTGTAAAAAATTTGGTACACAGTCCTGGCTGATCGCCGCAATTATCATAACAGAACTGCTTATAACTATAAAATTCGATTCGGAAACAATAACTAAGCCACTGCCGAGCCATATCATTTACGTTTGGACTATCGGATTTTTTCTTATCGTTTTGTGGACGATATGGCATTTTTATCTGCAGGTATAATATTGATAATGATTCAGCTTGAATAATATTTACTCTGATCAAATATCTTACATTTTTGATAAATTCTTTCAGAGGCTACTGCACCATACGGAGACAAAATTAAAGAAAAAAGTTAAATAATTGTTTGTATATCCTATTTATACTTTATTACGTTTGTGGTGTTGTTACAATTTCAAGTTTGTCAAAATTATCGTTGATTTAAGCTGTTTCTTTATCAGTACTTTCAACTGAATGAATATTTAAAAGTGTCATAAAATCGATTTGTTTCCTTATTACTTTTCTACAAAATATTTTTCTAGTTTTCTTGTTCTGTCTCTAAAGTTTAAATTAGTTGCCGTCTCTTGGATGTGTTTTCATAAAATATTTGTTTTTGTTATTTGACTTCACGAAACAACTACTTATTGTAGAAAGACCGGATGCGCGACAACGGTTTTACAAAATTTGGTCTGATAGTGAAGAACGGTGTCCATAATAATTTAAATTATAAATTCACTAAAAAATAGTCAACTGGACTGTTACTTGTAGTAATTTAATAAATTGTTCTTATTTGTTATAAATTGAGATGTAATAAACAACATTCTCTTTCTTTTAAAAAGCAAATTCGAAAATTTTTACCACAAAAAATAGGAGTGGTGTTTTCTTATACCTTTGTGCTCTACAATGCATTATGGGACTGTGACGTCATGAGCGAGGCCTTTCCAAAAGTTTAAAATCGAGGTAGATTAGTTTTCTACAAAATTATTAGTTATCAAATCTACCAAATACCATTTAACGAAGACATCAAATAAGTTGAATAATCGGTAAGTTATATATTTAAGAGTAAGCTATTTTCATACATACAGTATGAGAAATATCGACTATTTCTATCCGGCTTAGGCCCAACCCACCTTCTTGTTGTCAAATATTTTTATCATACGACTCTATTATATGCTGAATATTATCTGAAATGTTATAAATTGTCACTCTGATAGAAATATACTTATATGAATATATTATTTTATAAAGATTTTTCTTGCTATAATCGACTGTCTAATTGAGAGAACTCACGAAAATGTATGCTGACTGTTAATCTAATCATAAAATTGTGAATAGGCTATAAAGATGATGCAGTATCGAGAACCCTCAATGTACGGTGGTAGAAATTCGCAGAAGAGTCATGAGGAAGAATTAACTCCAAGGAAGAATGCTTTCTATGATCCTGGAGATCCAGATGAAGTCGACACCGGAATGAGGAATATTGTTTATGAAAATGATAGGGTTCGAAACGATCTTCTAGATGAAATTTGTAAAGATATTGGTATTAAAGATTCTATGGATTTGGACTTTTTGGATATATCTCACAATACTAAAACAACGTCAACGGCTAATCCCCACATAAATAAAGGGAATAATACCGGATCTAAGGAAGATGATCTTGATGAAATAATCCCATTCGGCGTTAATGATTGTGGAGAGGTAACATTATTATTCTTTATTTTTTCTTTTATTTTAAAACATACATTTGTTTAATTAGGAACCACCCAGAGCACCCATAAAAAATAAAATACTTCATAAGCCGAATCATGAATATAGTCCATATGCACGAACTACTCCAAATACAACCTCGTATCAGAATTATTCTTCGGCTATGCCTCCTCCTACAACAGTTCAACAGCAGTTTATGCAAAAGCTTATATGCGACGATTCACCGGCTTTTCGTTCACATCCACTTTTTCCACTCCTTCGAGATTTGGTATTAGCTGATATGAACTTTTCTCTACCCTCCTTTCCCAGACAGGTATTTAAAAATAAACACCTGCTAGTTTAAATAGCATTAATTAGTAAAATTCTATCCTAATAGCTAATTGCTAATTTGCCTGGCGATTTCGAACGATTATTAAGAAATTTTGTTATGCGTAATCGAACATCAGAGAGCAGTGGAAACGCTAGCATTGATAAAGTTCTAACGGATGCTTTAAGATACGCTCACCACTCATTAATTTGTAAGATTTACTTGAAATTTTTAGACATTTTAATGTGAATTATTCATTTATAGCTAAAATTCGATCAAGAGGCCAGCAACCAATGCAACTGCCTCTTCCTCAACCATCTATGCCAACTCCTCAAAGGCCACCTAATCCTAATCCTGTACAGCCTCCCACTCATTGTCAAATGGCCGCTCCTTCTCCCTGCCAAGGGGGAGTACCGTCAACTAATCCATATGCGGAAACAAATTACCCTCTTCCACAACCACCCCAAATGCCTCAGATGCCCCAAATACCAGCAAACCCAGGATCTCCCTCTATGCATTCTATGCCTGGCTCACCACTTACTTTACCGGCTTCGCCATTGCCTCCATCACATCGCCCTAGGTACAACGATCCATACGTATCTTATGATATGTATGGCAACGTCGACTATGGTATGAATAGTGATATGCCACCAAAACAGCCAGGTAAAAAAGCTGTACTTCCAAAAGAGGTAATTACTCATCTTTATAGCTTTGTTGAACTCATATTCACTTAATCTACATTAGTCGGTGGCATTTATGCTAAATTGGTTGAGAGAACATCAAGATAACCCATATCCAAACGATGACGAAAAAGAGATGCTTATACAAAAAACGAAATTAACAATCAATCAAATTAATTACTGGTTTACGAACGCACGAAGGCGTATTTTACCTAAATGGAATTCTCAGGTTAGTACAAACAGAATTCATTTTATAATGGATAAATGATATATTATAATCTTTCGTAGAAAAAAGAGCAAGAACTGATGAAAGATGAAAAAAAAGCTAACTCAGCAATTCCAGGTCAAAGATCGGATCTAATTAAAAGTGAAGTGGAGACGAATTAAATATATTTCATTTTTTTCCATTGTTTTGAAGTTGTTTCATCAATGATAATTAGAAAATTTCTCGAAAGAAATTATACATTTCTTTGTTTTTATTGTGATACTCTTTTAATATTCAAAAAAAAAAAAAATCTTACATACTTGATCATTAATTATTAGTAAATAGTTTTTTTAAGTTATTTCAGACGCAGTAACCTTTATCGTCGTCTAGTCAATAAGTTTATTGGGAAAGCGATTGTTTTTTTTATCGTTCAATCTGTATTTCATCTTATTGTTTGAAATGTGTTCAGCTCTTTATTATTAAATTTATTATTCAGCGAACTAATTTCACTGTTTTTTTTTTTTAATGTTAGTTTTACTATTATTGCGATCAGTGTATCCTAACTGTGATAGCGTATATTATATATGCGTTGTGTGTACTGTATAAAAAGCATATGCAGTTTGCATCAAGCTTAATTGAAACTTTAGGAATTTCATATGTTGTTAGCACTCTGGACGTTATAAAGATTTATTAAAGAAATAATAATTAAAAGAAGTAAAAAAAAAGCAACGGTGTACTTTTTTTTTTAAAAATAATACAGATTAAATCTCTTGATTAAAAAATACGTTTTCAAGAGTTTGGAAACGTTTGAAAAAAAAATATACGGATTAAAACAGCTAATCTTTTCTACTTAATTATTCCAGTTTTTAAATAATCTTTCTCTTTTTTGTAGTTTTATGTAGAAGACAATATTTTATTCATTTTGGAAGATGGATAATGATACTATATACATACATATATATATATATATACATATATATATATATATTGTATATATATATATATACGCATGCGTCTGTTTAATATAGCACTCTAACAAAACTACAACATCATAAATCCAAAATAAATAGATTTAAATGAACAATATTAGGTGTAAGATAACACTATATTAAACTCTCATCAAAATCTAAATCACCCACGCTGGTTTTAAACGGTTTAATTTCACTAGAATCTAGAGTAACCCGGTTCGGATCGGGTCTGATATGATGCCCGATAATAGCAATAATTTTCTCAATGTCGTCAATAGATTCAGTGTTAGATCCTCTTCTCGAAATTTTTTGCAGCTTGTGAAACTGTCTACGAAGAGTTTTCACATCGTTGAAGCAGCATTCTCTCGGACGTCCTAGAGTTGGAGGTACATGGTAACCATTCTCTAAAGCTTTGATCAGTATCACGAGTTGTTGAAGGAGAGCGAGTGATTTTTCACCTTCGTCTACAGCTTTTACAGTCTTCTTCTGCGATTTTCTTGTTTGTACGTAATTTTTCACATACATCACGTCTCTTTCCGCAGTTTCAGTTTCTTCATTAGTAAACTGATAATTCGCTTGACTCAGTTTCATCCAGGTAGTACTTTGCAATTCTTGTACCTTTTCAGCCAAAATCGGAGATTCAGACAAATGTTCTTGGTAGAGCATAAGATGACAGTGAACAACAACGAATCGGTAACGATATAAATTCTTAACAATTGCAGTCATCCGTTCGTCAGTCGTTTCCATCGAACCATTCCTCATTCTTCTAACTTGTAACATTAGTTTTCTAAAAGAACATTCTATTGTCAGTAAAAGGTATATGGTGTATATTTTAGAAAAAAATTACCTTAAACTCAAAATTGCTTCAGTAAGATAGTCGAGTTTCAGCTCTCTAGACATTTGCGAAATATCATCGATTAGATTTTGAATTCGTTTCTCTATACTGGCAAGCTCCTGATATTCTTGAGATGGAGTTCTGTCAATAGTAGACTTAACAGTCGGCGACGAAAAGCAAGTCCGGATGAATTTTACAAAGCCAGACATGTCCGCTTACCAAAATCCGAATAACAACACTTAGCAACCTCCTCCTTTTATAAGCTAGATAACAGGACTCAGGAGCTTCAACGTGCTCTATTTGACGTTTACATAAACTTAATACATAAAAAATACAGTTCTCTACTCCTTAAAAAAAATGGGAGGCGTCAATATCAAGCTGACGAAAGACCCAAATTAAAGACTGACATATTTTTCGATGACCTATAATTATTATTGATAAAAGCTAAAGATTTCTTTATAGAATACAAAGTAAATTTCCAATTATATAAGAATCTAATCAATTTGTTCGGTAATTACATTAAATGTAATTATTTTAACAGATTAATTAAGGCCAAATTCCTATGATTATCATTTCACGTTAAAAGGAAGGAAGAGAGGAGAAAGAATGAGAAAACTCTTGTTTTATAAGCAAAGGAACTTCAAAAAATTGTATTGATATTTCTATAATTCATTTACATTAAATTAGACTAAACTACTTTTTAATTGCCTTCGTTAAACTACATTCTTTAGAAAATCCAACGCAGAAAGCCATCATCTATCTTAGTCCTTTGCCCAATCTGCTTTTGGAGCTTGTCCAGTGTTGAAAATTGGCTCGAAGCCCTTAGCATTCGCCTAATAGTTTAAAAAAATTGAAAGAAAGTATAGGGAAAAAAGTTTCATGAAGTGTATGATATGCTCACAATCATTCCCATTTGGCTCAGGCAGTTTATAACATTTAGCATTGGACCTTTACGGCCTTCATATAGGTCAGTTGTCTGGAAGAGAGCTGTTTCCGGTAGTCCAAAATTATAGGCTCCCTTATTAAAATTTTCGATATTATTCATCGCGACGAAAGCCGTAGTAGCCTTAGAACGAAATGATACTTTCGGAAAGCCATCATTTTCCAATAGCTTATTAATTAACCTTTACAAAAAATTAAAATACAAAGTCATTAAATAATATATATTGTATGTAGACCAAGGATTAGGCCTAAGCATATAAAATAATAAAAGATACAAATTATATATATAAACTGTTTGTTTAAGGGGTAACAATACAGTTTGACTATAAAGCGTTATACAGTAGAGCAATGGCTTAACTATAATAAAAAAAGTGTCTAAGTTCTCTCCAGGATCTTCTAGATGAAAGAAATCTTGTAGTTTTTAAGAAACAATGTATTCATTTCTAGTCTTACTTATCTTAGATTAAATACGCTTTTTTATTTAGTAAGCACACTCACTTGCAAAGTACCACACCGTCTTTGAGGAAAATGTGCAGGCCTTGGTAGGAGATATCAGTCTAAACAGGACGGGTTTACAGTTTTGATATACAATCATTAATAGGGTATTTGAAAGAATCGTTAGTGCTGGGTACTTGTATCTGACTTACGCATTTAACAGACAACTCTTCTGCCAGAACAGTATTTATCCATTCTGCTATTCGTTTAGGGGTACCAAGGTTCTCCTCCTCCTCATATTTCTGAATAAAATAAGTACTATAAGAAGAAAAGAAGATAAATGATACCTGAGAGGATAAACCTTTTCTAATTTTTTTTCTGTTTGAAAAGCATCACCAGCTTTACATGCCCTATTTGCCATTGTTATAGAACGAGATTGGGAAACAAGGATTGGAAAATGCCTAAGTGCGGTTGTGTGTATGAAGAAGGTATGTAGCATTCCTATCTGATTTCTATTTTAAGCCGAAAATAGCGTACGACTAGAGATGGCGCTATTTTCGCGGCATCTTTAAGATTCTCCAAGTTTATTTTACTTTGTAGTCAGCCACAGACGACTCCAACTGATAATGTACATTAAACAAGTTCTACTAATTGTCACTTCACTAACGTTACTAACTGCCAGCTTGACAATGGTTGTTGTCTTTATAAAATATTATGTGATTCCATTTCGTTTATCTGTGGGATTTCAAACAACAACGTGTTTAATAACAAGAATTACGGTCGATTCAAAAAAATGTCCCCATTCCGGGTTAGTAGTAGAAGCGAATTCATCATTAATATTACATTTCGATATTTGGTCAATGCATAGTAAGGTAAGCAATTTGATTTAAAAAGTGGTTTTTTTTTTCAAAAAACTCGTAAAATAAAATTTTAGTGCTTCTGCAAATCCTGCCCGCCCTTATTAGCCGTTTCCGGCGACATTTACTGGAACGGTCAGATATTGCAAAGTGGTTCTTCTGTTGCTTGTTTTAAGAATAGTTCAAGTAGTCGAACTGTATTTTTAACAAAAGTATCAAAGTGGTCTGCATTTCATTCAATTGTGTGGCCGTCTATAATGTTTGTTTGTGCATTCGTCGCCCTTACATTCTCATTGATAGCCTTACGTGAGCAAAAGGAAGAAATAAGGAATGACAAGTCGGATGAAAGACGAGAAAGAATTGCATCGCGCGACTATAACGACTTATAAATTATTTACAACCATCTAAATGGATAGGAGAGAATTGTAGTGCATTTTATTGTTATTACTAATTAATAGCGACTATTGTTGAAAAATAATTGATATTTTATAAATAACTCGATAATGTTTATGCAGTTCAGTTTAGGTTAAATTTCATTACTGAACACATGTTAAGAACATTTTAAAGCCTTTTTTCGTCCAACAATTTTTATGGAATCTTTGGATATAATCGGTGAGTAGCTATTACAGTTTCAGTACATCGACCTATTACTCAGTTTTTACGGGTGGGGCCTTTCAATTAAATGCCATACTGAATGTTCGAATGCAATCAACGGGATTGCTCGCTCGGCGTTATGTTAATAGAAACGCATTGTCAAACTCTATAATCCATCTACCACACGCTTCTCATCATTATTTGATGAGTACATAGCAAAATTAACATCACTTTTTTACCGACCGAACATGGGTCAACTGGAACATGAACGTAATGCTCTTGTAGGTTCAAGGAAGACATGGTTGCGCCTCTTCTATAACTTCACTCAAGAGACAACATTTCACGGGGTTCGATTTATTACTTCATCAACTCCCTGGTTTATTCGCCGAATACTTTGGTTTCTCTCCTGTTCAACCGCCCTTGGAATATTTGCTTGGTTCGTTAACGATCGATTATCTCATTTTCGGGATAAACCTCGTTCGGTTAATGTAGAAGTTATCTTCACTAGATCAGTTGATTTTCCCGATATCACAATATGCAATCAAAACTCTTTCAGGTAATATCATTTATAATAATAATATATATTTATATACCTACGCTTATTTCATATTTATACAAACCGCACCCAACTTTTTTTCTTTTTAGGACATCCGAAACCCATGAAATCGGCTTGTATGATACAGTTGAAGCAACCTTCGAAAAAGGTCTCCAATCAGGTAAAAAAAAATACTTTAAATTCAATAAGGACAAATTTTTACTTGTTTTCTTTTTAGAACCATTTGATTTTGTACCTGGGAAAATTCTCAAGGGTATAGGTCCCCCCGTTGCCCAATATGAGAATGTGACAGCAAGAGTATGCCTTGCCCTCTGTTCAAGTCAACAACATAGCTCACAATGTTGTGCTGTTATGTTTAATACATTCTCGAAAACTTGCTACATTACTCCTATGTCAGATAGAAATGATGGAATAAAAGTGATTGACAGTATAAATACAAACTTTTACAGGAGAAAAACTTGCGATGGTTAGTAGATCTCTAGTATTTTTTTATTTTATGGGCTATTATCAGTTATAATATTAATTCATGTTGATATAGCAATATTCTATAAATTTTATATAAATTTCATAATTAATTTAATTAATTGATAATTTTAGGATGATTTAATGAATTAATTACAAATATCTCACCCTCTCTTTTTTATATTTAATTCTATTCATTAAATTTTATTTACTGTTAATGAACAGTGAAAACAAATTATACATGCGATTTTGAACAAAATGTTTGCGGACTTGTTAACAAATCAGCAACAAGAGAATTAACCTGGCACCGCATTATGGCTAAAACATCTTTCAGTGTTTCCTCTTTTGACAGAACATCAATGAATTGTAAGCATATACGTGCCTAACTATTCTTTTTTTTAGTATACTAGAATTTTTACAATTTCTTGACAGCCAGCGGCTATATTGTACGGGCTTATAGTTCTTTCAGTCAGAAACAATCTTCAGCACAACTAGTTTCCACGTTCATTAGTGCTGGAGATAATACGTGTATAAAGTTTTACTATCAAGTAAGAATTAGATATAATTTCATTAATGAATTTATTTACAATAAAGACAAAATTTTAAACAGCTTAGAAGTGGTGTTTTAAGCGTAAAAACTCAGTTAAGATCAGAAAATTTCAACTTGATTTGGCAGCGTAAAGGAATACAAGTATGGCAGTGGTATAAGGGCTATAAAAAACTTCCACAAGGGTTTTATCGCGTTGTTCTAGAGGCATCTTCTTCTGGCAGAGGAGAAGTCGATGTCTCTTTAGATGATATTACCATCAGCAGTTGTCTTTCTAGGGAAGACATAGTTTGTGCAGAAGATCCTTTTGCTACTGATTATGCAGGCGTTCAAACTAAATCAATATCTGGCAGGGAATGCCAACCATGGAGCAGTATTAGTAGCTATTTACTCGCAACCTTTTTAAAACCGTGGGGCAGTGAAAGCGAGAATTCATCCCTAGTCGAACTTGGGTCATATTGCCGTAATCCAAATTTTGATCTAAATGGTCCCTGGTGCGTTACTGATGTCAATAGTATGACAATTGAGTACTGTAAAATACCATCATGTCAATGTCCTGAGGATTCATTTACCTGCAATAATGGTAATTGCACTTCACTTCATTTGCGTTGCAATGGGGAAAATGATTGCGGTGATAATTCAGATGAACTCTCCGAGTATTGCGATAAACAAATGTCCTTGGAATGTGAATTTGAAGATTGGAATTGCGGCTACGATACTTCTGAATCGGTTACTGCAGATTGGAAAATAGTCTCTAGTGTAGGAAGATCATCTTATTATTCAATTGTCAATGGGAGGAAGAATGACAAAGTTGTCCTAGTATCACCTGCTTTCAAATTGAGCACTGATTCGTGTATTTATATGGACTTGAAATTAACACCGCTTGTTCCAGTCAGTCTCTCTTTGAGACAAGCAAAGTATAAAGATCTATCGAGAAATTACCTATGTTCGTTGGAGAAGAACGACACAAATTGGCAAGCATCATTTATAGATATTCCCAAAGGAAATTTTCACCTCGTTTTGGATACCTTACCTACGATTAACTTTGAATTAGCAATAGATAACATCACTTTATATGGGCAAAACTGTAATAATACAATGGAAGAAGCAATTAGAATTAAAAATTTAAAGATAGAGAGACTAAAGCAAATCGAAATTGAAATAGAAAAAGCCAAACAAGAATACGTGGAAGAAATATTAAGGAGAAGAGCAACTACTCCAAGTTACAATTATACAATTAATGGAACAGAAACGAATGTTACTTCCGAATCAAGAACTACAACAACCCCATTAATAAGTGATTCCACTGTTTCAGTTTCTCATCCAACTACGAATAATCTAACTATAAATGTCACCACTGACCCATATCATGGACTTATTAATGAAACATGGTTGAGAGAAACTCGGTTAAACATTACAAATCGATTATTGGCGGATGTACCAAAAGCTATTCCGTTTGGCGAAAGATTCTGTAATAAAATGGAATGCATTAATTGCTTGGAAGACCTGAAGTATGAAGGCTTTAATGTATCTCTTACTAATGAAACCAAATGTAATAGTACATGCAATTTATCACCGACTTGTCTGTGTGATTATAAATTTCGATCTTCTCATTCACAAATATCATGGGTTATAAGGAGAGAAATTTTGTCTCGACCCGACAGTCGAAAAATTAATTCCACAGAGAATTCAACCAATGTAGATTTAACTCCTATTTACAGATATTTTACTTCTCTTGCACTCCCCAAAAAGCGATATACCACTGGCACTGTTGACTTCATTTTACCTTATAGAGACTTTCCTGAGGAGTCTTGCTTACAGTTTTACTATGTAATATATAATATTGATGTAGTGGCGCAGAAAATTGACGGATCGTTTCATTTACTAACTTTAACACACGATCAATATGTACCTGTTCGTCATCTGGCTAAAGTTAAACTTCCAATTGGCTATTATAGAATTGAATTCCGAGTGCGTCTCTCATCTTTGCCTGGTCTGGAAAATGTGCGGCTAGATACATTTAAAATTTCACCTGGCAAATGTCCCTGGACGGGTGATGAACCCAATGTTAATTGCACTTTTTCAAACAATGACTGGTGCGGATACGAAGATATTTCAGAGGGTAGCATTCGATGGCGAAGAAGTCAAGACGACCAAAAAGATGACACAGAAGGATTTTATGTTAAAACAACAGGAAGGGCAGACTCAATTTGGCAGTCAGGAAGAATTTTATCTCCTTGGTTCAATTCAACATCTTACAAGATTAAAATAAACAATGTTAAACCTACGATGCCAACCGACGATGGGACAACGTCATCGAATTCAACTGGCAATACCACTTCCTCGAATACGACTATTACAACTGTCCCATTTGAAACAACAACGGCGGCCATCCAGTCGACAACTAAATCAGGAAATCCAACTAGATTTGGCAGAGATGTAAGTCATGTAAATCGTTCAACTTTCGATACTACAATTGCATCGTCGACTCCCCAAGAAGATCAGTTTTTTATCATAAATCAATCGTGTGTTACTTTTTCTTACTTTACACAACTGAATGGTCAAGATGGTCGAAGTACATTTTCAGTTATACTAATCAATGAAACCGACACAAGAGAACTGGGCTGGCGATTACATAATACAGGCGAAAACGAATGGCACACTGGTCAATTCGAAATTGGCGTTGGGCGATTTAGATTAGAATTTCAACTAACCGGATACAACACAAGGGGCGGAATTGATGATGTTAGAGTATTACACGGTCCCTGCCCCTCAGTCTTCCGTAAGTATTAAAGAATATACTTAACAGAAATGAATTAGAGCTAATGATCGGTTATAAATGTTAACCAGAAAGTTGTTGAAAAAATACTGAAATATGTAGCATGTTTTATTTATAAGTACAATATAATTTGAAATTAATGATTATATTTGTCTATAGAGTGTAAAGAGCAAACTTACGCTTGTACATCCTCGAAAACTTGTATACCGAATTTAAAAGTCTGCGATGGTTTGCCAAATTGTAATGAAGCTGTTGACGAAGACTGTCCTGGTAACAATCAAACTACTACAAAAACTGAAATAGTCATCGAACAGGATATCGAGATCGGTGCGGGAGGTCGGGGACAAATGGATGGTAAGTAATGAAATTACTCGTAGATACTTTCTACAATGCTTTTTTTTTTTAGAACTATTCAACAGTCTTGAAACTATCTATAAAAGGACAGCTCATCAAAAGGATGATATGATTTATTCATGCTTCTTTGAGGGTACACCGTGCAGTCAAGAAAATTTTACTCGAGTTTTAACCGACTATGGTCAATGCTACACATTTATGGGCAAAAATCAATCTGAATGGCTGACTGATAAAACTGGATCCAGATTTGGTCTCAGTCTTACTATTAATATCGAACAATACGAATATATGATTGGACCACATTCTGATGCCGGAATCAAAGTATTTATGCACGCAAAAAATGAAATTCCTGAGGTTCGAGATTTAGGATTTGCTATTCCTCCTGGTAGCCATGCTCTAGTGGGTATTCGTAAACAAATAACTGAAAATCTGAGAGCTCCTCATGGGGACTGTGATGATAGACCATTGCAATTTTATCCAGCTTATTATCATTCAAGTTGCCGACGAGAATGTGAAACTCTTCTAACAAATAAAGAATGTGGCTGTGTTGATGCATATATGCCAAGAGCCAATGGAGCAGGTAAAGAATAGTCTTTTTAAATAAATAATAGACAAGTTTTGCACCGCATATACAGTATATTACAAAATCAGTGCATAGTAATCCAAACTCTTTTGTTCTATTCGATTATCATTTGGAAAGCAAATGATTGTATAAAATTATATTTTAAAATCTGTAATTTTATACGTATTGTCAGATAATAATGATTCTAGTTATGGGACAAACAGTATATACATATTGTTGTATACAGAGTATATGCAGTATATATAATATATTTAAAGTGAATAATTTAATATTTACTCCGTTGTTACACTTTATAGATTTTTTACCGACATGCAACTTGACTGGATATTTTAAATGCGTTATTCCATTTATCGGTAAATTTACTTTATTATTTTTTTATTGAAAACTGCACTATAAATGTATTAATATATTATTTTAGGTTCACCCGATGCTGTTTCTGCAACATGTAATTGTCCAAAACCTTGTCGACAAGTTGTATTTGAACCATTTTTATCAAATGCTGCATTATCGAAATTGAGCGTTCAACAGCTGTTAAGTAATGATTTGAAACCATTGAAAAGAAAATTTACTAGAGCTTACGAAACAACCCAAAGGGTTAGCACTAAGACATTCATTGATGATATTTCGCAATTGAATCAGGTCTTAAGTGACTATATACAATTTACTCAATTAACTGGGCAATACTTAGAGAATTTGGATGAATCCAGTTTTAACAAAGTTTGGATATCCGCTAAAAGATTAATTACTCTTTTTGAGCACGATGAAGGGAAATATTTGGAGGACATTGATTCAAGAGTCATCGAATATAATAATATTTATGAGAAAGGAGATGTTGTATTGGAGTCACAAGCCGTAGAGTTGAAAATAGCATTATTAGAAGTACAACAATACCTGGAATTCTATAACACAACGCCTGAAGAGCCTGCATATTCATTATTCAAAACAGCCATTGCAACTGCAGTAACAAAGGGTGAAAGAGTTATTCAGACGCTCAATGTAATTTATGAAAGAAAATGGCAAAATGAAAATAGTTTTGATGATATTCGTATTGCCTGGAACACTCCATCCGAAAAAAGGAACTGTTCAGATAAAGTTATAGACTTATCCGAAGCTTTATTCGGAGTTCAGATTCTTTTGCAGAGAATCGATTCACCTGATTTTCAACTAAACAATTCTAATGGAAATATTATTAATCAATTTAAGAATAACGTAACATCTTTTTTAAGCCTATCTGACAACGTTGAAAGTTGTTTGACAGAATACATTGACGCAATGAAAGCTTTGTCAACATTTTCAAAAGATTCTGTGACCGAACTGAAAGGTTTGATTGAAAATCAAGAAAATTTTCTGATAGACTCATCTTTTGATTATGATAAAGAAATAGAAGCTGTAAATAGTTTTCTTAATGATTTGAACGAAACAACTCAGAATTACATCCATTATCGCATTAGTAAGGGTAAAATGTTAGAATTGTTTGGAAATGCTGACAATGGTCAAGGAATGCTTGAACAAATTAGATTATTTAAAGATAAGATTTTACAAAAAGTAACATCTCCTTTACAGAACAGAATATCGCAAATAGAGAGTGAAGTCAAAGAGAAATATAAACAAATGTTATCTCTAACCGCCAAAACAGAGAGTTTTTTCAAAAGCGGCTATTATTATAGTACAGCAGAGAAGATGATTATTTGGAAAGGGATAGCTCCAAATTTTGAAAATCCAACAAATATTAAACAAGAAGGAAAAGAACTTGTGAACATTTGGATTAGGGGAACTCCTATAGATGTTTTTCAAAAAAGTAAAGGCAACGCCTTTATCGAGAGTGCTATATCGAGCTTTATGGATCAACTTGACAAAATTCTAGAAGATTTTGAGGCACAAATAAAATCTAAAACAAATATTCTGGAGAATAATGTCAATACTTTAGCCACTCAATATCAAGTTTATACCCAAAAAATCGAAATTAATGACCAATTTGTTCTGTAAGATATAATCATTATTTTCACTTTTATAAAGTAACAGTATATTATAAATTTTCCAGTGAAAACTTCTTGAACATTGACTTTTATTTCTCACAACTTAAAGAACAAACTATTACTCAAGTCGAAGATTACAAGATTATTCAATTTTTTAGTAAGAATTTATCATATAACTTTCAAATTATAACTATATTAATGTTTAATTTTCACTCTTAAAGGTGATATTGGAGGTTTTATGGGCTTATTATTAGGTGGATCTGTTCTTAGTGTTTGCGAAGTGATTGATTTAATTTTATACAATTTTGCTCTGAAAATGTTTCATCGACAAAACAAGAATAAAAAATCTCAAAAACAAGTTCAATCGACAAACTCAAAGGAGGCCCTTAACGAATCCTTACAGGCTAATGTAGAAAATGAAAAGGGTTTAAAAAATGATGGCCAAAGCGTCTAGATAAATTGTTTAACATTTTCTGAAAAGTTTTTTGTTTACCTCCCTTCTTCTTAGATCTGATTTTGCTGTGTGCTTCTTTCTGATTTTTGTTTGTACAGAATTTACTTCTATAAATACAATTTAAGATAAAAATTTATGATAATAAGCTGGGTTAAATTATATTACAAACGGAATATTGTTAAAGAAAGGGAGAGCGCCAACTACCGCAAAAGATATAAGGCGATAAGAGGTCGTTGCTTAGCAACAGACGCTGCTCTTCCCGGATAGTTTGTAAAAATTTCATTTTAATCAGCGCTTCCTCTCCGATTCGTGTACTGTATTATGAGTAAGGAGGTAGAAAATTATAAGGAGGAGGAGGTTAGTTAATTATAACCCTTGAAACCTCACTACTCATCCCATCATTTCTAACTAAAAATATACATCCGTGTACAGTCTACAGTTTACCGTTTACATGTACTATACAAAGACTACAGAAAGATATATGGAGCCGAAACCTAAACCTTTCGGCACATTCTAAAAATAATAACCCATAAAAGCGTCTTTTACAAACTTCTGTTGTAAGAAATTGTTCTATTACCAGTAATTATCATTCATCGTCGTCGCCCTATAAAGTTTCTTTAAGTAACTAATTATATAATTAAATTAATTAAAGTTTTTATGTGTAATTTTATTAATATTCTTTAACAATGACAGTAAAAAGTTCTTTTAACGGTTTTTGTTTAAAGGTTATTCAAGGCGAAATGTAGAGCAGTGTTTCCGTATAAAATTCTCTGGACATACCAACTGAGTATAACGGAAGAACACTTCTCAAAAGCCAGACGAATTCGGGTAGTGAGCGTACTGCCGTTTATATACACTTCAGCGCGTGTTTTTGGCAAACTGTACGGAGTAGAATACTTGTAAGGTATATATAAGGCCTATATAGTTTATATCAGCCTGTTTTTCCCCTCCAATATTCTAGTAAATTTCCCGATTTTTCACCTCTTTAAATCATTCAGGGTCGGAAATGAGTATAGTGGTAGACGAAAGCGATGACCCAGCTTTAGGTTTGTATTAAAAAATTGAATAATAGACGTGTCATATTTGAGTTTTTTTACATATTTAACTCTTTCTGTTGAATTTTATGTAAACTTTTTTTCGTAAATGTTAGCTTACTTTCTTTTTTTTTATCAAAAGAAAACTAGGAAATTCTTATTAACTTATAATGTATAGAAATTGTTTTTATGCACGTTTGCAGAGATTCTGGCGTTATTTATTTGAAATTATATACTTGCCCTAGATCTTGCCCTTGAAGAGCCATCTATAGAAATTCGGGATATAAAAATTCGTAAAGACAAATGGAGTAGCGATGAATTTGAAGTATTAGATTTTTTGGGTAGGGGTAAATTTGGCGAAGTGAAAAGATGTAAAGAAAAGTCCACTGGAAAATATTTTGCGGCCAAGTTTATTTTAACTTCGACGAATTCCGAGAGAGCCGAGGTCGAACATGAAGTAGCCATAATGAACAAGCTGAGACATAAACGTCTTTTACAATTGTATGACGCTTTCGCTTGCAGGGATCAGATGTGCTTGATACTGGAACTGTATGAATTAAACTTTTTTTTATTAAATTTCTAAATTATTTTGTTATTAATTGACTGTTTTTACTTTGTAAGCATCCATGGTGGGGAGCTATTTGATAGGGTCATTGACGATGATTTCATACTCACCGAAAGGGCGTGTCAAGTGTTCATGAGGCAAATTTGCGAGGGTGTAGACTATATGCATTCCATCAACATCCTGCATCTTGACATGAAACCTGAGAATATTCTCTGTTTAACAAAAACGGGAAATCGGATTAAAATAATCGATTTTGGTTTAGCAAGAGAATATAGTAGTCGTAAAGATTTAAGAGTTCTATTCGGAACTCCCGAATTTATGGCACCGGAAGTTATATCATACGAGCCTATTGATTGCTCAACAGATATGTGGAGTATAGGAGTTATAACTTACGTTCTGTAAGTATCTTAAATATGTCAAAATGTTTTGCTATACTCACTAATTTATCTATTTACTAATTAGCCTATCAGGTTTATCGCCCTTTATGGGCGATAACGATGCCGAAACGCTATCCAACGTTATGAAGGGAACATTTGACTTTGATTACGCAGAATTTTCTAATGTTTCTGAAGAGGCTAAAGACATGATTAGAAAACTTTTAATAAAAGATCGGAGAAAGAGGCTTACTGCCAGGCAGTGCTTAGAGAGTTCGTGGCTAAGAGTAAATAGATTAAATTCTTTTGTAACAAAAGTTTATCGTTTAATTTTTGTTTTGCAGACAGATAAACACAAAGGCTTTTCATTGGAATTATCAAAGAAACGCCTTAGACGATTTCAAATTCGTCGCCGTTGGCAGAAAATGGTAAACGTTCTGATAGCTTTAAAAAGAATGGGAGTCTGTTTATCAACTATACCACGGTAAGTTGAATTTAGAACTTCAATTACTCTAATACGCAATTTTTTATGGCTTACTATTATTTTTGGTCTAATTTATTTCCTAGATGCTCATGGACTAGCACGAATATTCGTTATCAATTTCCAAATGGAATTAATACCATCAATACTCGACCTGTTGAACTTCATCATGATATTTCCTATTTATCTTTAAATTCAGATATAGAAAATAGGAAAAATTACCCGAATACCGAACTCTAGCGTTTTTTACTGCATTTTATTGCGCTAAATACGGTGCGTTATCAATATTGTGTTGCCTTATCAATACAATTAAGTATTCTACTTTAACCCCCTTAAAAAATTCAAATCTAAAAAATTTTATTATTAGGTTCCATTATTATCTCTTAACGTTTTAAATAAACCAATGATCGTTCATAATTTAAGATATTTATTTACGTATTTTATCTAGTAAGCTT